ACGGGGAACAGGCCGCCCTTAGGCATCGGACTCGGTGTCCCCGAGCTGCTTTCGCTCGACTCTGCGGTCGGCCGACGCGGGAGGTGACCCGAGACGGGACGTGGGATGATATTCTCCTACCATTGCCGCCCGATGCTACTCGATACATGAGACGCCCGAGAAGGCAGGAGGCGTTTGGTGGAGGGAACAGTGTAGCTCTCGGAAAGGTATATGCTTGATCAAAAGTCGCTTGATCAAAAGTCCATGACTGATTCGGATGCCAAAGTTACAGATCGCCCGCCGAACAGGCAATATACATGTATAGTCCCCGGCATCGCCGCCCAAAACGAGGCTTCATTGCTTCCAAGTATATACGCGAGTTACAGGGTGGACTGGCAGCTGCTACATGGACAGAGACCCAGCACCGCGGGCCCAAACGTGCTGCGAGGCGAGGCAATGCGATGCGGGCTTTGGGTTCCTCATGCAACCTTGGCGGCTTACCTACGTGCGTGGCAGCCTTGTACAGGATGAGCAAGGCTTGTATGGTGGATATGACTGACTGGACTTGGGAACGGCATAGAATACTTGGCCTTGGTGAACGCTCCGTCATAATTCTTCCCCCTGTCCCTTCGTCGCCTTCCCTACTACGGGTAGAAGCCGGCTGCAGATGGTCCACCCACACAGCATTGAAGCAAGATGTCAATTCTGTGGTCCATTACGAAGTACGGCAGCTCTAGCTCGACCGGCGTGCCGAGCATTGATATACCGATGCTAGTATTGGTCGGATGGCGCTGCCGCGGGATGCCACCTTTGGACAAGAGGGCTTCGAGTTTGGCTACACAGGCAGTCACAGTGATAGCCCAGGAGGAAGCCCCCGGCCACTGTCTGTTGTTTGCCCAGGCCAGGCTAGGAAAATAACGTCGGGCACTTTCTGCTGCCGCGGTAACGTATGTGCTCGTGGACGAGCGAGGCTCCTTTGTGCGCTCGCAACAAGCGTTAGCCGACATGGCTGATGAACCAGGGAGGGCCTGCCTGGTCCAGTGTACTTACACGGGGCACCCAACAAGGAAACAAGGGGGCCAGCTTGTTGCGCCGCTTCTGCACTCAGCGCCAAGGACCAAGGACTCAAGGTACATACGCAGTCGAGAAAGAGACTTTGAAGACCGGGCCCTGCGGAAGGCAGGTACACGCCGTCATGGTGGGGCTTTGTACCTTGCTGCGGACACCCCCCAGGGGCTGGTCCGTCGCCCGCCGTCGTCATCATCCAGTTTAGGCAATTTATTCGTTTACCCCGCGTGGATCCCGAGATGCACGCGTGGGTCCACCCGGAGTACGGGACGACTTTGTGACTTGTCGACAGCCTGGAGAGAGGCCGGTTCGCTCGGATAGACGATGGCAACGGCGAGGGACATGGAAACGAACAAGCATTCGGACTCGGTATCATCTATATCAGGGGTCACTCACTCACTTATCGAGTGCCTGCATCGACACGCAACACAATCCGGATTTCGTACATGTATGCATCGCCCATCACGTTATACTGTAGATGCCATCCAAGATATGCATCTCGGCTGCTGCAGGACCATCAAAGCACTCATCTCGACTGACTTTGCGTATATACAGTATACAGTACATTCATGCCTTCCGTGTCGATCCATCGACGCTTTGCGTCCCCCGTGCCGCCCAAGCCATTGCCAATCTCCATACGTGGCCTAGTTCCATGTCTGTAGCGAAGTTCATGAGCGCTGGCGTCCCGCAACGCCCGTCACCTCGAGCCTGCCTTTAGATTCCCAGCCTTGGCACTTGAAGGGGGCAAGACGTTACAGCGCAGCATGCCGTGCCACCGCCCCGCATCAGCAGCAGCTCCCGTTCCTCCCCCTCCCCCTCGACACCACGTGCGGCGCCAATCTGGATACCACGGCGAGGCCAGGCAAGGAAACCTTCCTTCTTTTCTCTTGTTGCGGTGCTGCTCTTTGCCCTGTCTGACATGAGGAGGGCCTGTTCTTTGCTATAATTGGGTGGTGCAGTAGCGGCGCGTGCATGTCTCACTAAGCATCCATGGCCGGGGGTCGTCAACGGTACGTGCAATGGGCGTGGAAGATGCATGGAAGACGAGGCGGCCATAGAATGAAGCTTGATGATGCAGAACCAGCCAGTGATCACCGCGGCGTGCATATACTGACTGACGTTTCCGGAAACCACTGATCCGCAAGCCAGAAACTTGACATACAGTAAGTACATATAATCAGAAAACTACTTAATATGCTTAAAGGGGCTTGCTATGGACTGTCTACTGTGCAGTACACGCACGCATGCGTAATCAATGGACCATGTGCCGGGGAGACCCTCTCCACCTCGTGGCCTGACTCTACCCGCCATCGTCAGCGTCTCTGGCTCTCCACCCATGTGGGTTCGGACGCATACACCCCTCCCCTCCGGGTATGGCTACTATCTATTAGTACTCTATTAGTACTGCACAGCCATGTCATGTCTTGGGAGCCTTTGCCTCTACTGTGTGTATATGCACTTGCCCCCTGGGCGACTGGACGGGTAGATCCTAGCAGGCCACCCGGGCATTTATGCCGGATCACAAAATCTTACTCTTCCGGGGCCATGCATCGACTCGAGTCCCTCATTTTCAGCCCGGAGAAAGCGTCGAGGGAGGCGCCGTGCCCATGCTCTTGTCATCACACCCTGCCCTGCCAGGCCACGTTCCGAGTCCCTTGACGATTCACGCTTCTTTTTCTGCCTGCTCCTTCCGACGGTAGTATCCTTTGCGAATCATGCTGCCAATTTTTGCTGCAAAGTCTAATATTGTTTATATTAACGTTTCCCCGGTTTTCCTTTCTCATGCACATGTATCCCCCCTTCTCCTGAGTCTCGACTTTGTAAACCCGTTCCTGCGTCTTTTCTCATTTCCGGTTTGTTTCCTACTAGCCTAACTGCTTCCATCGGTCAGACGATCAAAGTCTTGCCGATCATGACCCCCCTTCCCTTGACCGTTGACGCCATTTCTCTATGTCACCAAGGAACCGGATTCTAGAACCATTTTTGTCGCCCACCCCCCTCCCCCGCCTCCTTGCCGGCTTTTGGCCGCATTCTCCAGGCCGGCTCTGGGCCTTTTTCGTCGTTGTCTCTCTGTTCGTAGTACCCTCCCTCTATCTTCAGTTGTTTGTCATTGGTTGGCGGATGCGGGTAGTCGGCTAGGCTAGTCAGGACTCTTGGTCGGTGGTGGTGGCAGAAGAGTATCTGTGCGTACGAGTGTGTATACCCTTGCCGTCGGCTTGCGTCAAAAGTCTCAATGACCAAGTAGAATAACTTCGTTGCTACACGAGACACACAACAGAGATACTGCCAAGCAGGACCATTTTCCCCCTTCCCCTTCCCGTCTCTGGTCGTTGTACTCTGCCGTGCCTCCTCCCTATCTCCAATCCCCTTCTCGCGCCGCGCGGCGTCATCGAGGCACAGCAACAAGGAGAAAAGTCTAATCTCCAATCACTTCTTTTCCATTCGTTGCCCTACTGTATCTGTGCCGCCGCGTCTACTGCTGAAGTCAGGTTAGGCCCGTTGCTGCCTCTTGTGTCCGTCCGTGCAGCCGTCCAGTACTTTATTGGCCGCGTTTTGTGACAGATGCATTCGCCGCCAACTTGGAGGCGTCAAGCTCAAGGTGAGTAGAAGTCAGACGCATACGACACGGGTCACATCCGTCACCTATTGGTGTCATTTAGTGGAGCTTCTTTAGCTATGCTATATTGGCCGGGGAAAACAAGGCGCTACGATTTGCACTTTGAGAGTTGAAAAAGGTAGTCGAGATGGCGCCATCATAGCTTGCGAAGCGGCGTGACAATGATGCCCGGCGCCGACGCCTAAAACACCGCTACCACCGTTCACACAGCCCCCGATAGAAATGTAAGATGTATCCTTGGCCCAAGCCCAAGTATGTAAGTCCGTCTGTTGATGACTGTTCTGCCGCCTGCCAAGACAATAGACCATCCAAGTGCGCGCTGTAGCGACTCTTACACACGATGCTGCCTGGGGCCCATTTACACTCACACACTCAATGGGAAAACAGAAAGAACAGACACATGAGAGCACGAGCAGTCAAATTTCCCGTGGCAAAAGTCTACTCAACACTTTGCCTGTCATTCACCTGTCCATCTTGAGAGTTTCTGTAGAAGCATAAGGAAGAGTACATGAATATAAAACAAGATGCATGACCCCCGAGTCTCGCAGCAGAATGCGGACATGAGATTCAGATGGCCGCAAACTCAAAGCACCGTTAACGAGCCGCAGATGACCACATGATCGACAAGAAAGCAGAAAACCGCGGAAAGAAAAGGGGGGAGGGCCAGTCCGCCCACCCCAGAATATCCACTCTTCTCCGTCTCCCCAAATTGTAACTCGCGAAACGGTTGTAATCCTCAACCGTCGTCATCATCCGCTCATTCACCATCGTGTAATCCGAAAAGGGGAAGAAAATAAGGTTCAGCCGGCAGCACATGACAACAACGCTTGCAGGGGCCCTCCTGGCATCGCGTGCTGCCATCAAGCCCTGCCACGTAAGAATGTTTGACAGAGAGCTTGAATACGACGCTGACAGTCGCGTCTGGTATAGTCCCCAGGGTCAGCTGAGAAAGGGGTGTCCGTGATGTGTCTAAGAATCCGCAACGCACTCCGATCCAGTCCATAAACGCCGGTCAAGAATCACAGCCACAGCCCCGTGTTCCAAGAAGGAAAATAATAGTTTTTTAAGAGGAGGGAGAAAAGGAAAGTACCAAAGCGCAAGAACCATGCTTTTTCCATCATTCCGGCGAGTGTATAACCCGGGGGTGACCGTCTGTAAAGGCGAGGCGCCACCGGTGCCGCCATGTGGCATCGTTTTCGTGGAGAGAGTCTATAATGTGACACCAAGATGTCGCCGTTGGCGCCCAAGGAGGACAAACAAGCAGAAAAGCCGGCGGCAAGACAAGACACGTGCTTGCTAGCCGCCGCCGCTAGAGTAGATAGTTTGGTCCCGTGTCTCAGCAGGGTCTCTTGTTGTATCCGTTCTCAAAGTAGTAGAGAACAGAGTCCATGTCGGAGGCGGCGGCGGCCGTCGTCGTCGTCACATCCACGCCCCTGACATCGGGCCAGCCCCACTGCATGGAGCCCGACATGTCCAGGTCCATGACGCCCGGCATCTGGGGAAACCAGGCGTGCTGCAGGTCCACCAAGTCCGACGCGCTGAAGTGGTCTGCGCCCCCTGCCGCGGCCGCCGCCCCCAGCGCACTGTGGTCCAGCATGCTATGGAAGAGGTCGTCGGCCGTGTGCCAGTCGGGCTTGTCGGCGGGGCTATACGGCATCGAGCTCCTGGCCGGCGTGCCCCCCGCTGATGAGTGCAGCGACGGCGGCACCGACGTCGACGGCGTTGTGGTTGCCGCCGTCGTTTCCATGGGCGAGACAAAGGTCGACATGTGATCCGAGTCCGACCTGGCCATCATGGCGGCCGGGCTGTGGATGGGAGTGTGCGGCAGAGAGGCTCTTGCGTTGTCCGGGGAGGGGACGCCCGACGAGCTGGAGTTTGACCCGGGTCTGGACCCGTGGAGGGCCCGCACGCAGGCCTTGAGGCGCTTGCGCACCATTCGAAGAGAGCGGCCCTGGTTGAGGAAGTCGTCCTGGCTCATGGCGTAAAGCCCATGGGCGAGGGCCTTGAGCCGGGCCTCGTAGGCGTGTGCCATGGGTGCCTCCACCAAGAGGCAGCCCATCTTCTTCTTTGTGTCGACAAGGCTCAAGGCACGCGCACACGTGTCGAGGGCAAGGCAGAAGACGTCTGGGAAGGAGGCACGAAGCGAGGGCGTGACGCCGAAGGGATCCTGGGGTTGCTCCGACGATACCAGGTCGAAGATCTGCATAATCTCGTGGGCCGAGGCGCAGAAGCGCTCGAGCACGTCGGCGGCGATGCCCTCGTCCCGCTGGCCGGGCGGTAGAAGGGGGAAGAGGAAGTTGATGGCCATGGTGTGGTAAGTGAGCAGGACGAGGCTGCGTGACGAGACCTCGGTGACCTGCCGGTTGAGGATGTGGATGCTTTCCATCAAGACGCGGTTAATCTCGCGGCAGACGCACGCAATTCCCTGCGACGGCTTGCCCTGTTGGATCCTCTGGAGAGCGAGCAGCGGCGCCTCCTGCCAGAAGCTGGTTGTGGGCGAGTCGGTCACGTCGGCCTCCTGGGGGTAGAGGGCGAAGATGTAGGCGACGACGCTGGCAATGTGGGCCAGCGGCCACATCTCGCGGATAACGGCCTTTTGCCTCTGCAAGGTGCTGAAGTTCTCGGACACAAGGTCGAGCTGGATGATGACGGACGAAGCCTCGGTGACGGGCAGGAAGATGGATGTGAGCGAGGTGGGCAACAATGCCGAGAAGTGGCCGTGACCCATTTGAATAAAGGCCCAGAGGCTGAGCGAGTAGGTGGTCCAGTAGAGGTAGGCGACGACCTCCTTTTCCACGTCGAACACGTCGATGCCGTTGATACGGCTCGACGTGACCGGTACCGCCGTGCCCGAGATCTGCTCCTTGATCTCGCTGGCGATGCGGCCTGCGAGACCGATGTAGCAGCAGGCCCGGCGGATCTGAAAGGAGCACAGCGCGTTCCAGCCCAGGAGCATGAGCGCCTGGGCCGTCGAGATGCCATCAAAGACCCTAGTCGAGACGCCGCCGCCGCCGCTTTGGCCATGGCTGGCGCCGGCTCTAAAGGGGCGGGTGCGCAGCTGGGCGGTGGCCCAGCGGAGCAGGACGTGGCCACGGGCAACGGAAACCTCGTCCCCGATGGTGAAGTTGGCATCGGCCAGCATCGTGGCCAGGAGGACCTCGTCGTGGGTGCTCTCGCGGTTCTCGCGCAGCAGCAGCGTCTTTGAGACCAAGAAGGAGAGGGGGTGTGTTGAGAACCAAACGTCAATGAGCTGCAGTTGCTGCCGTTGCCCGTACTCGGCGAGCGGGTTGCCGCTCGGGGGGGCGTTGTCGAACATGGTCTGCGTCTCGTCGCTGGCGAGGCCTGAAAGGAAGAAGCGAGCGCCGCCATCTTCGACATGGTGGCAGCCCAGAGAGCCGAACTGGTCCGAGACGAGCCCGACGAGGTCGTGCGTCAGCAGAGACAGGATGCCCGTGTACTTGATGCTCTTTGCCGCGAGCTTGGCGGCCACGGTGTCGGTGGCCGGACGGCCGCGGGCTGAGGCTTGCTGAGAGCGGTGGTAGGCCGATATCCTCTCCTGCCACGGACTGGAGCGCGGACCGACGTCGGAAGAAAAGTTTTCGTAGAACTTTTGCTCAAGGACCTTGGCAACGTCCTCGACATCCTCCGTTGGCGCCGTGTCGTCGCCCATGGCGCTGTCGGGGCTGCCGTTGAGCGAATCGCACGTCGACGATCGAGGCCTATGCAGGCCGGGAACACCACCGTGGCCCGTCGGGTCCGACCGGGAGCTGTCCTGGCTGATGGTCCGGGCCTTGGGTCGGGTCGGTTCAAAATCGTAGATGCAGTCGGCTCCTTGCCTCCGGCATGCCTCGCAGATGGTCTCGTTGGAACACTTGATCTTGCGGGCGCGGCAAAAGGCGCAGGACCGCCTCAATGGGTGTTTGGAAGTCATGGCGGTCAACTGTGTCATGAGGAGAGGGAGCTGAAGATTGAGTCCGGGTCAAGGCGACTGCTGCCGACTCGAAGAAGGCAGCTTGTCCCCGGTGTTGAGAAAGGGGAGGGCAGCAGGGCAGGGGATGCAAACACCAGCAACAGCAAAGAAGGTTTTATTCAGTGTCAGTGAGTAATGTCGCCCGTAGATAAAGAGGACGACAGGGGAGGTGTAGAGCCACGTCGAGCAACCATGAATAAAGCTTGAAGCGTGGTATTGGATAAAAAGTGAGGCTGATCAAGCAGAGCTTGTCGACGCGGTGGCAAGTCCGAGTTTATCAAGTCGCGAGCAGAGGGCCAGGAAGCAGCAAGAAATAACGGAAGACGCGTGCGACCTTTTACCTCTCAGCTCTCAGCACGTCAACGAGTTGCATCGGGGTCTATATTGCGGCGATGACCGCAAGGGGAATGTGTGGGTGGGGGGTTGTGGATAGACAAAGATGGATAAGAGAAGCAGTAGTCTTCTGGGGCCTACGGGGAGGGGGGTGTAATTGCACTGTAGGATTGAATGATACAAAGCCACGAGGGAATGCTTACCCTTTTCCTGCCGTATTTCTCGGAAAAAGAAGGGCCCCCAAATACATAGGTGAGAGGGAGGGATGGAGCGACAGAGGGGGTTGGGGGTGTTGAGGATAAGGGGTGTAAGTGACCGGAGGCAGAAGAGGGTGGAAGCGGGCGATCAATGACATAAAACAAAAGGCAGAAACAGGGCAAAAGCCAGCCCTGTTGGAGAGGCGACGGTCGGTCCCGTGTCTGCAGTGGGATCCGTCCGGGGGCCTTGGCAGGGCCTCCAAAAGGGCCCGGCCCTCGTGTGACCCATGGCGAGCATCAGCATCAGCATCAGCACCAGGCCAGTGCGTGCAGCCTTTTTGCCTCGACGGCCTTGACGGCGTATTTCGTCGAGACTGGGAGTGGGCAAGCAGAGGTGATACAGCACCGTGTGCTTGGGGTGCATGCCATGCGGCATCGGCCCTGCAGCAGCGGGACCTGGTTCTTCAGCCGGCGCCAGAAGCAAAAAAGAGGAAGAGGAAACAAGCGTGAAGAAAAGAGGTGGTGGCAAGAGAGTTGGCAGTTGGTCCACTGGCCGAGGGGGTCTAGTGTTAAGGAGGGCCGTGGTTGGCTGGTTGGGCGACCACATGAGGTCCCTACTCTTTTCTCTTTTCTAGGCACTCACTGTACGGGAGTACGGATACATACATACAGTACATCCAATCCATCTTGCCTTGTCAGGGGGCCCTGGAGACTGTCTGGGGATCAGCTAAGGGGGAGGGGGGTGAACGTGGATGGGCTAAAGGGGGTCCAGGGGTGTCTCATCCAGGCATCCCCACCGGTACTCCGTCAAAACATGGGGAAAGTACCTGCAGAGTCCCGGCGAACGGACAGCCTGTACCACTCGGTATGCCCTCAAAGAGACCGGCGACTGTCCAGCCACGTCTCCATCCTTCCATGTATTCCATTTCTATAGTATCTACTTTACGCAGGGTGCCTTGCCCTTGCATGCATTTACCCATCCACCCATCAGCACTGGGATCCCTGAGCAAATCATGCCAAAAGAGGGTAAGAGCGAGAGAGAGAGAGAACGAGTTAAAACGAAGTTGAAAGAGGGCGTAGTGTGGGCAAGGGAGCTACATAAGCGGGGGGGGGGGGTTGAGAGAGAGGAAAGTCTACACGACAGATGGCAACTTATACTGAGTAGACCACGAGAGAACACAATGGTAAAGACACGGAGAGCGGTGACTGTGCAAAGAAACGGACGGGAACAAGTTGGAGTGCAGAGACGAGCAACATACGAGCGCCCTCCTGATGACGGCTGCCGTGGTGGTGGTGGTGGTGGTGGTGGTGCAGGCGCAGATGCAAGTGCAGCAGCGCAGTCAAGTTGGTGGGATGCCATCCATCGCTCTCATGAATCTGCCGCATGCGCGGCGGGCTGTGCGGTACGGCCTAGCAGCGCTTTCGGGGCTCTCGGTTTCGGCCATGGACCGTCCACCATCCACGCCTCCCTACATGTAGTCCCTGTACGTCGCATCAAGACCAAAGTACAGGTAGATGCACGCAGAAAGACACCAAGCAAGGCCCGCCGTAGCGTGGTCTATCTCGATCTGCCGCCTGCTTTCTCGTCGTATGTGCCTGGATCTCGGCTGACAAGACAGTCTCTCTGACACTTTCGCTCTCTCCTCGCTCCCTCGGCCTTTGTGCTCTTTCTCTGTCTCGCGCTTACGCGCCCCTCCACGCTGTTCCTCTGGCTTTCCCTCTTACTATTCGTGTCTGTGTGTCTGTGTGATAGTGGGTGTGAGCTTGTGTAACCAACTGGCTTGATTGTATGCCTCGCCCTCGACCGCCGGTATGTACATGGGCGTACAGTATATGTCTGTGTACTAAATAACTACAGACATCGGAGCCATCTTCACGTGTGCACATGTTGGGTCCCCCTTTCCTGATTCTCATGCTCATGCTCATCCTCCCTCCGCTGTCGTGCCACCCGCACACACAAAACATGCCCGCCAACAATTGTAAAAGCCCAGCCAACCGTTCTGTCTCATCCAGCCGACATCCTTCGCAGTGGTTTTGGCTGGCCCGAGAACTCGGCCAGTCGACGGAGGCCCGGTCTTGAGCTTAGACTCGAGGTAGACGGAGCTTCTCTCGTGCATCACGAACCATCCCCCCTCCCAACCAATCCCCCGGCGACAGCTCATCAATCAGTGCTCAGAGCCCCCCGTCTCTGGTAGGAGCCCCAGAGAAGCCAATTGAAGCGAGCCAGATGGCGGAGGCGAGAAGCAAGAAAAGAGGCACAGGCTATGACTCCGGCGGGCAACTCGAAACAAGCGCAACGCTGCGCCGTTGGGCTGTGCCGCCCTCCAGAAATACTCGAGACATGCACATGCGGCGTTCACGGAAGCATCTGTCAACGTATTCGGATGTAGCAGATCTGCTGAGAATAGAATAGGGTAAAAGGTGGCCAAGAAAAAGCAAGATACGCATTGCAAGAAAATGGGACTTGTATTGCTTAGGGGATCACCAGTTCATGCGCATCCCCTGTTCCCATCAAGGATGAGACAGAACATGGAGACGACGCGGGATAACTCTTTGGTTCCACGCAACCTCTCATCCTCTTATCCTCGGCATTTCCATCGGACTCGGAGCTCCGTCAACCCGCTCCCAGCATAGAGATTGTGCCGTCACACCATTATATTTCCTGAGTCCATGCCATGTTCATGGCCAACTGTCCATCACAGCCCGGTTTCGGCCCCCCACTAGGCATTCTTCTTGCCAAAAGTGCCAGGCTTTTCCAGCGCCAACACGACGGGCTGGTATCGGTAGAGCCAGCCCAGGTACCAGATCCAGAACCAGGTCGGCACCAACGTGTAGAGCAGCCACCGCACAAAGGGGCCCAGACCATAGGGCAGCCGGGCCATATGCAGCATGGCAAAGTTGTCACTGAACCGTGCCAGGTCCCGCGTCCGCGGCTCCCTCGTCTTGGCGTAGAGCTCGAGCATCTCGTGGGAGGCGTCGAGCGACGCCCGATTCTCAGCAAGCAGGTTGCCCAGCACGGCCGCGTCCTCAATGGCCTGGCAGCCACCCCTACAGGAACCTCGTTGTTAGCCAGCTGAAGGCGCAGTCCATCGCGGCGGTGCTGTTGGCGAGTGCGGCAGAGCAGGCAGAGGTGAAACACGAGACTTACTGTCCGAAAAAGCTCGTCATGCTGTGGGCGGCTGCGAAGGGCGGTTGGCCCCCGAGTCAGCAAGCGATGTTCCCGCGTCCGGCTCTCTCTCCTTCTGGTGCCTTGACGTACCGTCGCCGAGAAGAGCCACTCTTCCATCAAACATGGATGGGAAATCCACTTCCTGGAACACGTTGCTGGCTATGACACGCTCCGATTCGTTGACAACTGCACCTCGTCAGCCACCGGATTCGAGAGCCCCGACCCCTTGGCAGAGCAGGGGAGTGCCAGCGTCAGCAGCCCAGGCTTACTATTGCCAAATTGTCCTCCTTCCGCAAATGGATGGAATGCTCGCCCGTAGACTTTCTTAATGTCTTCGGGCGTGATGGAGCCCCAGACGGATCGGTTCTTGTCGACATCGCCCTCTGCTTTCTACAATGACCAAGTCAATACTTCTCCCACTCCTCCCTCCTGTGACCTGAAAGAACTCGAGCAGAAAATGACGAAATTCGATCAATTCGCGGAGAGCAACTCACCTTGACCCCAATGTACCACTGTCTATTGTCCCGGCACGGCCAGGTGGTCAGGATGGCCTGGTCGTAGAGCATCCAGTTGCCGACCCCGATCTGCTCGGGCCCGCAGTTCTTGAGAGGTCTGGTGTATCCCGAAAAGTGCACCCGACCGCTGAATTGGATCGTATTCTCCTGCTTCAGACCGTTTTTGCGCAACAGGGCACGACGCACAGCGGACCGGATGCCATCAGCCCCGACGACAATGTGAGCGCGGTACTCCTTTCCGCCCTCGACAACGACCCGCACAGGCTCGCCGGGGGCATCCACAACGTCGACGACTTTGGAGTCGAGCACCACCTTGTCCTCGGCTCCGGCGGCCGCGTAGAGCAGCCTGTGGAAGGCGTGGCGCTCCGTCGACAGGATTGGGTAGCCGTAGGTAGGCTCAAGGTTCTCGAAGCTGATGCTGTTCCACTTCGTCTTGTTGCGCCAGATCTGGAGCTTGCGCATCTTCTGGGCCGTGGGTAGCAGCTTCTCGTAGATGCCGAGCTGGTCCAGTACCCGCAGCGCGTTGGGCGAGAGCGAGATGCCGGCGCCTACGGGCTGTAGGGTCTCGGTCCGCTCCAGAACTTTGTAGGAGATACCTACTTGGTTGCAGACGGCTGCGAGGGCAAGGCCGCCGATGCCCGCACCGACGATGATGACTTCGGCGTCGAGAGCCGCCATGTTGGTGAACTGTGGGTGACGGTGCAAGTGGTTATGGCGGAGGGAGACGAAGTGGGGAGCGAATGAAGGGAAGGTCAAACCGTTTATGGTGACAGATAAGGGGGAGCAGTTTGAAGATTCCCAACGGCGACCTTGAAAGACTTGACAGTAAAATCAAGAAGTTGAGGCTCTCTCTTCTTGGAGAACGAGCAGCCGCCGGCCGATTTAAATATGATGCCCCGAGGCTTTGGCATGCAGCTTCACGTCGCACCACTAGGTGGTTCGAGCCATGGCTGGCCCGACGAGGAGCGGAGGTCCACGTCTGATATACGGCGGTCTCTTAGCCCGCTCACCCGGGTGGGTGTGCCGCGGAGGGGGCCACGGAAACACGGACGGCCTGGAAGGAGATTGACATATCTTACTTGGCTGAGCGAGGCATGCCGCGTCAAAGGATCATCAATCCTACGTAACTGCAAAGCAAATAGCTGCATTGTCTGCTTCTAATAGCCATCGGTCTTCTCATGTGAGGCCTGACGACGGCCGACTTCAAAAAGTAATGTCAGCCACAGACGGAGATTTGCGGAGCCAGCGGGCGCTAGGCAAGTTTCCAGAAGGCATCTTTGCATTCTCTCGGGCTTCCTATACTGGACGGCCTTCTAGAAGGTGTCGGCGAATTCATGCGGCCACGAGCGGGGGGTTATGCGTGTTCCCCCTACCCCCGTCCGGCCGTGACGTGGTTACACGTTGATGAAGCAACATGATGAATTGCAATTATAGGGGTTTTCACTGTGTCTCCTCTTCTCTATTGACAAAAAATAAATGCCGGCCCGTCTGTCGACAGAGCGGCAGCGGCTCCCAAACCGAATGGGAAGGGGGCGGACGTGATCCCCGTCAATGCCCGGAGGCATAAGAATCGATCAAACAGACGGTCAGGAGTTTTCCCGTTGCATTCAAAATGTATCATGTCAGGCATGAGCATTTTGAAGGCATAATATGTCTTGGAAAGTCCGTTTCTCTCCTTCTCATTGGGCCTTTGCTTGCTGAATGCCCTCATCTACGCATTTCGCCCGACCAACTTACACGTACACATCAATTATCACAACCAGCACTTTCAAGAGGTTTTAGAAGTCAAAAAGCAGACACCCGTGAGACATTTAGGACAGCTCTACAATTGCACGCCACGTCTTGAACAAAAGGTGACGAGGAAGCGAAGGAAGAGATCTAGCAGTCAGTTGAGTTGGGTCGAACTACCCTAGAGACCCGAGTCTCGAGCCCAGCTGACTCAGCCACACCAGTCCATTGAACTTCAAATCTCCCCGCGCCACCAACAAATGCTTCCCAATAATGCCCAAAATCTCTCATCAAAAGTGACATCTCGGGAAAAAAACGAACCCTCAAACTCTGCGAGACGCCAACATGCATCGGAACCCGTGGCTGGCCTCGGATCTCGAGCCCCTTGGCTTGCTTCTCTCCGCCCCCACGCCCCCCTTCGCTCGCGGGGCGCGACAATGCCATTAAATCTCAACACGAAAGAATACACAAAGTGCGGCGGCATGCAATGCGAGCTTACGCATAAGGCCTGGAGAAGCGCCACCATCAGCCCCAGGTCACACCAAGCAAGGTGCATCAACAAGGCACCTACCACTGCATGTCGGCAACACCAACACGGTTGCGCTCAAAGTCGAGCACAATGTACTTTTCCTTGGCAAACGTCTCTCCAAAGTTGCCGATGCTGCTCGTCGGTCAGCTTAGCTCGTCAAGTATCGTGGGAGACCTGTCACTCACAACCTGTCGCCACTCGCGAGGGCGCGGACGTTGAGCAAGCAACTGCCGTCCTTCATCTTCTCGACGTACATCTTGGGAGTCACCTCCCACTCCCGCGAGTGCCCGGCAAACTTGTACTTGAGAGTCGGAAATGACGAAATCCTGGAGCAGTCGACCGAGTAAGAGGACTGCGGCCCGTTGTTGGGCGGGCTCTTGGGCTTGACGGGCTTGCCGTCCGTGAGCTTGACCAGCCGGGCATACGCGTTGGGCGTCAGGGGCGTGCCGCGGCCGTAGCTGGCGTGGTCGAAGATGGCCGCCTTGCCCGACTTGTTGGACGTCGGCTCCACCCTTTGCGACTCGCTTCCGATCTTGAGGCCATCGAGCTCGATGCCCCAGTAGTTATACATGGCGGGCTTGTACACAAAGGCGAGATCGTTGACGTCGGGGTACAGCTTGACGTCGTACCACCAGATCTTTTCCCCCTTGATGAGGTCCTTACGGATGCCTCCCATGGTCTGGATGCCGTCGTGGCCATTGCAGACCGTCTTCTTGCGGGCCTCCTCATAGCAGTACACAAAGCCCGCCAGGCCGCTCTTCCAGGATCCGCCCTTCCATTGCTGGTAAAAGGCAGATTGATAGTCCGCTACCGCGTTCCAACATTGTCAGCCTGGCCAAGGGAGGGGAGCGTGAGAAGGAGGAGACCCAAGAGGAACAGAGAAGACAAGGTAACAGGGGGAGGCAACGGGGAGACAGGTCAGTCTCGACTTACGTCCATCGCCCTTGTACACAGGCGACATGCCAAATATGCCAGTAAAGGGGTACGCAGCTCCCATGGCCTGGGACACGTTAAAGGTAAAATCCGTCAGCTGCAGGACGGCTCGGCTGGAAACGGGGCCGATTTGCACAAGATCAGATCCGTACTCGACGTGCAGGGGGTTCTCGAAGAAGATGTGGTTGGGCTTCCACGTGCGGTCCTGGTACACGCTCGACAGGTTCTTGAAGGTGCTCGAGTTTCGAGGGTCCCAGTAGACCTGGTCCGGGTGCAGGCAGAGCTTGGGATCCCACTGGCCGAAGCACTTGGGCGACCCGACGATGTGGCTGATCCACGTCCAGTCGACAAACAGCTTGTACTCGAACCCGGGGCTGCCCACGCGGGCCTTGGAGACGAAGCCAAGGGGGTCCCAGTCGAGCGGCCAGTCATAGACACCCTTGCCGGGGCTCGGGCATGCGCCCTTGCCTGGTCGACGATCGGCGGGCACGGCCGCGGGCACGGCGCGAGCCACACCCGCCAGGGTCGAGAGAGCCACGAGGGCCTTGAACAACATGCTGGCGCTTGTTTCAAGGTATCCTCTCTCGCCTCTTCTTTTGAAACATTAGCCGCTGTCCTCTGACGTACGCAGTCCAAGGTCTGATTGGCCTCGGTGAGGGCCGGGTGGTGAGAGAGAGAACGAGGAGCCATCTCGGGACTCGTGCCAGACACACGCGCCGAAGACCAAGAAGGCCCTGGACTGATGACACGAAAAGTCCGGCGAGATGAGGCAGACCTACTAATTCCTGCAAACTGTTGATCCGAGCCGGGGTAATCAAGCATGAGACGCGCGGCGGGCGACTCTGATGGACCTTTTCGCGCGCGTTTCTCGCCACTGCTGCGGATTCTACCCTTGGATTTCTTGCCACCGCGAGCTTCATAAAGAGCCATTAGTGAGACCGCGCGCCTTTTTGTAGTCCTTTTCTTCCCGGCCAACTCTCCGCTGGAAAGGGGCCGTTCGCCGCCCATGCGACCTCCGCCTCCGACGACTCACGGAGGGGGTTCCGTGGCGGCCTCGTCCCCTGCCCCTGCCTATGCGGCCACGTTCAGCTCCAACAAACTGTGACCTTTTCTTCGGCTCAAGCAGGGGATCTTCGCCCACATGGCATCGCGCCACTCGACGGAAGTTCTTGCAGGACGCCTGCCTGCCTGCAGATAGCGCGCTGCTGCACGGCTATGACGACCTCGTTCTTGGCGGAGCTTCCCTCGTCGTCAGCTTGAGGCTTGCTCGCCTTCCTCCGACCCCCGGCAAGCTCATCTACCGAGAGACCTGCAGTGTGGCATCGGCTCATACGGCGCCACCCACGTCGCGAGAACACGTGCTGGTCGTCCACCCTCTGCCAGTGCTTTACGTGATAGTTCCAACGCACTCGTTTCGTCAACGCGACCTCGCGCTGCCGACAAAATGCCGAAGTCGGCAGGGGTGAACTGGGAGCTTCGTCATAACCGTTGGACAGAGGGGCAAGGTAAACAAGCATCCGGCCCCTATGACGTCTGAGGAGAATGGCGCCGGAGCAGCTCCAGGCGGGAGAGCCGATTACTATTTCCATGCCGGGACGCAACGTTCTCTCGACGGTGTCGGGTCATCACCGTGATGACGGCAGGCCTCGTTTGGGTGAGCCTTGGCTGCGCCAGTAACATGTCGAGCAGACGGATGACTCTTTAGCGCATCGGCAGTCGTCCCGTCAGGCGCGGAGAAGTTTAAACACGCTTTGATATAAGAATGGTGCCGTGAGAAAGGGGCTGGGGCTAGGGTTCTGCTTGTCCACTAAGATCGACGACCAGGCATGTCGATCAAGCTTGCAGGCTCCGACCTTGGACCCTTCTTTTTCTCTTCCTCTCTGTCGTTTACTGTTCCTTCTACCCTTCTAGAAGACTGCCTGGAGCGTCTAAGTGCAATATACCCACCGCTACTTCCCCTTATTCCCTCCCCACCGTCAAAAGAGCTTGCACTTGACCCCCTTTTCTTCCCAAGTCGACGGCAGGATACCCAGGAGGCTTCCAGAAAAGAGGCGTTGAGCCCGGTGGGTGGTCCACCTTGGCCGGTTCAAGGGTCCATCCGCTCCAGTGCCGCTTCGCGTCCACACTCCTCGGTCTTGCACACATCACAGCAAGCATGGACGTCATCACCCTCCTTCAAGGCGACGAGGCCTCTTGCCTCACTCCTCTCTTCCTCATCCACCCCATATCTGGTGTTGCTCTGCCATTCCTGCGCCTGGAGCCTCTGAGCGACTACGACGAGAGGCCCGTGTACGGTATCACCAGCCCCGTCCACTGCCCTGGCGGCGAAAACTTCAAATACCCCCCCAGCCTCAAGGCCCTAGCCGCGCTGTATCTGCAGGAGATCAGAGATGTGCAGCCAGAGGGTCCGTATCTGCTGGGGGGATGGTCGATGGGTGGCATGGTCGCCATGTTCATGGCCCAGATGCTCGAGACCATGGGTGAGGAAGTGCTCAAGGTCATCATGATCGACTCGGCCAACCCGGAAGTGTTTCCCAACTTTTCTTCGCCCGAGGAGCACCGTGAGTTTGCCAAGGCAACGTTTGAGAGGACGCTTTCAGCAGGCGGCCTCCAGCCCGACACTCCCAGCGAGCCGTCTTCTCCAATACTGTCGCCTCTGGACTACGAATCCGACGTGGACGACTACGACCCCATGGCCTGCAGCGGCCGCTTCTCGCCCACGTGGCGAAGTGCCTCGAGCTCCAACACAACAGTCACGTCAAGTGCTTCCAGCATCTTCGACCAGGCGAGCCCCTTGATGTCGGACGGGTCACTCCTCTCGCCCGAGTGCATGAGCGACGAGTCTGACTTTGACTTTTACGATGACGACTGCGATTCCGACTTTGACGACGCCGGCGAGCCGCCCCAAGTGAGGGACTTTATGCGCCAGATGAAGCTACACGTACACCACGGGCTGGAGCTGATTGCGGGCGTCGAGCCGGGCCAGCTGTTCGTACCGGGCCAAAAGTCCAACTTTGACGCAGTCCTCGTCAAGTGCACTTCGGAGCCCATGGCCGTGGACCGCCGGTACGCCGACCACGAAGGCGTGCGCCTAATCCAGACGGTCATGCGCGAGAAGGCGATGCGCTGGGACCCGGCTCAGTTCCGCAGCTTCGAATCGATTCCGTTCAGCGGCGACCACGACGGCGCCTTTCAGCCGCAGTACGTGGGCGAGTTGAGTGCCATTCTGAGGGAGTGCGTCGAGGACCTGGACTGAAGCTTTTCCGTCTCTCTCTTTGTGTTTGCCTCGTGTGTCTCTCTGTTCTCTGTCTTGTCCTTCTTTTATATTCACTCCTCCCGGGCGGGGGGGGGGAAGCACTGCGACGGGGAGGAGAGATGCCTCGTACGAGAGTTTTGAAGCGCCGCAGCCTTGCTCGGCATTGTCTTGATTAATAGAATCACTACTTGCTTGTCTGAGGCTGGCATGAGCGTTGGTCTTAAGGGGGGGATCGCTTCCCCCGTTGTTTGGATATATCAGCTCTTGTTGGGTGCGTTGACTACCTCATGTTTCCGACGCCGCTCAAATCTAGATTGGCACCTTGTTGGCGATATTCTATCAATGCCGCAGATACAAAGTCAATGCTTTCCCATATGGTGTCTATCTGCCCCTTACGTGCTCGCCCGTCCACCCTGCGACATGTCCTCCTCGTCCAAACCGCCATCACTCCTCTCTCTCAACAGAGGTCCAGATTAAGTTTCAGATGTTTCTCCCCCGTCCGCCCGCTCTGACGCCTATGCAAAGAACCAACCCTACATGAGTAAGACATGGGACGATTTGTACGACCTACCCGCCGCACGATCCGCCATGCAACCAACAGCCGATGGAGAGATGACGCCCGGCCCGTCACTTTCTTTCCCTGGTTCTTAGCTCCCCTCCTGCCTTGTTGGTTAAACACTCAACGTGCTGCCACGGTAGAAACAGAAAACTCCCTCTTCATCGTCCGGACCGGGACCGAAAGGAGCGCGCCAGAGCTCGCAACATGACCGAGCCGCAAAAAGGGGATAGTGGCAGGCTGTTTTTTTTGCAGTAGGTAAAATGACCCGAACGCCGTCCTATCGCTCTTTATTCCCCGTATCCCCGATACGCCGCCCGACTCACCGGCGTCTGACGCGCACGAACGGCCCATTCAGCATCCTCCTCTCTTCAGCTACCGCTCGCCAAGCAATCCCAGTCACATCCGCCCTCCCCTGTCCTGAAAAGCCCCTACCGTGATCCGTTTAAGCGTCTGACTTCTCCCCGAAACGTGGCTGCCTGGCTGCAGCGAGCGAGCGAGCGAGCGGCTGCGGCGCCCGGCTCGGGAGGCGAAGAGACCGAGTGGCCTCATCCCTGGACGCCGCCCTGGACCGGAGAGAGGATGGTTGCGTCCGCGCGAACCCGTATGTCGATGACGGTTCTGCTAGCCATGGTTCCATGCGCGTCCCAGAAAACACCAAAACACCAAAACACCAAAATAAGCCGGTCCAATCGGCTTCACCGTCAGACAGTTTACTTTTGCTCTTCTGGGCTGGCTGCGCGCTGCGGGCTATGCCAGACGAGGCGCTGTCGACTGGCTTTTGCATGCCTGCCGATGAATACGAACGGGGATGTAATTAAACTGACAGCTAGTGTGTAAGTAAGCCCGGGGCGGCTTTTCATCCCGGGCTGACCGGCCGTGACGTGGACTGAATCGCCAGTCGCCTCATACCGTTGAGACATGGGCCTGCGCACGATGCAATACGAAGAGGACGGGCTGAGAACTGTGCAGCAGGTTCCGTCTATTCTAATCATACCTAGCCTTGGAAAGCTCCATCTCCATTCCCTGCTCTCTTTGTCCTTTTCTCCGCCCTCTTTACTCTTCCCAACTGCACTCACACTCGCCAGGCTGTACGTCAACATGATAATGCCCAGGGCTCAATTCACCATCGCCCGACGCGCCTGACAATTTCTCACTCGCAGTCGTCAAGCAAGCCTTCTTCACCCGAACCCTCACATCGCCTCGCAGCCAAGGCGTCCCGACCTTGCCAAAGTCGAGACTCTCAAAGTCGGTCTTGTCGGGCACATCAGGGCTTGCCCACCCCCAGTCGTACTCCCTCACAAGAGTTGCCACGGCTTTCGTCACCATGATTATGGCCATCTTCTCCCCCACGCATCGGTGACTGCCGCCGCCAAATGGCATGAACTTGACGCCGTTGCTCTTGTTTTCCACCTGTTTGATCTCGCCATCCTCTCCTATCCATCTCTGCGGATCCCATGCCTCAGGGTTTGCATAATTTTCGGGATCTCGGTGCGTTAAATACGGACTGATGGAGACTACCGCGCCTTTGGGGACCTTGACGTTGGCTTCAGGGATGCTCATGTCCCGGCAGGCGAGCCGGAGAAGCTTGATCCCACAGTAGTACCGGGTGGTCTCCTTGACGCATGCTTGCAAGAGCAGCGACTCGTTGCCCTCTGGCTCGGACCTCAGCTCCTCGCTCACCTTGTTCATAATATCGGGATGGCGAAGCAGCTTCCAGGTGCATTAGCATCGCAATGGCACGCACTTTATCAAGAGGGAAACACTCACGGCGATGATATTCCACGCAATATTGGCAGCCGTGCTCGTGTGCGCGGCAAACATGAGAATGGTATGGTGGCTGGCCATGAGATATTTCAACGGGGCCGTAGCTTTGTCCTGCATAGTGAAAGCGACGTAATCCTGCTTCGGCCGAGCCATCTCGGCGCCCGCTAAGCTCCGCTCGTGCAGACGCTCAAGAAAGATTTCCTTGAAGCGCTCACGCGCCTTGCGTAGCCGTCGAGCAGGCGGGTGCGGGATCCAGTCTGGCAAGACAAAGGAGAGGATGCTCCCGATGTCGGCTTCCATGGCATGCAGGAGTTGAAAAAGCTCATGCGCATTGTGCTCGTAAAAGTCTTCGCCCATGAGGGACCGGACTGTGATCTTGTGGACGAGAAGGGAGACGGTATCGAAGAGCTCAAAGTCGCGCTCTGTGGCCCATTTCGCGGCAGCCTTGCGCGTCTCTTCCACCGAGACGACGGCGGCATGCTCCTGGGCGGCCCCGCCGCTGACATACTTACTGAGAGACGACAGGAGGACCCTGTAGTGCTCCCAGAAACCAGGATCGACAATCTTGTTCAGGAAGAGACCCTGAGAGCGATCAGAGCCTGTGCGAGCAATTGCCAAGGTCGGGCACACCCACCATGCCGGCCTTGAAGGACCATACATCTTCCCGCGTATCCAGGTATATCTTGTTGAGTTCATTCCCACGCAGCCAGACATTATAGACGGACAAGACCCGGATGCTGAAGACGTTGCCGCATTGCTCTGTCGCCTTTTGAATCAAGCCGATGGGTTTCGTCGCAAAATCTTGGGCGACGCTGAGGAACGCGAGGGACCCTTTCCCTTGATATACAGGGATATAAGTCTGGAAGCGGCGCTGGAGTGCGGACAAGAGGGCCACGGCAACGAGCCAGACCACGGCCAGGGTGAATAGCGCCATGGTGAGCTGGGAATCAAATTATGGACGGGCGGTAGCACGGAGGCCAGCTCTCGCTAGTCTACCAATGACGGCAGCTCCTTTTGCTGGAATTGATACCCCTCAGAGAAGAGAAGAGAAGGGCGAGCTGGGGTGATTTAAGAGGGAGCAAACCTCCGTCGGCGCCGGAGCCAAGGTGGTCAAGTCTGACTATGGCAGGCATGGCGCTCGTATACTTCCAAACAAGTCTGAACGGACTCGAGACACAAGGCGCCAGGAGGGAGCCGCAATTCGGTTGATGTTCTTAGAGGATGCAGAGCAATCCCCCGATATCCCGTGGCTGCTCGGAACGCGGACGCATAAGCAGGCCGAAAGAGGTGGCTGCCGAGCATCGAGGCCTTATTATCTTGTCTCATTTCCTCGCGGCGGCCGCAGTAAGCCGGAGTGACTTGAGCGTGCGAGTTGCTCGTGCAACTGTGCAAAGGCCGGATTTGTCGAAGCGCATCTTGACGAAGTTGAAGCCGTGATGAATAAGGGGAGCCAATAGAGGCGCGGACCCCCGCGCCTTTAAAGTCGGCGCGGACGTCCGCGCCTGTTATGTAAGCCTGGCAGGCCATTTGGGCCGCCGCCAACTGCGCTCGCAGTCGGCCTCACCGATACAGCATGCTTGCTGCATACATATAGCTTCAATTAATTGCAAAGGAGGATATCCCTTAGGGTTCGAACCCATAGCCCTCCCTATTTGGTAGATTGACGTGACGCAAAGGGCGCCGCTGTTGCGTGGCAAGGAGGGTGCGGGAAGTTCACCGCCTTAAAATTGGCCAGCTACAGTGCTACACGCCGGTGCATGTCGGTGATCTCACGATCTGCCTCACATTTTCGCATCGCCGGCATCATCACCACTTATATATGTGAATAAAATGCCTGCTGTTCCTCTGAGTCTCTCTCGCAGTCAGCCCATATACCTGCAGTACCTCTTTCTCGTGAGAAAGGCTGCACCTGAATTTCCTCGGCCACCCGGGCATCTAATCGCTCTTCTTCTGCCTTATCCCAATCAAGGTATGCCATCATCTCTACCTTGGTCCATTGCCTCGAGCCGCAGCTCCTTGACATTTGCTTCCAGTCGAGGCACCAGTCATATTCAGTCTTGCTGTAGCGCAATGGCAAGCCCATTGCCTTTCGGTATGCCTGGTTGGTCTTGAGACTGCCGCGAGGCTGTGCTCTATACCAAGAGTCTCTTTCCTGACATACCTCTGATAGATGGCTCGTGGGTCATCATATAATAGATTCTCTGTAGTCTCTGTAGTCTCTGCAATTGCTGTAGAGACTGTAGAGACCGTAGTGACTGCAACTGTCATTTTCTCCATGACTGCTGCAGTCTGCGCAGTCTCTGGAACTGCTACCGTCTGTACAGTCTGTGCAGTCTGTGCAGTCCCTGCAATTGCTGCAGTCTCTGCAGTCTGTGCCGCCCGTGCCTCTGCCCGCTGCAGTATGTCGCTATAGCGTAAAGGACAATTGCGAGATGTCATGATGTGCCCTTGCTGGTGGCATTTGCTGCATGTAGGCGGCGCCTTTGGCCGTAGATCTGACTCTATGGCTTCAAATGCACTTGGCTCGCGCTGTGTGGATGACTGTGATATCCTTGATGCGGCGACAAGTTGGTCTAGTCGCCGACGAGGCTCTATGAGGACCTGACCAATCTCTTTGTTATCCCGTCGAAGGCGCCAATGTGTATGAAAATGTTGTAGCCGGAGGGGCAGATCTTCCACTATGAGAGACTGTAATGCGTGCGCACAAGGGAGACCGCGAGACTTGGTGAAGCTGCCTGTGCAAGATGGGGTGTTTTTCTCGTTGAGGCGCTTGTGTTGCTTTGCAACCTGTCGCAAGGCTTCGTGTGATACCCAGCCACGTACCGTGCTATATACGGTTCCAGAGAGCTCAATTGGCATCCGTATATGCTGCCTGGCTTGGTTGGCTTGTAGCTCGGCCAGTTGGTTGAGGAGAGCTTGCTTGATTGCCCTCGTTGCCTCGAAGAGGTCTAATGTTGACTTCTTAAGGTGACTCTTCAATAATGCGTGGATGCCTTCCACCCGGAAGTAGCCACATTGCCGAAGTGAGCATATTGATCGACCCAGGCCTTGACGAGCTTTTCCTTATACGGGTCCAACCAGGTTTCCCGTATGTAGCTAACCTCCTTGACGTATCGTGGCACAAAGCGCTTCTCGAGCTCTTCAACTTGTTGATCAAATGTCTCCTCATCTTTCGAGCCCACGATTGAGTGCCAATACCCAAAGAACTCAGCCCACCTCTCATCACTATTAGAGTCCTCATCGTCACGGTCGAAAGCTGGTTTGCAATAGCTAAGCACCGCCTTATTCGCATGCCAGATGCAAAGCAGAGACTTGGACGCAGGAAAGCACCGGGAAATTGCGTTTATGCAGGCGAGGCAGCGATCTGTCAGGATAACCGATGGCTGGCGAATGTCATATAACTCGTATATCGATTGGAGTTGGTCCAGTGCCCAGATATAGTCATTTTCGTCTTCACCACTGAGGAAGGCAAAGGCAATACAGAATGACCGCTGACAGGCATCAACGCCGATCATATCGAGCAGTGGCATCTTATATTTGTTCGTCTTGTATGTGCAGTCTAGCAGTAGTAATTCTGGGTATGCGTTGAGGTATCCTAGAGACGCTGGGTGTGCGAATAAGACTGCTGTGACTCGGCCATCATGATCAAGCTGTATGCGGCTCTGGAACCCTCGTTGTCAAGCTCATTGGCAAGGGCATGCATTGTGCTCTGGCCAGCAAGGAGCTCTCGTCTGCGCTGTGCGATACAGTTATATATGTCTTGCTGTGTCGCTCCTTGGGCAGTCTGAGAGCTCTGGCGCATATATGTCCGGATATCCTTTGGTGCTATGCCAGCGCTTGAGAGGTTCCCAATAGCTGACTGGTCAGTTGAGGAGAGGGCACGATGAGCTGGATGTGCTGTAATATGCAGACTGGGCTCATGGTTGTGGACCGACTTCTCCTCGCCTGGGCGATGCCTGACATACCAGTACGACTTATCAAGGCTCTCTTTCGCATTGATGGAAAACTGGCATCCAGTGATACGGGAGCTTGTAGACCGTTGCCGATCAGCTGGCTTCTGGTCCTTGCTTGTATGAGCCCCAAGTCTACCTCCACGATCGCAGGCAAATATGACTGTGCGTCTTCCGGACCGCGGGTCTCGTGGACTTGCCTGTGGTGAAGGCATAGCCTCTTGGAGCCGCCCACGCATTAATTGAGGCAAGAAGAGACTCTCGCGAGTCGAACTGGCCCTCAGGAGGAAGGCAATCGTCAGGAATTCAGTAAGCCCCATATTGGAATTATCTTGAAGAGCTAGCTGTAGTGCACGACAGTGAGCAGCTCTTTATACACAAAGGAAAGGAAACTCCTGCTTTGTGGACGTGGTGCAGAACCCTTGTAACCGAGGCCGCCTGCGAGGTTTAATGCAGCCTGCGTTTGAGCTTTGGCCTCAATGGGGTCCAAGCACCACGCATGCAGGCGCTCGACCTTAATATGCGGATTATAGCATCGCTTCCGCGGACAACTACTCTGAGCGCAGATGGTATGCTATATGAGGCTGGCTCTCTGTGCGACAGTTTGCCACATGCAATAGAAAAGGAGAGTACAGGTCAGGGGCGGCCCGACTATCTTCCGCCTGGGCTTATAACAGGCGCGGACGTCCGCGCCGACTTTAAGGCGCGGGGGTCCGCGCCTCTAACGTAATCCACCCCCTTCCCGGTCAGACCCCCTACTCGGTCAAAAATTCCCCACCGACTAGACCCGCACCTTACGCGAGACAAACGGAGCACAATACCACGACATATTTACTCGGCCCCCTTTCCGCTCCCTGTGCCCGATTTTTAGTCTCCCTGTGCACCTTACCGTACTTGGCAAGACTCCACACGTAGACGCGTAACACACCATAATACACACAATTGGCGTCGCGGCAAGCAGCCTCCTGGTACAACACCACAAGCCAAAATAACTCGTGATAACCACCCACCTCGCAATACCACATCGCGTCTGCGCAGCTAAGTTTCCAGAGGCACACAACCGCCACAAAGCAGCTAATCAAACCGTTCTTTTGTCAAGATGCTTCTCCAGCCCCGCCAAACAATATGCCACTCTTTGAGACCTTTGACGATGCGTTTGACGAGCTCCAGCGGCATGCGCGCTGCCAAGGCTACGCCATAGTTAAGTTCAAGCCAAGCAACTACGAACATGGGCTCCCACGCCGTTACGACATCGTATGCGCATGCGGCGGCCGTGAATACAAGTCAGCCTCGTTAGGACTCCGGAAGACTGGCACTAGGCGGACTTCCTGCCCGTTTAGAGTCAAGGTTGTGCGCCTGAAGCTAGAGGGAGGCCTCTGGCGAGTCTCTGTGATGTGCCCAAGGCACAACCATGAGGCCAATAGGGCCGGCGCCTTCCCAGAATACCGGCGCCTTCATCCACATCAACTCCAGCAGGTTAAAGATTTATCTCGCGATGCTGGCTTAACGGCGCGGCAGATCCTTCTTGCTCTTCGGGCTAAGAACCCGCGGCTACTTGCAACAGAGCAGGACATCGCGAATATCTGTGCCCGGCTTCGTCTCCGGGAGCTTGGGGCACATACATCCACACAAGCGCTTATTGCCAGGCTCGACGAGGAAGGTGCCTTCCATAAAGAGCTACTTGACGATGAGGATCGCTTCTTCTACCAGATTGTGGGCCTTGACCCTGCCTTGCGGCTTTGGGCACAACATTCACACCTCATGATGGCCGACGTAACGAACAACACGAATAGATATGGCCTCAAGCTGCTAGAGATCAATGGAATCACTGCCTTGGGCTCTATCTTCCCTGTGGCTTTCTGTTTAATCCCTTCCGAAGACACGAACGCATTTACCTGGTGTTTTATACAGCTTCGCGAGTGGTTACAGTCAAAGGCAAGGCTAAGAGGCGAGGCTGACGGCAATGCCTTTATCCCACACGTTATCATCACGGACTATGACGCTGCTGCGCGCGCTGCATTGTCGGCTACCTTCCCGGACTCGCAGCTACAGGTCTGTACGTGGCATATCATGAAGAACATCACTACAAACGCGAAGAAGCGCTGGCTTGGCGACTATGACGATGATGACCCATTTGACCCGCCGCAAGAGCCCCAAGACGATGAAGACCCGGGCGCTCTGCAGCTACCGGAGCCACTGCCGGAAAAAGAGGCCCCTGTGCCTTCACAACAGCCTTCCGGTCCGTAGTGTATGCCCCGACCGAGGACGAGTTCAACAGCCGCTGGGGCATCGTCAAAGGCGCCTTCTCAGACCAGCACATTATTCTTAGGTATGTAGAAGAGATCTGGATGCCTGTACGAACACAATGGGCGCGCGCTTGGGTCTGCCGTTACCGCAACTGGGGCCACACAACGACCTCGCCTTGTGAATCCCTTCACTCAAGCTCTCGCACCTTCCTTCGCAACGGCCAGTCGAACCTGCTTGAATTATATCATGCCTTGCAACTACAAGCCTCAACCTCACGAGAACACCATGATCGGACCGTTGAGCGCGAATCACGACGGACTCGCGACCCGTTCCGGCTACCATTATATGAGGATGCCGTCGAGAAGGCGTCATATCGGTCTCTCGAGCTTGTACAGAAACAGGCACTAGCCGCCTCGGCCGGCCTCCTCAAACCACAAGAGCGGCCACTTGGGAATGTGGGAATAGCTTCACTGCCCAATACGGGCTGCCCTGCAAGCATATTATCGCCTCGTACCTCCAGGTCCAAGGAGGGACTAGCCGCAAAGTTATAGCTACAAGACCCTTGCCCTTGAACTTGTGGGACAGCCACTGGCTTCTACGGCAGGATCTTGCCGTCACAGACCCATACAGACGAATTCGCGATCCTCGAGTCATTGCCCGGCGCCGCAGACCAGCCAGAGCCATAGCCTTTGCACCTGTGGCCACGACTGCAGCCGTTGCAACAGCCGCTGTAACTGCACCTGTGGCCTCGTCAGCAGCGGCAGCAGCAGCTACCCCACCAGCTTCGCAACAGTCACAGCCTCGCGGGCAACAGCAACAGCGGCAGCCAGTCTTGCAGACAGTGCTTTCGCGGCTTGAGGCTATTGGCAACTATCTTGGCATTGGGCCGGCTATAGCTTCGTGGTCGGTGTCAACACCACAAGCCGACATCGTGATCCGTCAAACGCCTACACAACCGACCTCATACCAGCAGCCGCAGACTTTCCGGCGCTCAGAGTCTGCCACCCAACTTATGCGGCGGCTACCTCCGCCTTCGAATATCACGAGCCGCCGCGGCCGCCGCGTCAAGGAGGTTCTCAACGGGGGCATCGCGAGCGCCTCGTCTCTTTACCCTTGGGTCCTCGACCCTCTTTCTAGCACCCTTACATCAGTGGAAGGAGGATTCATGCCGCTCCCGGCTTCGCAGATAAGTAACGCTACAGTTAGAAAGGGGGAACGCTCGCCACGGCGGAAAAGAGGCCACGCAATGCGGCAGCCGTATGAGCTTGTAATGCGGCTAGAAGATATGGAGGAAATGTGCGAATAGCTTCAAGTTCATAATGTTCAACGCAAGACTCTACAATCCGTGACTACCTTCTAATTGGTGTGTTGCACACACAAATGCATGTCTTGGCCGATTCGCGATGCTTCTACCTAATACGGTAAGGTGCACAGGGAGACTAAAAATCGGGCACAGGGAGCGGAAAGGGGGCCTATTTACTCCAAGAGACAAGTAACTCGATTAGGACTATCTATTACACGTACGGGCAGTGTGTTCAAAAGACCTGCACTTACTACACCGTGGTGGTGCACGCTGTCTTGGGACACTCAGCTCTTCTATAAGTCGTTGGTCCCGCTCCCTTCTTCCCGCCGTCGCTTGGCCCGCTCATCTTCCTTTGCTCTCTGTTTCTTGACCCGCTCCTCTTCCTTTCTCGCCGTAGCTTGAACCATTCCTCGTTCTCTTGTCGCCGTCGCTCGGCCCGCTCTTCTCCTTCTTGTCGTCGCTTGGCCCGCTCCTCGTCCTTCTCTCGCCGGCGCTTAGTCCTCTCCTCTTCTTCCACTCTCCGTCGCTTAACCCGCTCTTCTTCTTCTTCTCTCCGTTGCTTTATCCTAACCGTGCCCTCTGCAACCGATAGAGTACCGCCGTCGCCAATGTATTCACGGCGCTGTTCTTTTCTCTGCTTTCGCCGCTGGTTTTCTGACCGAAGTTGCCGGTTTTCGTCGGCAAGGAGGGCGGCGCTGTGCATGGCCATTTGACATCCTTTGATAAGCTGGTTGATAGCTTGTGAAACTGGCGAGTCTGTATTTTGTGGCCGGCGTTGAAGAAGCCTTTCGGCGTGAGTGGTAAGCTGGTTGACGTTATGCGGAGTCTTGGCTGCTTCCAGGCTCTTGTTGGGACTTGGAGTATTCTTGTCGCCGTGATCGTTACCGACTTTGTCAACCTGAACTTGTAACCGCGATAATACTCTGTTTGGGTCAAACGGAAAAAGGCCTGTTGCCATAAATCCGCTTCGGATATTCGACGGCGAAAGTGCTTGTCGGCGAGCGTCTAAGTACATGGGAAGGAAGTCCTGCTTGTCGATATGATGGATCCCAGCGAGCATTTTCTCTTGAACCTTTCGGCCGTATATGGTTTTCAACGGCGAAAAGCACCCGACATCAAGAGGCTGCAAGAGATGTGAGGAATGTGCAGGCATTTGAGTACTACGATGGAATTGGCCGTACAGTACTTGTCAAATTCCGGCGTGACGTGACTGCCGTGCCCGTCGAGAATAAGAAGTCGATGCGTACCAACCGTACGGCGCCGTGTATTCGGATCAAAGACTTTAACCAATTCAAAGCAAGGTCGTCGGAAGTCCAGCCATTCTCACTAACGGCGATATGCCAGTCATCGGGCACTCCTGATTCGTACCAGCTTGCTTGGTGTAACTTGCCCTGGAAGATAACCTTCGCCGGTAAAGCCCAACCTTGGCAGTTGATAGACTCGATCACAGTAACCCATTCTCGATTTCCAGGCTGCGTGAGTACTGCCCGACCTCGCCGGTCAGACCGGGTAAGGACTCGCCGTTGCAGCGACTCCCATTTGAAACCCCGTCTCATCAAAGTTATAGACATCCTCGTCAAGAATCCCCCATTTCTGTTTCGTCGCCGCGACTCGATCGTACCATCCTTGGATCTTTTGGGGGTCTTCGCATTTGGCTCGTTGGTAGTCGTATCGGCGAGAGTACTTTGCCTTGATTTCGCCGTGGCGGCCAACAAACTTCCGCACCCAGTTTTCCCCGACAGGATCTTTGCCTCGCTCGGAAAGCAATAAGTTGGCCATCCGACGAGTGTAAGCCACTGTCGGCGGCATCCCTCGCTCGTCCATCGACAAGATCCATTGTACCAGGGCAGTCTCTTCCGTCGCCGTCAACTTCAGGTTGTTCATCTGAGCGTCGCGTCGGCGAATGACACCGCGCAGTCGATCAGATACTGTCGATTGAGGACGTCGTATGCGGCCGCAGCCTTGCGGGTACTTTTGAATTGGCCCTGCTGATAGGCCCTGACGGCGAGCAGGACCCGTTCTTCGCGTGGAACCGATTGGTCTCCCGTTGCCGTCATAGTGCTCGGTTTGTCTTGCCATAAGTGTGGGTCGCCGCGTGGAGACTTTTTCTGACCGAGTAGGGGGTCTGACCGGGAAGGGGGTGGATTACGTTATTGGCTCCCATGAATAAGGGGGTGCTTAGTCATCGTTACCGTCTGCCATACCCCCTGTGAGGCTCCACGGCAAACGATCGTCACGAGCCATGATTCCTCCCTTGCCTCCTCTCCAAGACGCATCAAAGCCTCTTTCCCGACCAGACTCGCAAACGCCCGAGGAACCCCGTGGGAAGCCGTCCTCTATGGCGCCAAGCCATGCGCGGCGGGCAAGTCTGTGGATATGTCGGCCAGCACCCGAGCCATTCGAAGCAAATTTGCCAACGCATTCAAGGGGCCTAATGTTTATGTTGCCTGATATAGAGTTTGGCATGTGTCGTCTTTGGCATGTGTAACCGACTCTTTCCTCCTCTTCGTCCCTCCGTTGCAGCTGTCCGACTGACGGAGGGACTCGTCGTCCAAAAGCCGCCGACCGAGCTGGGCGTGTCCACCGTACACGCCGTGGATGCTTGGCCCTGATGGTAGCTGGCAGGTTCTCTGCCTCGTCGGAGAGAGGGCCTGATGGCTCGAAGCCTGAGAGATGGTAATTGCGAAATAAAAAGAACAAAGACGACGAACACATGTAGGAGCAGAATACGGGCGAGCATACTTCCACAGCTATGGCTGCACGGAGCGGTGAGAGGCACCCTCTCCTTCCCGCGCCCATTCCATCTGGATTCACAGGCCAGTGCGGCTCAACCCAGTCCAACATCCTTGCCGCCTTGGATTCAACTCGGCCCGGCAATTCACTACACTTTGACGGTAGCTTTCGCTTTGCTGCTCGGCAGTGGGGAGAGGAAGCCAAGGAACCTCCATTAACTCCTCTTTGCTTGGAGCATGGCGAGACTTCTTTCCACCGGCGCCCTCTCCACTCCATGTCCTGGAAAATAATAAACATAATTCACAGGGACATCATCGTCTGCTGCCCCCTCCTGGCATCATCATATTTACATTTATACAAACATGCCTTTCATGGGTTCGGTCCGACTTCGCGACGTGATTCATTCCCCAACCATGCCATGGAGAGTCGCCCCCGGCAACGCCTCCGTCCCGGCGATTCCCGCCATAGATGGCGCCTCCGATTTGGCCCCGGCCTCGGATGAGGTCGAGCACAAGCCCGACCCTGACTCACTCGCTTCATCCAACTCTGACAACGACACGCCCCGGACGGACAAGGATCCATGGGCCCAGGCCAGCCAGCCACTCCCCTCCTCCAGCCCTGCCACCGATCCAGACCGCGAGCTCGACCGCATCGGCATCCCCAACGGGGGACTCCGTGCTTGGCTTGTCGTCGTCGGTGCATTCATCGACTTTATGGTCGCTCTTGGTGAGCCGTCCTGCAACAGGCCGGCCTTTCTGACAATCGATCCTGGTGGAGCAGGTTCACTGACGAGGAGTCGTCACCACAAGGTCTCTTAAACTCCTTCGGTATCTTCCAGGCTCGATACGAAGCCAAATGGCCCGACCGAAGCACGGCGACGCTCACCTGGATTGGCAGTACTCAGGCAAGTGTTTCTTCTTCTTCTCTGTTCCCCCGAGCCTGAACAGCTTCCCGTATTCCTCTAGAGTGAGAAGCAGTGGATCATAGTCTAACACACGTGGCGGCAAAGCTCTTTGTTCTTTTCGCCGGCGGTTTGTTTGTTGGCCCTGCGTTTGACAAGTATGGTTCCCGCACCCTGATGCTGCTTGGCACTGGCTGCTGCCTCGCCTCCTTCCTCTGCACCAGCTGGTCCACCAATTACTGGCACTTTCTTCTGTCTCAGGGTTTTCTCTTTGGCCTTGGAAATGCTTTGCTGTGCGTATCACCGAGCCGTCCAGCGTCGCCAGTCCCTGACTTTGTGACTTGCAGGTTCTACCCTGTGACCGGCGCCGTCTCGGAATGGTTCGACAAAAGCCGTGGCCTGGCACTTGGGATTGCCGCCGCTGGATCTTCCGTTGGAGGCGTCTTCTGGCCCATTATTCTCAGCAGTCTGTTTGACACCATGTTGGAGGAAACTGTCCACCGCATCGTCGCTGTCATCTCGACGCCTCTGCTTCTCCTATCTTGCTTGCTCGTCAAGGAGCGCAAGGAAGCGGCCGGCCACGACACATCCGGCAACCAAGTCCAGCCCTCGCAAAGTAGTGCGTCTAAAGCCATATTCGAGTGGCGCTTCCTCGCCTTGAGCGTGTGCCTGATGATTCTGTACTGCGGCGTGCTGATTCCCTTCTACTATGTCCCTCTCTACGCACTGGACCACGGTGTGAACCGCTCCATGGCCAACAATCTTCTGGCAGTCACCTACGCGGGCTCCTTTTTCGGCCGCATTGGAGCTGGCTGGCTCGCGGATCGCTTGGGCAGGCAAGTGGCTATTCCTGTGCTTGGTCTTCGTCCCGGCTAATGCGTGTCAATGCAGGTTCAACATCCTCTTCCTCATGGGCACACTTATGAGCGTCGTGACCTTTTGTTGGATCTGGATGACGTCCCTTGGGGCCATGATTGCCTTTTCCGTTCTCTTTGGTCTTTTCTCGGGCGGCCTGGTGCCCCTGGGCCCAGCCTGCGTCGCACAGACGACACACGATATGGGACACATTGGCCTTCGCATCGGCGTCATGATGGTCTTCAGCTCCGCCGGTGCACTGTCTGGCGGGCCGCTCAGCGGCATCCTCAGAGATGGCCCGACCGGCTGGCTGGCCGTTCATTCCTTCTCTGCCGGGGTGGCCCTGGCGGGAGCTCTTTTGCTGCTCGGTGTGCGCATCTGGCACCGCCCGTATGCGCTGGCCAAGTTTTGATCAAGCATCTAGTCGAGGCGCTGGCCAAGGAGATTGGATAACGAGGAGCAGAGAAAGGGAGTGAGACCGAGTACATTGTGTATTCCTCGCGCCGTAGAATCAATATGCAAACGCACTGGCATACACCGCGCGGTCGTCTGCGTCGTGAGCTGAAGACTGTTGTCAGCTTCGACTGAGAAATGAATCCACAGGTATTATGGAACGCAAGCGCTTCCTTGAGAAATAGGTGAGGGCCGCACCGCTTCTTTTTCCATTGGGCATTATGTATGCCCGAGGCTGATGACCAGATTCGATGATCAACTGATTCATCGAACGAGCCAAGAGCTTCGACTAGATTGTCACGACAGAAATAGAACGGCGATACATTTCCACGCCGTCAAATATGGCCAGTCCTTGTAACAAGGCATGCATGGACTTCATGAACCTATGCTTCAGCCTCTCATTTCATTATACCAAATGTAGGCGGCCCTCCGGCGCCCATCGGGGTCCAGGCGCCCCTGTCCGCTTCTGGGCGGAGAAACCGGAGTATCTCGACAGCCAGGTGATCGATTGGTCCTTGGAGGCCATCTCTGCATGTCATATCCTGAGCGCATGGGATAGGTCGGTAATTACATGGACAGTTCAGCCCTGTCTATGATGAGGGAAGAAGGACGAACGCAGTCCTCGGTATAGACGGCTGAGAAGGACCTGGCTCTCATTTAAGGACGTCAAATGCAAGGCTTTGTCTCCAGACTCCGTTCATATTCAGTTCCCCGAACTGATCACACGACTCGGCACATTAAAGGGCCCTTGACTTGCACTTGGTTCATTGCTCCGAGGGCCTTCTGTCATCATGAGGCTCCTCCCCTTCTCGGCTTCGAGCCTCATCCTCGCCGCAGCCGTTATTGCCGCCGCCGCCGCCTCCGATCCCCCAAGTAAGAGCCAAAGCTTGGACAACTGTGTAGCAAAAGTCTTCGGCAAAGATGTCAACGCAAGGGTTGTGTCTCCCAATAACAAAACCTACACGGACGCCCGTATGGGCGAGTCGATCCAGTGAGAGCGGCCGCTTCGCCCCTTTTCTTTCATCCCGAGCCTCTTGTTAGACGAGTGAGCAAGCTGGCATCACATTTGCACTGACACGACACGGCGCCCACACCAGGTATGATCAGCTGCCCTTGCTCATCGCCTACGCCAGCGACGCCGGCCAGGTCGCGCCTCTCATCAGGTGTGCCCAAAGAGCGGGGGTCAAAGCCGTGCCTAGATCGGGGGGGCATCAGTAAGTCTTCCGAAACCACCTCTTCGGTCGGAATAGGGAGAAAGGGGTGAAACGTGGTGGGCAAGATATGAGAGCCCCCCGTGATTGACACGCAAGCCCGGCAGCTTCATGGCCTACTCGGCCCTGACGGACACGCTCGTCATCGACGTCACGCACATTGACGGCGTACACGTGTCCACCGACAAGAAGACGGCGCGCGTCGGTGCCGGCATCCGCCTGGGTGCGCTGTACACGGCACTGAGCCGGCACGGCCGCGACTGGCCCGGCGGCATCTGCCCAACCGTTGGCCTGTCCGGCTTCCTCGGCGCCGGCGGCTTCAACATGCAGATGCGCCAGCTCGGCCTAGGCGCCGACCACGTCCTCGCCGCCCGCGTCGTCCTCGCCGACGGCCGCTCCGTCGTCGACGCCTCCCCCGTCCATCACCCGGACCTCTTCTGGGCTGTCCGCGGCGGCGGCGGAGGCTCCTACGGCGTCGTCGTCGAGTGGACCCTCGCCCTGTCGCGCTTCCCACGCTCGTCCATGGTGCAGATCAAGTGGGACGAGCCCGGTTCTCGCGTTGACTTGGCCGTCCGCTTCTTCGACTGGGCGCCCCGGACGGACCCCAGGTTCATGAGCTCCATCAACGTGTACAAGAACCGCACCGAGGTGCTGGGCTGGTGTCTGGGCTGCCGCCTCGACCACGCCAGGGCCCTCGTCAACCAATCCGGCCTGCTCGCCATCGGCACGCCCGAGGTACACATTGCAGGGGGCTGCAACACCGACAACGCCCGCATGTTCGGCTACTTTACCAGCGAATGCTTCCGAGACGACGCCGAAATCGCCAAGCGCGTGCCCCTCGGCATGAACGTGGTCCAGCAGCCCTTTGCGCCCCTCGACGGCCACGCGCCCTTTACCTGGAACCAGACGCGCCAGAACCCGGGCGCGCCCCGGGCCCTGCCCTGGTCCCGCTTCCGCCGCATCAGCAAGTCCTTCTTCGTCCAAAAGGACCGCCCGCTGACCCTCCAGACCATCCGCGGCCTTGTCGACCGGCTGACGGAGCTGCCAGACGAGGCTTCCGGCTGGGGCGAGTGGCACGCGTGGAACATCACCGGCCCCCGAGATCAGGCGGCTTTCGCCTGGAGGGACAAGGCATATGCCCATCTCGAGTTCATCCTTACCGGCTCTGAGGACATGGCCAAGCAGGCGAGATACCGCCAGTGGGTGGACAAGCTCGAGCACTTCCTTCGACCGCGGGTTGGGTATTCGCTCCCGTCTTTCCGGGCCGACACAGGCAAAGACCTGATTGCTGACCATGACCAGGCCTGCCTCGTACCCGGGCTACATGGACTCCGGCATATCGACCGACCCTCTGTCATCGTATTACGGATACAATGTGCGTAGGCTGTCGAGCATAAAGCGCAAGTATGACCCCTCCAACTTCTTCGATAACCCTCTGGGCATCCGATGAGCCAGTTGGGCCGCCGTGGTAGGTCATGGTTACGCCCGGCTGGGTATCCAGAGGTTGGATGTATGCAGCTGTGCTCGCGAGTTTTTGAAAGGTCAACTTGCTGCTTTCATTCCATCGTGGCAAGATACTTGAGCATAATCGGCAGTGACCCACAATCTATATCCAATGCGAGGGAAAGAATTATTGTATCCCATGATGAAACATCTGACACTTGCTCAGTTACTGCACTCGTATTCGCAACCCTTTTCAACGCTTGCACTTTATCCGACGTCCATGTACTCTTGTATCCGTCACCTCTTGCGCGCCTTTGCCAGTGTCCTTGACCTCTTCTCAGACTCATCGACCGTGTGCACCTCGCCCCAGTCTGCGTCCTCCAGGCACTCCATGACCACGGGGTTGACAAAGACGTGATTCTCGAGGCCACCTCTGAACAAGATCTTCATCATGCTGACTCTCGAGTAGAGCGACCAGGTATCAATTCTGGCTGTGTGACTGCCGAGCCGCAACTTGCAGCGGTACCCGTACTCAGCCATTCCTCCGTCTGTTCGCAGGGAGGAAGGGACATGAGTGTCTTTCTCCGGGAGGTAGAGTGCGGTAGAATAGTACGGGCCGACGCCCCTTTCAAGCGAGGTGACGACGCTCATGAGGCTGTCCCGGAGATCTCGACGGCTCTTTCTCGACACCGACTTGGCGGTGAGCTTGGCCAGTTCGCTCAGTCGGCCCGCCAGTCGTTGTGGGTCGTAAGGTAACTGAAAGGGCTCGCCCGTTTCGGCCTCGTGGTTGCGTGACGATTCGTAGATGAGGGCGATGCAGTGGCCGGCGTTTGACTGTATCTCGATGTCGGAGCTGTCCAGTTGGTCCACGAATGCATCCATGGCAATGTCGGCATAGTCGGAATAATCGTCCACATGGCTGGCTACAAAGGCCCAGCCTCGCAGCGCTGCAGAAACGACTACGGCATTGTCAAGCGACTCAATGCTTTCGCCGTCGGTTTGGACAATGTCCACTAAGAACTCCATGAGCTCCAGGGCCGCCTCTTCTAGGCCTCCGCCGTACAAGACAGTCATGCACAGAGCATATATCGCGAGCACCTTGCACTCCTCATCGTCCTCGTCGGCCAATATCTGCCTGAGGACCTTGTTGCCGGTTTCAAAGACATCCACGTCTTCCACGGTGCCCACCGTCAGGCAGTAGGCGCGCAAGCTCAGCAAACGCTCTCGGGCCGTCGCGCCGCGGTTTGCATTCTTGAGAAGAATCTCGGCCAAGGCGGCTGCTGCATCGTCCAGCCACTGGTGCGTCTCGACGTTGTACCGGTTGCGCATGACCGTGATGTAGACTTGCAAGTACTGCTCGCGGACCTCGCTGTTGTTGTGCTTGCGGTCCTGGAGACCGTCCATGAGCGCCTGGACATCAAAGGAGGATCCAGCATCCTCGGGCGTGTCGGGTCCGGAGCCGCCCGAATGGACGCTTGACGTCATATCGTCGAGGTCGAAGTCTCCATCCTCATCGTTGTCGCTCACGTCTGAAGTCACGCGACTGTGGTTGGCGGAATGGGACGGCGACGTCAGGAGGGAGGCCATGGGCGAGGAGCCCTGAGGTGTCATAGTGCCCGATGCACGGCCTGATTTCTGCGCCTTTTTCGACACCGTCTTGCCGCCCTTGAGGGCCTTGACCCTTGCGTGGTTCATGGCGAATGGGCGGAGGTTTGGGGAGCGGTCTGGAGCAAGAATGTGCCGAGTAGAGGCCTCGGAGGCGCCGCACAGCTGTTTGTCGGGCGGCCAGACAGAGACGTCTTGTAATCGATTCAGGGTATGCTGCTGTGTGCCGTGTCACGCCGGTTTTCTGAGCCTGCCACGTCGGAGCTTGATGCCGTGTGCCTTGGTGACAGTGTCGAAAAAGCTAATGCTGTGCATACCAAGCTCCATGGAGGGAAAGAGGCAGAGACAAAGGCAGGCGAGTAGAGGAGGAAGAGCTGGGGGATCTCGAGGCGGGATACTGGCAAGGAGGGAGCTTAGGGTTGTGGGGAGACAGAGAGATGTCATAGGACGAGGCAGGGACAAAGAATGGAAGAATTCGGGAAAGGAATCAATGGCATCAGCTTGGCCTTGGGCGTGACCAACTGTAGCGAGGCTAGTGGCTGGTCAAGTGGCGGCGAGAAACACTGGCCCCCGCCGTTGCGGGACACATGCATGTACCGCATGTACAGCTACCCGATGAGCCCTGTGTTCCCATGTATGGCTACCTGACCCCTAATCTTGACCTCGACAGCTGCGGAACACGTCTTGGTCTGCGACGATGCAGGGTCAACGTGTCTCGCTGTCCAAGGTGGCTAGATGCTTGAGTATCCGGTGCCTTGTTGACAAAAATGGCCGCCACTCAACGCTCCAGGTTGAGAAGCCCGCGTCACGCGTACAGTGGTTGGGCGGTCATGACGCGTACCAGGCACAAAGCGGGTACTCGTGCCGACTAGCGCGATACCTTTTTCGGGTACGTACTTACCAGTGGAGGGAGGGGCCACTTTTCAGTTGGAGGGGAGCATGAGCAGTGTCCCGGGTTGCCTCGCGGAGCGTGCACTGATCTTAGAATAGACATCTCAGCCAGCCTCGACGACGGCCCGGCTGTTTCCCAAGAGTGCAGTTGCAGTTCGTGCACACAACACGAGGCTATGCGCTGCCGGCCTTTGACCGGTGGCTTATGCCACGTATCTACTCCGTACATGGCGAGGTCTTTTTGCCGGCAATTTTGCATTGCCGCATCCTGCATGTCGGTTAGGAGAACTGTACATATATGTAGAGAGTTGGGTATCACATTTGTTGGAATCGCCATTTTCTCCCTCGCGTGTGTCGTGCCCGAATATCAGGAGTGCAGGGCAAACCCTCGGTCCCGGGTACACGCCCGTGAAATAGCACAGCCACGCCAAAAACCAGCAGCCATAACACCCTCAACCGAGAGCCAGCAGCTCAGTTGTAACATGCTACTTTGAGGCTTTAATGCGATGACCTATTGGCCGAGTCCAGCAAAAATTGTATGATTTGCGCCCAGGGATAGCCACGACTTGTTCAGGACATAACCCTGCTTGCGGTCGCGATAGCCTGTCCACGGCACTTGACATGTGTCAAGAAGAGAGTAAAGACGAGTATTTATGGGTGTACGGGAGTGAAGCGTGGCGGCAGTCAGGCTATTAGGTAGACCAAAGGGAGGCGTCGCCGGCTGTCCAGACAATTCTTCCTTGGGGGGGCGCTTTGCATGAAGGCCCTACCTCCAACTCTGCTCTGAACATGGTGCCTACGTCTTCGTGTCACGACGCCTCGGATGGCGTCCCAATACGGGTTTCTCCACCTGGCCTGCATCTCCGAGCACGAGGCGGCTTGGTGAATGGGATTGGCGGCTTTCCATGATGCGCTGATGTGCGAAATACGCCTGGCAAGAGTCAAAGCACCTTGCACCTGTTGGAGTCGGTCCTTGCACGTGACCCCACTCCACCCAAGGCGTCGATAAACCCCAGTCTGCAGGCTTATCGCCCCCACCTGCCTGCAGCCGCCGAGCGCCTTGGCGGCCTTGCCTTCAACTCTACCCCACCTTCCCTACTTCGTAAACCCCCTTCCCCTCCAGTCCGCGGGCCTCTCTCCATCCCTTCTCCCCTTCCAAGTGACAGCCCGTTTTCGGAATCATCCTCCTTTCTCGCTCTCGGGTGCTTCTCTAGAGTGCTTCTTTGCGCGGCAGACTGCCGCGAGGTGCACCGTCGCTCCTCGCCCATCGCAACGTGACCCATCAGGTCACCGAACGGTCAACACCACTCGTCGTCATCAACCACATCTACGCTTCAAGATGGCCGTCTCCCAGTTCAGTGACGAAGGTGAGCTCGAAATTCGGCCCACGCATCACTTCGGGCAATATACTGATGCTTTCTGTCCAGTTCAGATAGTTCTGAAGGCAATCGACCCGCCGGATCCGCTTTGTATTCCCCCCTTGAGCGATCGTTACCTGCTTCTTACCAAGGAGAAGCCGACCCTTCCTATCGGAAGGACGAGCAAGAGGGACTCGAGGCTAGAGGCAGCTCGCAACAACGCCTGGATTGATTCAGCCGTCATGTCACGAGCCCACGCCCTCCTCAAGTTCGATGTCGATCAAAGGGTAAGTCGTTTCCCGCAAACCCCTTTCCGATACTAGGGCAGGCCAGCACTAACTCGGTCAAACAGAAAGTGTTCGTCAAGGACGTTGGATCTCTGCATGGAACCTTTTGCAACGGCGTCCGTCTTGCCAAGAATCAACTGCAGGCTCTCGAACAGGGCGACACACTCAGATTCGGCGTCGCCGTCGAGAGGAGCATGCAGGCATTCCCGCCGTGCACCATGCGAGTCCTCATCATTCATGGGACTGAAACGTATTGTCCCTGGTCTTACCTAATCGTCTGCAAAGTCGTTAACACTCTAATAGGCGACCAGAAAGCAAGCCCGTGGTCTTCCGGGTTCCCGACGACACCGACATCGAAGACATTGCCAGCGATGATGATTTCAGCATCCGGACTAGTACCAGGTTCTTACGCGAGAACGGTTTCTACCCAGCGCAGTCGGCAGAGACCAAGGCTGTGGCGATTGACCTCACTTCCGAAGAGGAGGACAATGAGTTCAATTTCAACGACCTTCAGGTTATTGAGGGTCAGCGGGTCGAGCCCGAAGAATGGGAGAGCTGCAGCTCTGTCGTATCGCCTGCTACATCCTCGGTTCCAGACCCTCGTGCATTGAATTCAATTATGACCACACCGGCTGCAGCACCCGGAGAAGGGCCGGTTCCCGTCCTCGACGGTGGCGAGGAAGTCGACGGTGACAGGGAAGCCGACGGAGACGGGAAAGCCGACCGGGACGAGGAAGCCGACCGAGACGGGGAAGTCGATGGTGACGGTGAAGTCGATGGTGACGAGTCGGTTGATTTGGACGGGCCGCTTTGCTTTGACCTAGGTAAGCCGGCTACAAGCCATCCAAGACGCACACGCTAACGAACACACAGCCGCTGCAAATCTGCCAGCTGGTCTGCCCAGCCTTATTGACGACTGCGATGACGTCGGCTTGGAACGACCAAAGGCTGTAGCCGTGGAAGAGGTGGTCGTGGCCAGAGACTCGGTGCCACCCACGCAAAACTGGTTTGATCCTGACAGCACCATGATGTTCAGTTCGCCTGCAGCGCAATGTACACGAGGGCTGGAGATGCAGTCGCCACGACCTTCGTCGCCTGTACTTGACGAAACCTCAGCATACCAGTTTGAGCTGAGCAAGAAGGCTGCGGCGGCGAATGCAGCGGTCTCTAAACAGACGCGCATCGAAGCCTGCACCTGTGCCAGACCATCAGGCGATCAATCTTCGCATAAGAGAAAGGCGGAAGACATTTCGGAATTGACACCGGAAGAGGAGACAATTGGAACCGAACAATCCAAAGAGCCAGCTTGCACTCCACCCAACCCAGTCATCTGTTCGGCCCATGCGAGCTCGTGGAAAGCCCTTGTGAACGAGGCTGAGGGCTCACGCGCAACCAAGCGCCTCCGCAGAGCTGCAGAAGTCTTCGGGTATGCGGCTCTAGGAGGCGTTGCAGTCATGTCTGCCTTGATCGCTACCGCACCAGCCCTCTGATGAGCGCCCGCGGCAGCTGACATGGGCCCACTACGCTGCAGGATGGCACTTGAGATGGGGTGGAATGTGAGGCGGCCTGCCATTTCCCTTGTAGGCAATCAGCCTCCACGCTTGGTCTCGGTTGGGGCTTCTGGCGTTAGGTATTTCGGATACAAGCGGAAGCGGCAAGATTGGACCAAATCCACACGGAGGTTAGGCTTTTGTTTCCTCCCTGCATAGTTGCAAGGTCACATGCAGGGCCGTTGACCGGTTCACTCGATCGAAGGGTAGCTTTTGTGAATGAAAGGAAGGAGGCGTCCTTACACGATTTAAATTCCGTAAATTCTTCCTAAAACAGGGCTTGGTCCTGGCTGTCGGATGTGACGGGTTCACGACATGCATCTCCTGAGGTGACGATTCTCGTCGTGGCTGAGAAAAACGGCCGAGGTTAAATCGCAGCGACGAAGAGCGGGCGAGGGTCGGGCGCCGTGCCGCTGGAGTGGCAAGTCTTGTGGTGAAGGATCGGTGGCCTGGAGTCCACATGTGTGCACGTATGGTGCAGTTCATCATGTCACAGAGCTTGCATGATAATTGTTGGCTGGTTTGCTCGGTACAACAGCACGCATATTGAGAGGCAGTTGTCGGCCTGGGTCTAGAAAAGTCTAATAAAACCCAAGCTTGCGCTACCAAGCAAACTGGACGAGAGTCGAGGTCAAAAACCTTGTGTGATGATTAAAGGCCTCGTTGCTTCGGGATGGAGTATGGTCAGGCTGCGGCGACGGCTCGAGAGCTGAAACCCACCAATGCTAGATGGTGTATGCCACGAGCGCATTGACGAAAATGGCGGTTGGTCGGCTATTGCTTCATACAGCTGGCAAGAGGATGCGATGAAAATATGAAAGGAGATAAGAGGCAGTCCTTGACAAAGGACAGGGGGGGGCTTGTTGCCTGGCTGTCGTCGGGGAAACTTCGGCTTCACGTCCTGCTTGCTGGCTTTGTGCGGCTCTTGCTCAACCATTCCCATCCATCCATCCTTTCAACCTCTGGCCGGCACCCGCGTCCCTCTTCTTAAACGGCACTTTCTGCCGCTGAGCTCATGAGCCATCGCATTCATTAGCTGCGCCAGCTAGCAATAATCCTAGGCTGTGAGTCTTTTTCTCGTCGCGCTCCCGGCCTTTGCACACGCCATTCGTTGCGCGACTTGGTGCCAACCCAAAATCTTGTTGCGCCCAGCTGCTGCTTCTCGTGCCAGCTCCGACGCAGCTGAACGAGCCAACTGGACGGCTGCTAACTCGCTGCCGCCCTAGATTCTGGAAAGCACTCGTGCGGCTCATTGCCAACGGAAACAAAGATGGACACCATGCCGGCCGTCGTCGCGAAGCCCGAGGACAAACCCGTCGCGGCAGGCGAGCGAGAGCAGGACCACGACATCGCGGCCAGCGAGGAGGTGCGTTGGGCGCTTAAAGAGGCGGGACGACACAAGGAAAACTGACCCGGCGCCGTTAGGAAGAGATCACGGCCATGAAGCGCCGTGTGGCGGAGATGGAAGAGGAGGCCAAGAAGCTCCGTGAGATGCAGGCCACCCTGGAACAGCAGTCGGCCGACCTCGCCGACGACAAAGAGTCTGTTGACGCGCGCAGCATCTTTGTCGGCAACGTCGACTACTCGGCCTCGCCCGAGGAGATCCTGGCGCACTTTCAAAGCTGCGGCTCCATCAACCGCGTCACCATACTCTTGGACAAGTTCACTGGACAGCCCAAAGGGTGAGACCTGACCCCCAGACGACGTGGACGAGGGGCCTCTTTTGCTGACGAACACGGCATTAGCTACGCCTACGTGGAATTTAAGGAACCCAGCTTGGTGCCGCAGGCGCTGGTGCTCAACGAAAGTGTCTTCAAGGGGCGCAACATCAAGGTGACGCCGAAGCGAACAAATGTCCCCGGGATGAGCCGCGGGCGCGGGCGCGGTGGGTTCCGCGGCGGCAGAGGATTCTACGGGCGAGGTGGAGGCTTTCCCCCCCGAGGAGGCTATCGCGGCGGCTACCGGGGCCGTGCTCGTGGTCACGCACCTTACTAGGACCAAGGACGTGTATCTTCAAGCATGGAAGCGAACGGTGGCTTTGGGCCGCCGACTGATTCCTCGGACAGCCCCATGGCACTTGACGACGCGGGTTTTGTCGGCTGATGATTTGTTGGCCAACTACTATCGAGTTTGCAAGGGCAAGGAGGACAAAGGGCATGGATGTCACGGAAGCCGGAGCGGGACGTGGTCTACTTTGTTAGATACGTCTCTCAATGTTTCCTGGGTAACTGAGGCGGCCCGCGAGGTGGGGGAAGGGAAGAGACTGGAAGGAGCCGCGATTTTGTCAAGAATACCACTGCGCACAGGGAGAGGCACACGTCGGAGTTCAGGTCTGATATTGAGATTCCAGATGGCAGCTAGGGCTTGGCCGGTTAGATGAAAGAATTCGACCTGGCCCCGCGATGAATGAATGAAGGGTCGCTCTCCAAGACGTGACCGAGTGGCGGAGCCATAGGCGTACTTTTCATGAGTCTCCAGTGTGGCTTGCCTCACTGGTGGAAAGAGTATTCTGTGGTGATGCTGTAGGTGGCGGCGGCGCAGAAAGGCCTGAGCGAGTTACAGCACCGGGGATCGCCTGAGAGCTAAGGGGTTAGGAACGACGGAGGATACCTAGACGACGCCACGAGGTAAGGAAGTGAAGTATTTGGTGACCTTGGTGTCAGCGATAAGCATGGCACGTCGCTGCGGCGACCATTCGAGTTCACGACACGACGCGGCGTGGCTTAGCCCCCTACAGGCGCTGCCCGCTGTCGTGGAACCCGGCCAGGGTGGATGGATGATGATGTCAATCTGGTGTTTATTACTACTCAAAGCATGAACAAACTTCAACAAGTAAAGAGGCAGATTGCCTGCAGCTGACCACGGACAGTGTCTGGACCAATTCATGCTAAATTGGTCCTGGTGGTCTGGTGAATTACCCTGTGAAACATGCTTACGCTTCACGCCGCGGTGTCGGGGATGCTTGGACCTCGAGGCGCGATTGGGGTAGCGGTCACTGTGACTGGCAAACGAGCTGGCGTCCGTTTATAGATGCGTGCTGTAGGGAAGGAACCTTGTGTCTCGGATGCCTAACATGATGCGTGAGCGGCCGTCCACCACCAGGATTGGCAACAGCCGACTGGCCACGTCTGTTTTGTTGCATGCTGCTGCATGCATGCACACGCGCTTTGAAGAAGGAGAGCAAACACACGAGGTATGTACAGTACAGACATGCGATGCCATGAAGGTTATGTTAGGTACCTAAGGTAGGTACCTAGGCAAAGTGTATCTACCTATAGTTGCCATGCGTGATAAGCAGAGCCATGTACATATCAAGTCTTGTGTACGCATGATTGCTGCACAGCAGCACGGCGTTTGAGGACAAGCAATGTCAAACCAAGCCCAGCAAGGGGGTAGTTAAGCAGAGCCTGCAACGGCGCAACAGGAGCTTATCAATCTTTGTCAGCCTACGGATAGTACCGATCCATTGCAGGCCGAGGAGGTACGTATAGTACTAAGGTAGGTAGCTAGATAACTTGCTACCTGCAACGCACACAATAATTCGAGCGTCTCTAAATGTAGACGGCCAGATGTGAAAAAACTTGGACCGAGGCTGATGCATTGCCATCCCAGAATCTCACTGCCACTTGACTTATTCGGCGCTTAGAAATCCAAACATGTGCGTCAACCACAGGCAGGCTCCGCCACACTGTACGGTGCCCGGAGGCAGTCATTGTTGTAGTGAGTATAGTGGCACAAAAGTACAGAGTACAAGGCCCTGTCCGGCGCAGGCTCAGGGGCCCCCGCCGCCCCTCGTCACGTGCCCGCCATCAACAGACGCTTTCCTGCCGTTCTCGTTTCGCACCTTGCTCAGAGAGGGAGCGGGGAGTCTTGCGCTTCCACACAGCCTCACCATCCATCTCCCTCTCTCCCCAGCTTACCAACCCGTGCTTGCAAAGCCCTCCAGACCTCACTACTCCTGTCACCGGCACCGTCGCCCTCAACCCACCCAGACTCTCGTCTCTCATCGAGCCTCGTGCCCGGCCTCTTCGGCGGCCACTCCAAGCATTGCTCGAGTCAATTCTCCCAGAGGCAGACGGTGGTGCTGCAGTGCCTCCCTGCTTGCTTGCTCAACAGGCGACGACATGAGCGGCCGCACCGAGACTGGGCCTCCCAAGTGAGTCTCATCATCTCGACACTCGCTGCCACGCCTGGGATTCTGACCATTCGCTCCAGCAAGCCCAACCTCCGCGTTACCAGTGCGTACTCCCTCGCCATTGCTCGCGACCCCGACTCGTATCTAACATCGCCCCAGTCATCGCCGCCGATGGTCTCTACAAGAGAGATGTCTTCCGTACGTGTCCTCCTCTTCCGCCAACCCGCGCCGTCGCCACGTTGCTGACGAGCTAGCCAGGCCTGCCCGATCCCTTCGCCGTCGCGACCATCAATGGCGAGCAGACCAAGACGACAACTGTTAGCAAACGGACGCTGAATCCATACTGGAACGAAAACTTCGACTTGTAGGCCAAGCCCCCCCGAGTTTTGGCATCCGCACCTGGCCCCCAAGCTCACAGTGTCACAGTCGGGTCAATGAAGACAGCATTTTGGCAGTTCAAGTCTTCGACCAAAAGAAGTTCAAGAAGAAGGACCAGGGTTTCTTGGGCGTCATCAATGTTCGAGTTGGAGACGTCATGCACACCCTCGGCCTTGATGCCGATGGTAAGGAACCCCGCCTCTTGCCATTGATCCGACGACGCCTCGTGCTAATTCCAGAGCCGAAACACAGACCAGATGCTCACGCGCGATCTCAAGAAGTCGACCGATAACCTTGTCGTCCATGGAAAGCTCATCATTAACCTGTCGTGCAATCTCTCTACCCCAGCACGCGGGGGCCAGCCATCTAGCGGTCGGCCGGCTGTCAACGCTCCTGGCGCTACAAGCATGCCCTCACTCGCGGCACCGGCGGCCGACAACCGTCCTGGGTCGTCCACGTCCGGACCCAACGGTGCGGCCAACGGGGCCCAAGTCACCCTGCCACACCATCCCGCCAGTGCCGGCTCCACGCCTAACCCTTCGGCGTCCAACGCCGGTCAGTCGCGGCCCATCAGCCAGCTTAGCCCCTTTGAGGACAACCAAGGCCGCCTGCCAGCTGGCTGGGAGCGTCGTGAAGACAACCTCGGAAGGACATACTACGTTGATCATAACACCCGCACCACCAGCTGGAATCGGCCAACAGCCAACGGTGCGGCCGAGTCTCGGAGCGACAGAGAAGCTGCGACGCAGGTCGAGCGCCAGCGACACCAGAATCGTACACTACCCGAAGACCGGACCGGCACCAGTTCGCCGACTCTACAGCAGCAGGGACAGCCGCCGGCGGGTGGAGGCAGTCCCACCGCCGGCAACGCTAGCGCCGGCAATGCCAACAGCAATTCCACGATGATGCATACCGGCGCAACCAGCCCTGGCACCGGCGAGCTTCCTCCCGGTTGGGAACAGCGATGGACCCCGGAAGGGAGGCCCTACTTTGTCGATCACAACACTCGAACCACTACCTGGGTCGACCCCCGCCGCCAGCAATACATCCGCATGTATGGCGGCCAGAACAACGCCAACGGGCAGATTCAGCAGCAGCCAGTGTCACAGCTTGGCCCCCTCCCCAGCGGCTGGGAAATGCGCCTGACAAACACGGCTCGGGTCTACTTTGTGGACCACAACACAAAGACCACCACATGGGACGACCCACGCCTGCCGTCCTCCTTGGACCAGAATGTCCCTCAGTACAAGCGAGACTTTAGGCGCAAACTCATATATTTCCGATCCCAGCCGGCGATGCGCATCCTGAGTGGGCAGTGTCACATCAAGGTCAGGCGATCGCACATATTCGAGGATTCCTTTGCCGAAATCACCCGCCAGTCCCCCATGGACTTGAAGAAGCGCCTGATGATAAAGTTTGATGGCGAGGACGGTTTGGACTACGGCGGTCTATCCCGAGAGTTCTTCTTCCTCCTCTCCCACGAGATGTTCAACCCATTTTACTGCCTGTTCGAGTATTCTGCCCACGACAACTACACGCTTCAGATCAACCCTCATTCTGGCATCAACCCGGAGCATCTGAATTACTTCAAGTTTATCGGACGCGTCGTTGGCTTGGCCATATTTCATCGGCGCTTCCTCGATGCCTTCTTCATCGGAGCCCTATACAAGATGGTGTTGGGTAAATCCGTGGCCCTGGCTGACATGGAGGGAGTCGACGCCGACTTCCACCGCTCGCTTCAGTGGATGCTCGACAACGACATTTCGGGTGGGATTTTGGAACAGACCTTCTCCACCGAGGACGAGCGGTTCGGAGTCATGACAACAGAAGACCTCATCCCCAACGGTCGAAATATCGATGTGACCAACGAAAACAAGAAGGAATACGTCGATCTCATGGTCAAGTGGCGCATCGAGAAGCGTATTGCGGAGCAGTTCCAAGCCTTCAAGGAGGGCTTCCACGAGCTTATTCCTCAGGACCTCATCAATGTCTTTGATGAGCGGGAGCTTGAGCTGCTCATTGGAGGCATTGCGGAAATTGATGTGGATGATTGGAAGAAGCATACCGACTATCGTGGGTATACCGAGTCGGACGAAGTCATCCAAAACTTCTGGCAGACGGTCCGCTCATGGGACGGAGAGCAAAAGTCGCGACTGCTGCAGTTCACAACGGGAACATCACGAATCCCGGTGAATGGTTTCAAGGATCTGCAGGGCAGCGACGGGCCGAGGCGGTTCACCATTGAAAAGGCCGGCGAGATCACCAACTTGCCAAAGGCTCACACATGGTAAGTGACGGCGAATTGGTTGTCCCCTGAGGGGATAGCGCGTTGCTAACGCGTTGCTTCATAGTTTCAACCGCATCGATCTGCCCTCATACAAGAACATGGAGACTCTGCAACAGAAGCTCACGATAGCCGTGGAAGAGACCATGGGTTTCGGGCAGGAGTAGACGACGCAGATGTGTTCTCGGCCCTGGAAAGCTGTACGATGCTTTGAAATGTTGCTACCAGCTCCCCCCTAATCCTTTTCTGTGAAGCACCCCGTCCTCGATCGCAAACACCTACACACCTCAATGTTCTCGCAGGGCTGCTTCGGCCCCCCTTTCCACCTTGATCGCCGCCGCCGCTTCTCAAAAAAATGCTTCTCACATGCTGTCGCTCGCACACTTTCGTTTGGGTATATTTCGTTTGGCTGCAAGAGCTGAGGGCCGATGGTTGTTTGGCGCTGGCGGAACTGTTTTTATCATCAATACGAAGCAGCAGCAGCAACTACATACTTTTTTACCAATGGGGAAGAGAATAGGGTGCATGCAGCCCAAGGCTTGGCCGCGCACTCGGCCTCATCCAACAAGGGCAGACTGTTTGGCACGAGAGTCGGCGTTGTGCTGCTATGAAAACATCATAGTTGATTCAATGGAGAGCGTCTTTGAGTCTAGCATGTGACTTTGGCTGCGCGGTCCGAGATTGTGGTGCTCGCATGACGTTGTACTGGAAGGGCTGTGGGAATGCTCGATGACATCGTGGCAGTATGTAGGTAGGCAGGCGAACCTCACTTGGCAGCGCCTCTTATGAATTCATGTATCCGATTCGAGCTGATCTCGCAGGTCCCGCTTGCCCGAGCGAGACCATGGCTGGGCGTCTTGCCTCGGGTGCTTGCTCTTTGCATCTCTACACTCTGGATCGCCACAGCGAGTCCCCATGTCGTAGTCACTGGATTGGCAGCCTGTGACAAGCACCACGGCGGATTTGCGAGCTTTGCGAAGAGCATGGGGGGGGGCGTGCTGCTGTGCTACGCATTCTCGTTTCGTCTCGCCTCCGATTTTGCTCCATCACGGCCCCGAGGCACAGTATATGTGCATGTGTGTGTGTGCATATCGCCGTGCCCAACAAAGGAGAAAATCGACAAAAAGTCATCTGCGAGCTTGCCTCTGGCCGTGCGGCATGTTTGCGCCGTCTGTGACCCCGTATACATACATCCTTCCTCTTGTTCTTGGTACCCTCCTCCAAATCCCGTCTGATTCTCTTCACCTCCTGTACCACATGCGGGTAATCTTGGTCTTGCGCATCTTGCGCTGCAGCTGGAAGATGCCGTACATGAGGGCCTCGCTGGTGGGGGGGCACCCGGGGACGTAGATGTCGACGGGAACGATGCGGTCGCAGCCGCGGACGACGCTGTAGCTGTAGTGGTAGTAGCCGCCGCCGTTTGCGCAGCTGCCCATGGAGATGACCCAGCGGGGCTCGGGCATTTGGTCGTAGACCTGGCGCAGGGCCGGGGCCATCTTGTTGGTGAGGGTGCCGGCGACAATCATGACGTCGGACTGGCGGGGGGAGGCGCGGAAGATGATGCCGAGGCGGTCCTGGTCGTAGCGCGGGGTGGAGAGGTGCATCATCTCGACGGCGCAGCAGGCGAGGCCAAAGGTCATGGGCCAGAGAGACGACTGGCGGGCCCAGTTGGCGATGACGTCGAGGGAGGTGCTGAAGAGGGTTGGTCAGTCAGAGATGGCCAGCGACAGGATTCAAGAAAGGGTGTGCGTGTGTGTGCGATGTGGCAATGTCGTGGGGAGTGTCGTACAGGGCATATTGTAGGACACCCTTGGTGCCCTCCTCGCTCGGCAGAGGTACCTCCCGGCGAGGCTTGGCCAGGCCCGAAGCTCCGCCGTGCGGCGTCAATGAGCTGGCATCCCGACGGGGACCGGTGGTGAAGGACGCGGCGGCGGCAGCAGCACGAAAGGGCACTAGCGCAGTCGTCGGCTTGGCTATTTCATCGTTGCGGGCGTTTAGCAAGGGAGGGGATCCCGCGGGAAGGACGAGGGGAGGGAAACTGACCGCGCAGCGCCAGAGAGGCCGCTGTCCGCGTCGACGGGAGCATCTCGATGTTTTGGGATGACGACGGAGGAGGGCGAGAAGGGGGGGCGGGAGCTTGGGAGGTTCGTCGGCGGCGCGGGTGAAGAGAGGGTCGTTGAGGCTTGGGGATCTGGCGCGGATTCGCCTCTCGAGCTTGCTTGATAATTGGAGGTGTTGTGATTGGTTGATGGGAGGGGAATGTCTGCGAAGATTAGCCGGGAGCTTCAAAGGTACGTATAGTAATTACAGTACGTCGGCGAGCCAGCGTTGCCCCACCAGTGCCGACCGCAGTCACCTACCCTACAGTACAACTCTACAGCAGGAGGCATTGTCTCCCGTCGTCATTGACACCTCGGTGGAGGCTCGAACAGTCCCAGTTCTGACACTAGGTTCAAGCCGAAGAGTCCCGTAGGTTTTGATTTCTGCCGCCGCGTCTAGTTACACGAGATGGCAGATGGGGAAACTCTTCTGAGGTGCACAGTTCGAACACCGTTCACGCATGAGCCCTGGGCATTTCTGCGACGATGGTAGTAAAGAGAGGACAGAAAAGCACTTGACATGTATTCATGACCATAAGTAGGAAGATGCTCGGAATTCTGTAGCATAAACCGCCAGTTGGGGCTTGGATGAACATGTCGACACGCTTCATTCAGGCTATATAAGCTAACTGACCAGTGGAGACCCTGCACCTGGCGCCCGCCTCTCGGAACGTCTCGACACGGGTGGCGAAGGAACCTCCTCTAGGCCCGATCCCCTAGGCTCGATTGGGTAGGCCCAAGTGTACTCGGGCGAGGCAACAATTGAGCTTTCGGTGCATCGTGAACGAGCAACTGTTCTAGAAGTGCAGCCATTCGGCCCCGACGGATCCCGCACACGTGCTATAGAAGGGGGCCCCCATATAGCCGGGAGAGGGCGATTTGGCGGGCCTATATCGCGCGGGTATTAATGATGGGTGCTGAGATGCGCAGGGGCTGTACTTTGCGGGAACCAACAGGGAGGCTCATCCCTGCTTCAACGTCGAGCCATCAACACACGTGTTGGCCGACTTGGCCCAGATCCAACGGTTACGGGAGAGGCAGCGGCTCGCTACGGAAAGATGGGAGAGCCAACGAGGGTTAGCAGTCTCCTGCCCATTGCTCCTGCACCGGCAGGTTTGGCCTTGGCCGTGGTCAACCTCTTCGGCTCTTACACGTCGGTTGGAAGCGGAGAGCAGGCTTAAAAGACCCGGAGAAGAGAGCGAGAGATGGAACGAGTCAAAGCCTGCAGGCGGCCAATCGGACGGATAAGAACAAGGCGTTCGTCCGCATGGCGTCCACTGCCAGCGCGGGCCCCCTCCTCGTCTTTCTCCCGCTCCTGTGTCTCCTGTCTCCCCCCTTTCCCCTCCTCTCAACGCTGTCCACGCCGCCGGTTACTGCCACGCTCCTGCGCGTGCTACAGGCCGTCTTGTTTGCTTCCTCAGACGACTTGGGCCTCTCGCCGTCAATGATCAGGCTCTGGGACCAGCGTGCCCGCCCCTGGCGGCTTGTCCTCCGCTACCTGGCCGCCGCGTGCCTCGTCGCCTTGTGCATTGCCTGTTTCGTGCTCCGACAGCACCACGCCCAGACATGGCGCGCCCCCGCCTTGCGCGGCTCCAAGCATCCCATCCAGAGGCTCATGGCCGAGGCAAAGGCCCGCTGCGACCGTCTCATGTCGCGGCGCAGCCACGACGTCAAGGCGGCCGCCTCGCGATATCGCCAACGCCGAGGGCGCCACCCGCCCCCGGGCTTCGACCGCTGGTTCCAGGCTGCGCGCGACGCCGATGCCGTCGTCGTCGAGGACTTCTTCGACCGCATCTACAAGGATTTGACGCCCTTTTGGGCTCTTGATCCAGACACCACCCGCACCCGGGCCCAGGCCTGGCATTTCGTCGTCAGGGTGCGCAACGGCAAGGCCCACGGCGTGGGAGATGTCCAAGGCCACGTGCCCTGGCTGCAGCTGTGGACGGGTCTCGTCGATGAGTTTGCCCAACACCTGCCCGACGTCGACATGCCCATCAACATGCTCGACGAGCCGCGCATCCTGGTCCCCTTCGACGACATGGCCAAGCTGGTCAAGCGGGCGAACCAGCAGAGATCCATGGCCGAGGTGGCAGAGGTGACGGGCGAGTTCAGGGGACTCGGAGACGTCGACGACCGCAAGCCCGAAGCCTACGAGCCGCAGTGGCACGGGCCCAGCAGCTCGTACTGGGATCTGGCTGTCAAGACGTGCGGTGTCCACACGCCCGCGTACGCCGTCGCGCAGATCGACGACTTCTCCTCGCCTGCCGAGATGCCTGGTGACTGGACGCCCGGCTACGCTTTCGACGGCTTTGTGCGAAATTGGACGGCCGCCATGGACCCCTGCCTGCAGCCACATCTCCGCCAGCTGCACGGCACCTTTATCGAGCCCATTAGCCTGTCGTCGACCGAGGAGCTTGTTCCCTTGTTTGGAGGATCCAAGCTTCCCATGAACAACGAGATCCTCATCCCGGGAGCCATGTACTTGACCGACGACGCCTTCTACTCAGGCGGGGACTCTCACGGGCCCCCGTGGCATCGCAAAAAGGACGGGCTGATTTGGCGGGGCGACGCCTCTGGTGGCCGGGCCAGGGAGCACAGCTGGCATCACTTTCAGCGGCACCGCCTCGTCGACATGCTCAACGGCACCACCGTCTCCCGAGTCGAGGCCTCGGGCGTCCGCGCGTCGGCCTTTGCGTTGCCTTCGCAGGTCGTGCACCACAGCCGGCGCCAGAAGCCCGGCGAGCTCGGCGCCTGGCTCAAGGACTTTGCAGACGCCGCCTTTGTTCACCTCTGCCCCCCCGGCGAGTGTGACTTTCTCGCGTCCCGCTTCCGCATCGCGGAGCAGATGCCCATGCAGGCCCAGTACGAATACAAATTCCTCCCCGACGCCGACGGCAACTCCTTCAGCGCCCGCTTCCGCGGCTTCCTCCGCTCCACCAGCCTGCCCCTCAAGGCCACCATATACGCCGAGTGGCACGACGACCGCCTCGTCCCCTGGGCGCACTTTGTGCCCCTCGACAACACCTTCCGCGACCTCTACCCCGTGCTCGACTTCTTTGCCGACGGCGACGGCCGGCCCGGCGACGCCGCGGCGGCGTCCATTGCCCAGACCGGTCGCCAGTGGGCCGAACAGGTGCTCCGCAGAGAGGACATGCGCCTCTATGTCTGGCGCCTGCTGCTCGAGTGGGCGAGGGTGTGCGACGACAACAGGCATCGTCTGGGCTTTGTCGGGGACCTCACTCCTTGAGCCCCAAAGCAAGTCGTCCGTCACCAGTAACCAGCGACCAGGGGTTTAACCCTGTCTGAGACATGGCGCGCGGGCTGACGGGTCGCGTTTCGTTGTGGGTGCGGGGAGCGGCGATCTTGTGGCGGGGTGCATGGGGGACTGGCTCGCCGCTTGCCTTTCTTTTTCGTCTCCCGAACATGGCCTCTGCCCGGAGTTGGACGGAGTTGGGACACGGAGCTTGCATATAGAGCTCTTCGGCACTTGAGCGGTGTTTGGGCACTGAGGAATTCCTTTGATTCGACCGACTGCGCCCTTGTCTTATTGACTGCTTCTCTCTTTTCTTTTCCGGGGGTGCGCAGGCTTTGGTTACCCGCCCAGGTTCATGGCTCTCACTCCTCAAGTTATAATGGTTTGCTTTGCTGAGGCTTACTTCTGTTGTGGTCTTGTGCTGGGAGCTAGTCAAGGGGCATCGGGAGCCTATCAACCCGCATCTATGTGCTGTATGCGACGGGAGCCATGCTTTTCCTCTTGGATGACGCGAGCATGGCGTCCGTGTATGTGTGGACGTTGCTTTCATGATTGCATTGCCCGTCAACACTCTTATACACATGCGTTCGTGAAAGCCTCGTCTTGGTCTGCCTAGTTCGGCGTATCCATAAGAGACTAGGCTGCCCACTGGCTCCCGTCTCGTAAACCCGGGCAGGCCCGTTTGCTTCGACGACACCTCACAGCTGCAGGTTCGTCAGGGCGGGCCGGCTGGGCTGGCCTTTGAGATGGGCGGCGGACCCCTTGTACAGGCTCTGCCAGATAAAGGCCTCGCTGAGAAGCAGCTCAATGTCCTTTTCCGTCCAGTTCTTGGTGGGCAGGCTCTGGAGGAACATCATGATTTCCTGGAAGTCCATCTTGACGAGCTTGTCGGACCACTTGACGAGCAGCGCGGCGCAGACGTAGAGATGGAACTCGGAAAAGCCCTGCTCTTCGGCCTGATTTCCCGTGCGGTTAGCAGAGAGGGGGCCCGCGTTGTCTTCCGTCCAACGCGAACGGAGGGCGGATGTATGAGCGCGTCCAGGGTAGACGAGGAAGGGAGTTGAAGAGCCAACTCACGAGATAGGTATCCCACATGCGAATCGTGTTCTTGACACTGATTTCGCGCATCAAGAGGCAGTTCATCCACCGAAAACTAAACTGAATGAACTCGACGCCCTCGTGCTCTAGGTGCTTGGACAGGCCCGAGTCGATGCGGGCCGTCAGGTCGCGCAGGGCGCTGACCTGGCGCTGGATGCCCGGCTGGGCTACAATGTAGTGGTCCTGGATGCCGTCCAGCAGCTTCGTCAGACACCAGAACGAGTCGGCCTCGACCGCGTCCAGCACCGTCTTTGGGAGCTGCCCGGGGTCCATGCCCGTCTCGATGTTGTGGTCGCCAATGTAGAGCCCCAGAAAGACCTGCCAAAAGGGCGTCACCAGGTCGTTGATGCCCTGCACGTAGCCGCTGGCCGGATGCCTGACCGCCCAGACGTACAGGATGCGCTCTAGCGACCGCTGCGTTGCTTCGTAGCTGTAGAGCTCAATGTGCGGGTTCGTCCGAGGGATGTCGATGCTGATCTGATGCCAGAGGGCCTCGTCCAAGCCCCTTGCCTTGCCGGGCGCGACGGCATTGGTGCCGGTTCGCTCAAACGCCTGCCGCACCCCGTCCACGTATTCCTTGCGCTTGCGCTGGAGCGTGGCATCTCTTCTCTCGCTGTTGGTGGGCAAGTAGCTCAGGAGAAGCTGCCACGTCATTGCGCGCACCTCTTCCGGCACCCCCGACCAGGCCAGGGCCCGGAGGTCCGCGAGCGATATTGTGGACGCCTGCAGCAGCTTCTTGAATTTATTTATCCTGGTGATTCTCGAGTTAATGGCGTCTGCCTCTTTTGGGGAGGCGTTGCTCGGGACGGAGGGGTAGCTGATGAGGTGTAGGGCACTGGCAGGGTCTGAGAAAGTTAGCGGGTCGCCCTCCGGTACGGACGAGACGGACACGAACCTCGTAAGATCTCCTTGTACTGCGGCCGGAGAATCTTGCCTTCGCTCTTCTTCGGTATGGGATATGAAAGTGTCGGACGCTCGACCGCTATGTCGGCGCTATTGGACTGGCGCCTAGCCGCCATACCAAAGGAGCCGTCGAGGGCGGGGGACAGGGCACTGGGGTCAGTCTTGCTCTGCGAAGCCATCCGCCTCGACCGCCGCTTCATGTTAGAGAGGCTGGGGAGGCCGAAGTCGTCGCCGTCGTCGTCATCGTAGCCCAGCATCTCGTCTTCGTCGGCTTTCCAGTCGTCGTTTGTGTTTGACAGGAAGTTGATGTAGCTCTTGAAAGGAGGGGAGCCATGGCCGGCTGAAGTCCGCGACGGAGGCGTGGCTTCATGGACGCGAACCTTGGCAGAGGACGATTGGGGCGGCGTCTTGGGGCGAGCAGAGGAGCTAGAGAGGTTTCTGGCGAACATTTCGGTAAGCCACAAGGAGACGGAACGGGGACTGGCGGGGAGGGAGAGTCAACGTACAATGTGTCGAACTTGAGGATATCGGCGTGCGAGTAGGCGGCGCCGACGACGAGATTCGGATCGCGGCTCGAGGTAGGGGTGACGCCTCTCTTGGGCGCATTTTCCCGCGCAGGCGGCTTCCAGAAAGGCGAGGCGGACCTAGGCCGGGAGGTCAGCGGCAGAAGAAGGGAGTCGGTCCAAGGTTGTGATGCAACGTACTCGGAACGGTCTGGCGATACGGGGTCGAGCCACGGGTCAGCAACGACTGGTCCAATCGTGGGGATGGGAGATGGTCCAACATACCGACCTGGACCATTTCCTGCGGCTGTGGGGGAGTTAGCATGGCAAAGGTGAAGAGCCGAGAGAAGGCAACCCACCGACTGAGCTGGCTTCTTGCCGCTTCCCGAGGACGACCACATTTTCAGGAATCGTCTTGGAAGAAGCGGCCAGGCCGGCGCCTCATTCTGCGAATCGAGGCTGGTTGAGAGCCCCGTTGCAGTCAAGGGTTGATGTCGGAGGGCGGGTGAAGTGCCAGGTTAGTGGTGATGGCGTCTCAGAACCACCGGCGGGCGAGGTGTGGCGGTGTCTCGGTACTTGAGCTCTACCCGGGCTACGGAGGGGAACTTGCGGAGTGCTCGGCGTTGGGGCGACGGCTAGGTGTACCCCTCAAGTACACACGGGGCAGGGAGGCATCGCGCTCGCGTCTTTGATGGCGGCCACTTGACGGTACCTACCTTGCTCTGCGAGGTACCACGTTTTCGACAAGCCCCAGCACTCAAAGCACAATATGTATGCTTGACCTCTATTCCATTCAAGAGCCCGGGACTTGCTTCCAATCTCCTCACCACTGCATGGTCAGCTCCGGCAGTGCCTTGGTGCCCTTTGTCAGCGCCGCTGCCCGCCTCTGATTGGCCAGACCCCCTGCCTGCCCCCGTGCTTGGTTAGTCATGTACCTAAGCAAGCAAGGGCAAGGGCAGTACTGTGCTAAGGAAGAGGAGGGACCTAAGCTTTGCGCTGCGTTTGTCAAGCAAGGACCTCCCTCCGCGTCTTCATTTCCCTTTTGCAAGCAAAACAAACTCACCATCCTCCTCCTTCTCATCCAGGCCCTCCCTGTTGACGCAAACAACCCTTGTCTCCCCAGCTCGCAACCGTACCGCCCCATCATTTCGCGCCTGCAAATCATCACCGTCGCCGGTCTGCCTTTGCGAGGGCCTGGCGCAGTGCAAGGCGCCTTCGAGCAGGCAACAATTCTCGACACTTGACGGCAGCCCTCATCGTTTCCCGCCACCGCCTCTATCATGACGGAGCCCGAGAACTTCGAAGAAGATATCTTCGCCGACCTGTACGTCTCTGCTGCGCCTTGAGAAAGCGGCTCTTCTAACTGATGTGCCTTCACAGTTATGACGACAATGAAGCTCCCAAGACGGTCCCTGGGCCAGATGCCAGCGGCCAGCCCGCCATCAAGCATGACGCCGAAATCGACCTAGCGGCCGTCGTGCCGAGCGAGCATCCTCAACCTGCAGAGGGAGAGCAAATGGAGCACGATGCACTCGACGATGACCAAGACGACGACGACGACGACGAAGTCGACTTCAATCTTGGCGGCAGAAGCAACAGCATCGCCCCTGCTGTGCAACACCACGACGCGCCATCGACTCCGCCCTACGGAACGGTCCATAAGGCCAGCGCCAAAGACGATGGGTAAGTTTGACTCCACCCTTTTCGCACTCATTGCCCTCTCTTGCCTTTCCCCACCGCGCATGCGAACACACCGACCATGTACACCTGCTCTTTGCAGTTGTATCGACGACGGCTCAGGCTTGGCCATGATGCGTTCGGCTACTCTGCAAATCATGCTGGCTGGCTTGTCTGGGTGGGAAAGCGGTCAGGCTCGTCAGGAGTTGGAGGCTTGGCTTGATCGAGCAAAAGTCACAGAGCTGTCGGCAATCCAAGATGGAGAACCGTGGTCGCCTTGGAGAGCGGGCATTCGCGCCATGAAAGAAATGCTACATGGCTATGCCACTCCCTCCGAGCGGAGGGGCGCCCACGAAAGTCGCTAGGAAGAGATGGGACTTATTCGGAAATCTGGGCATTCATCCTGTGGATATATCGAGCCAGATCCTACCTACCGACCTAGCCACCTCGGGACATGCTCCTGTCTTTCATAGCCGTCAGCTACGGGAGGCCCTTGAGGCGCCCCATGCTATGCTATTACAGTCGTCAGGAAGCTGTAGCCGCCTGATTGACGGCGGCTAGCGCGCAAGTTCACTTCGTACCTAGCTTGAGACAGGCAGAGAAGCAGTCCAGACGATAGCAAGAAGCCGAGCAAAAGCAAAGGAAAGATACAAAGTCGACAAAGCATCAACTGTTCTTCGCGCACCGCCCCATGTCTTCATGTTGTGGTGGAGAGCGAGCTCGCCGACTTGCCTGCTACCTCCTTCAGCAACCAACCCTGGTCCTCGATACGGCTGGCCGCAGCTTGGATCCCAACGGACCCTTCTTTCGACCATGCGCTATCTCGATGCGCAGCTATTCCCATCCCTTCCCGGAGAAAAAAAAAGGCCTTCTCCCAATGCCCAGGGTTTATCCCCCTTGCCTGGAAATTGAGTCGGACAGGAGCTTGCTTGGATGCTTGCGTATGGGTGTGACGAGCTATGCGACAGCCTGGACGGGTGGTGCCGGGGGGGAAGGGGGCCGTCATCCATGTCGTCTCGAGCATTTGATGCCGTTTCGCTGTCGAGCTGATGAGCTGGCAAGCCAGTCCATCAATCTCTTGCTACCTTTTTGACCATCTACCACACGACGATAACATGAACTTTGTGTCTCGGAAATCATTACTGACTGGTATTGTAGCAAAATGTTCATTGGTGGGTTGAATTGGGAAACGACAGACGGTATGGTCGCCATGTCCTTGAGCCCGTAAGCAAGATGGTTCTAACAAGGCCAGATTCATTGAGAGACTATTTCTCCCAGTTTGGCGAGGTGGTCGAGTGCACCGTTATGCGGGACAGCAGCACTGGACGGTCCCGCGGCTTCGGGTTTCTCACTTTCAAAGATGCAAAGACTGTCAACATTGTCATGGTCAAAGAGCACTTCCTGGACGGAAAGATTGTGAGTATCATATGGCCTCGGGGCGGACCTCGTTTTCAAAACACATGCTAATAGGCTTTTGCAGATCGACCCCAAGCGTGCCATCCCCCGAGACGAGCAGGAAAAGACGAGCAAGATCTTTGTCGGCGGCGTCAGCCAGGAGACGACGGACCAAGAGTTCAAGGACTATTTCGCTCAGTTCGGCCGCGTCGTCGATGCCACTCTCATGATGGACAAAGACACTGGGCGGCCTAGGGGCTTCGGATTCGTCACCTTTGAGAGTGAGGCCGGAGTCGACGCCTGCATCAACGTGCCACTCGAGATCCACGGCAAGCCCGTCGAGGTCAAAAAGGCCCAGCCACGGGGCAACCTGCGCGAAGAGGAAGAGGCGGCCAAGCGCAGCAAGTTCCGCAAGGGCGACGAGCAGGCCGCGCAGGGCGGCATGGGCCAGCAGATGGGCAACAATGGCATGACGCCGCAGGTCATGGCGCAGTACGTCCAGCGGATGCAGCAGTACTTTGCCATGATGCAGAGCCAGATGGCCATGAACCGCGGCATGCACATGAACCCAGCCATGTGGCAAAACATGATGCAGATGCAGCAAATGCAGCAGATGATGGGCCGGGGAGGCGGCGGCGGCGGCGCCAACGCGCAAAACATGATGGCCAACATGAACCCGCAAATGATGCAGCAGATGCAGCAGCAGATGATGCAACAACAGCAGATGATGCAACAGCAGCAGCAACAGCACCCGGGCGGCGGCGACTTTGGCGGCGGCTTCCAGCAGCAGCCCCCGACAGGTCCTGGAGCCGGGCGGCGGGGCGGCCGCGGAGGAGGCGGCGGCTACGGCGGCCCTGCTGGCGGCTACGGCATGGGCGGTGCAGGTGGAGGCGGCGGCGCTCCGACGTCGTGGGAGGGCATGTACGACGACGTGCCGCAGCCCAACACGGCAGGGGGAGGGCCCCGCCGGGGCGGGCAGGGCACGCCCGACGCGCAGAACGCGCCCCCGGCCAACGCGCCCACGGGGCCCAAGAACGCGGGCCGGCCCGGCGCCAACTACCGCGGCGGCGGGCGTGGCGGCAACAGGGGCTTCCACCCGTACGCGCGATAACTGGCCTTGCTGGAGGACAGCCTCTCCCAAACAGGGGCAGGCGGTCTACTTGCATCGTCCGAGGCCCCCAGTGAGGGACGTGGAAAAGGAGTGAAGCGAGGGGGGACCAGCGCATGTGGCGGGCACGGACTTGGGGGGTGTTGATTTGGTTGGTTCGCCAGGCATTCGCAGAGAAAGGGGAGGGGGAGGACGGCGTGATTCACCACTTGGAACCAGAGCGGGCTCCGGTCGGCTCTCTCTCTCTCTCTCGCATGTACAATGTATATTGGTCCCGAGACGTGGGAGACGCACGGCAAATTTCACTGGCGGCAGGGGGGGGGGGGCGCAGATAATTCGAGGTTGCCTGACGAGGCTGCCCTCATCGTGATGGAGGAGACGAACGGAAGAGGTCCCTCTCGTCGTCCATGCCAATAGACGCGCGCACACACATATACAAACACATCTCCCTCGTCTCCTCCCCTGGTGGTCTTTGCTCGAGAGAAAATGCCACCGACCAAGTCTCAGAACCTGCAACGCAGGCAGCATGCCATCGATATAAAAAAGAGATATACGGACCCCTCCCCCTTGGTCTCTTGTCACAAATTTTTTTTTATTGTCATGTCTGTTGGCTGGGATGATGCGTCGGGACAGAAGTCAACGAGCTCTCTTCCTCCCACCTATACGTCTTGCCATCCTTCTCTATTTGTGCGGTCGTCATGTTCAAACGTGTGGATAGTGTAGAGGTCAGTCAACCTCTCTCGGAGATAGCGGGGCAAAGAAACAAGGAAAAAAAAAAGAAACGTGCAAGGAGAGAGAAAAGGTGAAAAGAAGGAGACGAGGAGGAGAGCAGAGAGTAGATGCAATGAAATCTCAAGACATCCCCCAGCAATGAGCCATCGCCACCCGTCATCAGCCACCGCGTCGTTCCATCATGCTTTCGTCTCCGTCGTGTCGGATCTCACGGGTTGCACATCCGGTCATGCTATTCATGAGACATTAATCCAAGGACGAGTTCGACTGAGTCGGACATCCCCCCCCCTTCTAGAACCTTTTCCAGTTGTCCCCCTCTTCCAGCTTGCGCAACACGCCCACTGCATCGGCGTACAAGATGCTCCGCCCACCCAGGCAGTCTCTCTCCAGGACGTCGCGCACCAGCCCAACTACCCCCTGCGAGTCCTCCCGTCCGGCCAGGGCCTGGAGCGGACCGGGCTGCAGCTCTGCCACCTTGGCGATCCATTGCGCGGCCGCGGCGCGCGAAGACTTGTTTGCGTTGGGCTTCCCCACGTGCCCAAAGGCCCAGCAGATGAGCGAGCAAACGTAGAGGCCCCAGAAGTCCGAAATGTCCCTCCACGGGAGGGTCCTGAACTGGCCGGGCAGACGCGCCTGATGGTTCCCCAGCGTGCTCGATTCCAGGGAAAGAAAGATCTTCAGGGCCTTGGCAGCATACAGGGTGGCGACGGCCGCGCTGCCCGAGTTGCGCCACTTGTCCAGTTTTCTCTGGTGCTCCATGAAGGATCTGGCCTGGGGGACTTTCTTGTTAAACACCCAGCTGTCGCCCGAGACGGACAGCAGCCAATGCAGTGGCGTGTAGTGAAGCGCCAGGTAGACGTAGGCTCCCGGAGAGCGAGGGAAAAGCCTCACAATGGACAAGGTGTCCGTCTTGATGCTCGAGGCATCTTCCAGTACGTCCACTTCCGTGTGTTTCCGCCTTCGAGGCAGTTGAAGAGCATGCGCTGCAAGGAGGAGTGACGCATCGAAGGACGGCATAGATTCTATGCTGGACGGTGTCAGGGTCTGCTTCTGCTGCAGCATGTCGCCCACGGTTTGTACTCTAATCGCTGCGACGTCAAAGGCGGCCCAGAGCTCGACACTCTCTGCCTCCCAGGCTTGTGTCGAGTTGGCCGACAACGGAATCGACAGCATCATGGGTGAGAAGTTGTCCAGGCCAAGATCGGCGGTGAAGGGCTGTTCGTAATACCAGTTGCCGTGAACGCTCAGGAGGAAGCAAGCCGCGAGGAGTCTTCGACACGACTCCAGGCGTACCCACTCCCTCCATCTCTGCGTGTCGGTGCTGCTGGCCGGACTCGCTTCCCAGATGTGCTGGCTAGCGACCTGAAATTGACTTCAGCCGGGTTCTTCTTGGAAGTGAATCGTCGATGCTGAACGGGCCTTGAGTGAAAGACAGTTGAGAAGCCACCACTTACCATTTGACACAACGTATTAAATCGAAGTGAAGGGCGGTAAGCCTCCTTGCTTCGTCCTCTGAATCGCGCATAGTACTCGCACAGCAGAACCGCCTGCATGATGGGCAGAGACCAGGTTGCAGACTGCGTAAACTACAGCTTTGCGCATCAGCCGTGTATTCCTATGATCTGCGGTAGTCTACTCACCGCCTTGGACACTTGCCACGCATACGCGTGCAACTGGCTGCCATTGATCCGGTTGTCCCTATGTCCCAGGAATTGAGTGGCCACGGCGGCCATGGCACACCGAAGTACGTCGAGATGCTCCGCATCCACTCCTGAGGCATCCTCAAACGTGGCCCTATGGATGATGGGGTAATTCGGATGAACCTTGTCCCAGTACAGGTCGAGATAGGCTGGCATGACGCTGAGCGCTTCTCGGCTCAACGACACGGGCATAAAGTCTTGGGCCGTCAAAAGTCCAAATGCCGTCTCCGGCTGGAGGTCGCATGCGCTGGAATTGACCATTCGGTCTGCCGGGAGCGCCGACGGGGCTGTGATCAACGTCTCAGAACATTGGCCCACGGCCATTTGCGGGGAGAGGCTACGGGCCGTGGTGCTTGGAACGGGAGAGCTGTATAGGCTGTCCTCGTATCCGGAGAACGCCAAGTTGTTTGCTTCCCCGTAGATGGACGGGTAAACTTGGGGTGGGGAGGTGCCGTACCCAAAAGGGGGAGGGTAGTCACCGGCGCCGATGCCCGGGCTTTGCATATCCCTCGCCACAAGTTGCGGCCCGAGTGGTCCAGCCCACTCGGCACTTGAGGAGCGCAGCACGGAGTGATGCCCGTGAGAGGCGTCCGATGGCGGCGGCGTCGAGTAATTGCTGCCAGAACCTGATGAAACCAGGCCGGAGCTCTCTGTCCAGGAAACAGCCAAGGGCTCCGGGCCGACAGCCGGCATGCAGAGACCTGGAACGTCCATCAACCCCAGACCATGCCCGGAGCGAGACCCAGAAAAGGCAGACGAGACTCTGAACGGTATGGACTCGAGGTTTGACAGTGACTCCATGGGGTACTCGGTCTTGACCCCTCCCATGGTGAAGTCTTGGGTATCGCGCAAGCGAGGCGTCGAGTTGCTCGGAGACGACCACGGCCCCGGGGCCATGGGGATCCCACGTGTGGATACACCGCTTGTCGGACTCGAGACCGGAGGCGGGCTGTTGTAAGTCGGTGGCATCTGCAGCGGAGAACCCGATTGTTGCCCACTGTAGTTGCCCTGCAAGGGACTTGTCGGGCCATTCGAGCGGCTCGAGGAGCGGCGCCGCGCATCTGGGGCATGTCTTTCGTCTTGGTCACTGCTTTGTGTCAATAACCGTGTCCAGGAGAGGGTTTCTCTCTAATCCGGGACGACTGACTGCCTCTGCTGATGGCGTTCAAGCAGGTCTTTGCGATGGAACACCTTGTCGCAGCCGGGAACCTGACACCGCAGGTCTGGTGGTTGATGACTTAGCTGGTGACGCCTATAGGAAGCCGTCAGTTGGAATCAAGTATTGGCATGTCATGGCCATGTTTGCAAACCTCAAGTGCTCGGCCCTAGTGAATGTCTGCATGAGGCCCATGAGTCAGTCAATAGTCCGTGGGGCGGAGGACGGGGGGGGTTGGCTTGTTACCTTCGGCGGCCGACACAGCTCACAGATGTGGACGGCCAGACCCTTCTTGGCCCGGCTTACCCTCCCGGTGATGGGAGTCAGCTTGACGGGCGCGTCCCCGGTGGGAACAAAGGGCCTCACGGGGGCGCCAGAATACTGCGCACCCGGGTGCCCGTGCGTGTAGGCTGGAGCAAAGCTCTGTCCATATGAAGAATCCATTGAGTCGGTGCTGGTGACGCTCTGGTGCCTACCGGGGGCAGCGTTGTCGGAAGCGTGGCCTAGAGGAAACGGAGAGGCCGGGGCTTCGACGGCAAGGCGTGAGGACGACGACTGTCTCTGGGCGCGAGCTGAAGATGATGGTGATGGCGACGAGATGGAGAGGTCTTGTCGACTGGCATAGCTTGCCGTGGAGGGTGCTGACTCGGGATGCTGAGGGAACCTCGGGACCGACTCCTTTGGCTTCTTTAAGGAAAGAGAGTCGGCATGATCGTCATCGACATTCATGATATTTCGGAGGCTGGCCATGGCGGAAACCCAAAATGGAAGCAAGGACAGCAAGGAAGGCGACCTTGCAGAGGGAGACACAAGACCAAGCTTGGCCGTACACAGCCCGCCGGGCTGGAGGGACCCTTGGAGGGGGAACACGGTACTGCGGGTGACGTTTCTGGAAACTACCGTTCCAGGGACAACGAGTAGTCAATCTTGGGGGGAAGGGGGGGGGGGCTGTGGCGTCAGTGAAGGAGACGGAGAGCCTCAACGGCTACGGGGTCCGGGCCGGACGAGAGAGTGTGGGAAAAAAGGACCTATGCCGGCGGGTGTGCTCTCAGCCTCGCAAGGTCGAGCAGGGGCACGAGGTGACACGCAGCCCCCATCTGCAATGAAACAGCATAGACTCTGATGACAAAGATAGGACTGGAAGAAGGCATGGTTGAGTCGGATGCGAGATCGATCAGGCAGAAGTAAGAAGAAGAGGCATGAGGTCCATGATCCCGGCGCGACTAACAGCCCCGGGAGCTGAGCCTGGGGCGCGCATGTGCATCGGCGACCCTGTACTGTACATGGAGGTGTGTGTATGTACGGGCCGGGGTTGCAAGTAAAAGCCCGAAGGCGCTCCTCGTCCTCTGCGAGCGGTGTCTGGCGCTCGTACAACTGGGGAGCAAAGGTCCATCTTCTTGGGCCCCCCCCCTGGTCGAGGCTGACGAGGACGGAAAGAGAACTATTCCGGATAGGTAAGCCAACACAGCGTCGCACGCCTCGGGGAGGTGATGGTGGTGGGGAGGCAGGAATTCGGCAGGGGAGGCATGTCGAGCTCTCGTGCAGAATTCCCACCACTTGCCAAGGGATCAGTGATGCTGGTGGAGACCCATAATTAGAAACGGTGAGACGGAGAGAGCCAGCTGCTTGGCCGACTGCCGTTCGGTATAGCACTGTACCGCATCATGTATGAAGGGCCGAGGGGGGTGTGACGAGGGCCGTGGTCAAGCGCACTGGCGGATGGACAGCGGGTAAGGCGTCAAGCGGCGAACGGGAAACTAAAGGACCTGTGTGTGCATGGCGTGCGTGAGTGGCTGTGGGCGCTTGACGGTCGACTTGTTGGTTTGCCGAGGGAGCTGAGAAGGAAGAGTCGTGTCGGATGCGACGGTGGCGGAGCGTCGCGTGCTGTACGGTGTGCAGCGTCTGGGTATTCGTACCGTCGACCATGTACTGTCTGTATGTACTGTACGACGTGACGTCGGACAGATGCCCTAGTAGGTGGTGGTGGCAGTGGTTGACTCCTCGTAGGGCCGGTGGGTAGGTACTGTAAGCTGATACATGTCCGTCCCGTCGGTGCTGTGCAGCTCTTGTTGATTGTTTCGTGACTCTCGTGGCGGCAGGTCTGGAGGAGGAGGCGCTGGCAGTGCTCCAGGACACTGTCTGGCCTGGCCAAGAATAGCGCATCGCCTGGTGATGCAAGTCAGAGATCGGCAGCCGAATCAGATGGACAGGGCCCTCCACCTCTCCGTCAGCAAGCCACATGAGCCTCTGCTGTGTGCGACGAATGGCGGTCATGGCTCCGACAAGCCGGGTTGACGAGCCGCGGCCTGGTGTCGAGGGATCCCTGAGGCCGATCACGAACGAGCAGAGTGGCTGGAGAGTCTGGGGCCACCATGTTTCCCGTGCGCTGCAGACCAACCACAGCCCTCGTTTCAGACGGCCGAGGGGATGCTCGTTCGTCAGCCAGACGACGACATTTGGATTTCCCGGGGAAAACTGAGGGCCTCGCCTCCCACACTGGTTCTGCCTGCCAGACCCCGCCATCCCGCCATCCCGCCATGGGTACGTACCGAGGAACCGGGCTAAAATGAAGCCCACAGTCCAGGATCAGGGGAAAAGGCAGTCACGGCAAGGTGCAGTGCAGCCTTTTTGCCTTTCCCTTCCTTTCCTTTCTTTTCTTTCCTTTTCTCATTCTTTTGCCTGTTTTTTCCTTGGCGTCCTAATTCCGGGACCGATGCAGCGAAGCCATGCGTCGGTCGGACCTGGAATCACCCAAAACCCACCCCAACTCCGTCAACTTGCATTACCTTGGTGGTTTGCATCTACTACCTTCTCTACTTTGGCCTTGATTCAGCGCCTGAGGGGGGCCTTGCTGGCCGTGCTGACAATCCGTCTGCCCACTTTGGCCCTTGCAAAATTTGAGCCCAAATCAAAAAAGATTGCTTGTGATTCGTCTCATCATGCAGCCAAGGCAACTGAGTTCGCCTGCCACCCAGCTGCCGATCCGAGATACCGTACATGACGGCCGGCGCTTAACCCGCCCGTCTCGTGCCTTTGCACCACCATCCCCCCGGTATCCGAGGCGTCATGAAGCCCCGGCTGCTGCTGCGGTCAGTACCAAGTCCTGCTCCCTGGAATGAAAGCTATTTGTGGACGCCGGTTGCGGGCGTGTGGACGTTGTATGTGTCAATGTTTGACGCCGCAACACTCGACTCATCACGTCTGTCTCCATTCACGCCGTGGCTGACCACTTCAACTACCCAAAGGGGACTTGTCCATTCAATCAATCGTCGGTATGGAACCTTTGAGCTAGGCAGCCCGGCTTCCGGAGCACAGCATGCTGATTACAGCTGCATCCTGATGTAGGTACGTGATTCGGCACCTACTGTACTTCGTACAGCGCGCTCTTCAAGACGGGAGCTGTGGAAAGCAGACGGTTACCGCCACACCCTATTTTTAGGCAGCCTCCCGTCTCCTCATTCTGTTGTTGCAGCCAACTGCATACTGCACGCATATACAAGTACCTTGCATGTGTGATGAAAAGGTCATAAATAGGTCTCGCGAGGTTGTGATGCACCCATTGTCCGAAATAGCAGACCGAACGGCACCGAGGAGATGCCTTCACATACAGTAACGGAGACAAGACTCGAGCCGTGCCCGTGCCGAAATTCCATGTCGTGACACCCTCCCTCCCTTCTTAGAACCCGTCCAGCTCTCAGACGATGCTACAGTACATACACACAGGCCTACTCTCATACATACATACGTAGCCTCGAGGGCTTGACTTTGAGTCCTCCCCCCCCTCCTCTCGCTCCAGAGGCTGCAGCCAGTCGCAGACGCCATCGTCTCTCTCGTACCGGCAGCGTAAGCAAGGCAGACAGAAACGTGACCATCCGGGGTGGGGAGATGAGCGTCACGGCCTGCCCGAACAGCAAACTAACAGCAATGACCAAAAGACCGCTCTCCCATGCAAGCAAACCACCACTCCGTCTCTCCACGGCGCCCATGTGCGCTCCCGCCTGCGATGCCACCTCGCTAGCTCTTGGCCGGGCGCAAAACCCAGGGGCGCCTTTTCGGCCACGGCAACAGAAAAGCAGGGCTCTCAGCTGGATGTGACGATGAGACGGACGTCATCCGGTGATTGGTTTACTTTAATCCATATTGAAAAAAAAAAACCTTTCTCGCTCGCTCTGCTCTGCCCCTTTGCCCTCCTTCTCTCGCCTGTGTGTGCGTGCGTGTTTCATTTTGTTTCTCTCCTCGCTCCAAATGAAGCCCCACCCCCCCGGTGCTTCGCTTCCTACATGACTCTTCTAGAACGAATGTATGCATGCACATGCGCATGCCATGCAACGCCTGCTCTCCCCCATCTATCCTTGCTCTCTTGAGCCCGCCGCCGCCTCAGGCGTCTGTAAAACATCGATCGTGGCTGTTCTCCCGTGCCTGCGGCTGGGGGTCGGTCGGTTCATCTACCGAGCGTTTCACAACCAGAGGGAACAAAAGGGAAGGGCCCGAGGGGGCCAGGGAGGCACGAGAGGGACGGGGCGAGGAGGCTTATTCCTGCAGATTTCAGGGGCAGCCGGTGAAAAACAAACAGGGCTGGCTGTCTGATGAAAGGGGTGAGGCGGCCAAGTCAGTCTTGTGGCCAAGACTGGGCCAACGCTCCGAATCAAGTCGCCCTTGGCCTGTGGTGGCAGCGAGCTTTGCCCTCACGTGCCTCTCACGGCAGCCCCTACGCCACAGCTTGATCGATGACGGAGTTGGCGCATGGCCCGCCTGTCTAGCACGGTGTCGATGACTGGCGAGACTTGCAAGTGGATGAGTTATTCCAGGACTAGACTCTGAACCCCAAAGCGCCGCGTTTTCTGTCATCGTCTCTAGTCCAACCAGGCCAGGCAAGCCGCCTCGTCTTTTCTCCTGTTCATTACCACTATCCTCACCAGTTTGCCCGCCACCCGAAAGAGCTTCAATCTGGTGCTCTTTTGCCCCCAGACGGAAATGGCAGCGCTGCCCATCAAGCCCTCGTTGGGGTGGGCACAGCCAGGTTAGGCACCGACTTCCGGCGTTCCTCGCTCTCGTCCGATTCATCATCACTGACGGGACGGCTGTCCGCCACGGTCCTCCGGTTCTTGGTCATCTGTGCCCGAGCATTGTAAGCCTTGCAAGCCTGCCACGACGTCCCTCTAAGAGCTCTTACCCATGTTCGTACGCCTCCCACGAGGCCGAGGGCGTAGCCCGTGATGAACTCCTTGGAGTTTCCGGGGCCGCCCGTGGAGCTGGTGGGCGACCTTGCCAAGTCGCCGCTCGACGAGTTGAATCGAGCAGGGCTCTGTGGCCGGCTCGCAGGCCAAAATTGTTTCAGCTCTCGGCTAAGCTCCTGGCCCGTCGTTGTCCAGTTGGTGATGATGTTATCCCGCAAATCCTGGACATGACGCTTCAGGTCCAGTTCATTCTTCTTGAGCCAGCTGACATTGAGCTCCTGTCGGGGGGTTCCGCGCTTGAACTGCCGGGTAATGTATTTCTCGTAGTCGCGCACGATTCTTCCAGGCACTTGTCAGCCCTTGTACCCGCGCCACGATTGCGACAAACTCACCGTGTAATGAGGCCCGTCGTGCTGACACCCTCGGTCCGCTGAGTGACAAGGAACTTGCCTGCCTCCTTTATTGGTTGGTAAATGTCATCGCCCTCGGCCGCTCCGTACGGGAGGTCGTCGTGGGCAACGTAGTCGAGACGGTTGGCCTCGAGGAATTCGGGCGTCACGACCCACGGGCAATCTTCAATCACCTCGTCCACCCACTTGCAGTGCCGGACCGTCTCGGCCCGTTCCTTGGCAGACAAGACGGTCAGGCCCTTGCGCATGTGTGTCTCGTTGTCGCCCGTGACTCCGACGACGAGCGTCGTGTTGGGGAAAGCATTCTTGGCTTGCTCGAGCTGGCGCATGTGCCTGGCAGCCCGTCAGTCACCATGCGTGCGATTGGCCGTGCAATGCAGATAGGGGGAACGCACCCGAGATGGAACAGGTCGAAGACACCGTCGGCGTACACCCTCACGGCTCGTCCAACCGGGGGTGAGTTGGTCTTGAAGCCGCCGGCCGGGTGCGTCAACTTGCCCATGGGCGGTGGCGGCATGGCCTCCATCTTCTCAACCTCCTCAATGTCCTTGAGGGTGAGCTTGCGGCCCTTGCGGCCGACGCGCTCGGCAATGTCGACGCTGGCCTCGGTGGTGTCGCTCGGCTCCCCCGGGTCGTGGGAGTGGTCTGCCGCATCGGCGGCCCGATCGGAGGTGGCTCGCTGTCGCTTAGGGTTGGGGCCACCACCATTGGAGATTCGCCGATGAGGGCGACCGGACTCCGGGGCGGTCGTGTCGCCCTCCTCGCCGGAGGCGTCGCGAGACGACGTCTGCTGCGCGCCGTCGAGAAGCTGTGCAGCAGAGTCGACGGCCCCGGCCCCGGCCCCGGCACCCGTTCTCTTGCGCTTGCCAACTTGGGAAGAGCTTGAGGCCGAAGACATGGTGATGGCACGAGATGGCAAGGAGGGAAACGAAATATGGGCGCGGGCGCGAGAGCTTGGCGGCAGACTTCGGGGCGTTGGGTTGCTGGACCGTCAGGCCGACAGCGAGAAGATGGATCCGAGGGGACGGAGGGTTGTCGATTGCTGGGCGGCAGGAGGGAACGACTGGCGACGAGGACAAGTTGTTTGTGTGGCACGCGAGCAGGAGGCGCAGAAGAGCAGGAGGAGAAAGGAGTGTGTGGGTGCAGCGGAAGAAGGTGGTGGAATGAAGGTTGGTCCGGATCAACCGTTTGGGTACAGCTGCCAGCAGCAACCTTTTGCAGCGCACGAACAAGCATGTGTTAATTAGAGCCGGCCCCGCGAAAGGGGCTTCTGCAGCATTTCGGACACGAGCCAAATCGATGACCAAACAAAGTTCACTCCTGCTACCCCGTAATTAGCAGCCACCTGATATATTGCCTGTCCATGTCAATAACGCATGTACCCCGAACCCAAGAACGCCGCGTCTCTTGCCGGAGCGTATCCCCCAAGCTTGGCCGCTGGAATGCCTCGTCCTCTGGAGTACTGGAAGCACGGGCAATGCATGCAAGTACATGCGGATGCCTGCCTTGCCTCACTCGTCTGCTGCAATGAGGGACAAGACGTGCTGTGCCGCCGCTCCTTTGGCCATTCTCATCGTCATGGCCATCCGGGGGAGGTTAATCCCATTTCCCAAAGAGGACGGCCGCATGGAAGGTTGCGCCACCGACGGCCGTACGGAGTATCCACGGGATTATAATACGGGGTACGGGTGCGATATGGACATCCCTCAGTATTTCTTCAAGCTAACTTGGCGCCCGCGACACTCTGCAGCATCACGTGAGCCGACTGCGACCCGCGCGTCCAGAGCAGGCAGGACAAGACGTGAACACGGTGGCTACACGGCTCACTTCAGCCGAACCGCCTACCCTATCGGATTACAAAGACGGCTTGGTCTGCCGCAGAGCATCTCGTACGTAAGGTACAGTACTGGCTGAGAGCTGATGACAGCTCGAAGCCAGACAAGTATTTCCCCCGACGCAATACGGCGCATAAATCAAGGGGATGATAAAGATGACTTGGCAGCTATCGTGCCCCTGTGGTGGTGCTTGCGCCGCAGGTGCCAATCACTGGCCTGCGAGAGCCCTCCCTCACATGCACCAAAGAGATTGCTTCTCTTGGTAACTGGCCGGTCAGGCGGAACTTGGCAAGACTAGGGAGCGTAAGTAAAGTGTCGTCATCGGCCATCGAACTACCGCACGCCAGCCAAGTTGCAAGAGGCGATTCGTATTGGCCGACAGGCATTCACTACGCGACAACGTCTCTCTTCTTGGAATCATCCTCGCCCGACTTCTGAGCCCCTTCACACGCGTCCACCACGATCCAATGGACCCCCACAGGCTGATTGTTGGGGCGTGGAGGGAAAAGGAACGAACCGGGTCTGTGCTGCCCCTCATTGGCATCTTACCGACAGTGTGTGCCTCAGCCCACGCGCACTGTCGAACATGGAGCTGGTATGACAACGACATAGGTATGAGGCTTTTGCGTGTAACCCGTCGACCATGGCGGGGAGCAACCTCGGCCATTTTCCTCGTGGATAACGTCGGGCCTTGAGTCCCCGATTTGAGCAATTGAGCACATGCCAGCCCACGGATGCTGAGTCTCGTTCGCTACGAGAGGCGCAGCGTCTCCCGAGTCCCCTCCTTAGGGCTGCGGGCCTGTGAGATGTAGCGGGCTTGGTGACCCCTAGAGCGGTCCGGACCGCCAAATCCCCCTGTACCAGTCAGCAGTAGGTACCTAGGTGTAAGCAGCTCTGGAGCAGCACGCGCGCCACGAGCTATCCTCCGTCGTTTCCCTCCACATTGCTCAACTCAGACGCTTTTGATGGCTCGAATGCGTCCTTCATCGTCTGTAATCTGTCCGACTCCGGTAGGCAGTGCGTCTTGCCGATGGCTGTGCTGCTGCTGTCCGGCCCCTCCCCCTTGGCAATCGGCTCTGGCGGCTGCGTCTTGCTTGTGCCGCAGTCTCAGTCACAGCCGCAGCGGAGGCCACCACCTGGCCCGTACAGTCCAACCCTGATCTTCAGCGCACTGTCCCGCTTGATTCACCAGTAACGTCACGGCCATATACATCCCACCAGCCGCAGCTTCAACCCAGCTTGTGTCCCCGGCCTCACCTACCCTCCCCCAACGACTTGAGCTGCAATTCGAATGCGGCCCTTGGCTTGCGGCTGTCCCTCATCTTGAGCCATGCGCATTGTTCCAACCCGCCTCCTATCTTCCTCGTCGCTACCGTCCTCGGCAAACTCCAGGAGCCAAAGCCCCATGCGTTCCAAGGGCGATAATGCCGGGCCGCCCGCCGACGTTGGCAACGGCCTCGCCCTCAAAATCGTCATCCTGAGGGTGCGCAATGCCATGCTGGCGCAAATTTCCAGGCTCGTCTCGGTGCTGACTTCACACAGGCCAGAAACCTAGCTGCCAAAGATCGCGGCGGCACATCTGACCCTGTAAGTTTGCGGCATCTGCATAACTGCCGGATGGCGACACGTCTCGACCAGGCCCTCCTGCTGACTCGACTCGCATAGTATCTCGTGCTCACTCTCGGCGACGCCCGGGCTGTCACCCATTCCGTCTCAAAGACGCTCAACCCGGAATGGAACGTCATCGAAGAGCTCCCTGTCAACTCGGTCCATAGCCTCGTCCTCGACGTCATCTGCTGGGACAAGGACCGCTTCGGCAAGGACTACATGGGCGAGTTCGACCTGGCCTTGGAGGAAATATTCCAGAATGAAAAGACTGAGCAAGAAGCTCGATGGTTTCCCCTTAAGAGCAAGCGCCCCGGCAAGAAGACAAGCATCGTCTCTGGCGAGGTCCTGCTGCAGTTTACTCTTCTCGACGGCTCTAGCCCCAACGCCTCCCCGCAGCAGATTTTCGACAAGTTCTACAGTCTTGTTGGCGCCGTCAACCTCGGCTCGTCTCGTAACGTCACCCCGTCCATGACACCGCTCCTCGTCCCAACGAATGCTCCCAAATCCAACTCGTCCTCGCCCGACGACGGTGGGGACGACGATGACGACGATGACTTCACAGAGCTCGACGACGATGCCAACGAAGAAGGCGAGGATCCCTCCAAGCCGGAGACAGCCGAGAAACGGAGAAGACGTTTGAGGATCAAGGGTTTGAAGAAGAGGCGCCGCCAGAATCCCTACGCTTTGAGCGGATCCTCGGACGTGGTCGGCATCATTTTCCTGGAAATTTGTAAAATCACCGATCTCCCACCCGAGTCGAACCTGACGCGGACTGGCTTCGACATGGATCCCTTTGTCGTCGCGTCGCTGGGCAAGAAGACGTATCGTACCCGCCGTGTCAGGCACAACCTGAACCCGGTCTTCAACGAAAAGATGATATTCCATGTCCAGGGGCACGAGCAATCCTACTCGTTTGCTTTTACCGTCATCGACCATGATAAGTACTCAGGCAACGACTTCATCGCATCCTGCACTTTTCCCGTCCACGGCCTGATCGAGAGAGCGCCACAAGCAGACCCCGAAACCGGACTCTACTGCCTGCCGGATTTCCCTGAGCATACGCCTGCTGCTGCCAAGGCACGCTTCAAGAAGCTGAACATATCTCGGAACTCGTCCTCGCAGAGCCTGGGCAAGATGATGCGGCCGGGACAGTCCAAAACTTCGACGGGCTCCAGCACTGGCTCGCAGTCCCAAGCTTCCGACTCGGGTCAGGCTCAGGCCAGCGGCCCAAGCCATTTGGCGCCGACAGAAGCGCTTGCCAATCCGAGCGCCGATGTCTTGGAGCCTTCGATGGAGGGAGAGGACACCGGCTTCCACGACTATGTGCTGCCCCTCAAGATGAAAAACCTGGACAAGTGGGAGTCGAAGCACAATCCGGTCATCTACCTTCGCGCCAAGTACATGCCGTATTCCGCCCTCCGCCAGCAGTTTTGGCGAGCCATGCTTCGACAGTACGACACCGACGAGAGCGGAGAAATTAGTCGCATCGAGTTGACCACCATGCTCGATACCCTGGGCTCGACGCTGAGGGAGTCGACGATTGACAGTTTTTTCCACCGCTTCCCTCACAAGGCGGCCGACAACGAAGAAAGCTGGGACCTTACCATGGACGAGGCTGTCATTTGTCTGGAAGATCAACTACAGGTCAAGAGCAAGCCGGCTGCGTCTGCTGCCGAAAAGCTCAAGAGTTTAGTGCCGGACATGAAGCATCTCGGCCTCGGCAAGCCAGCTGCTGGCTCAGACATGTCCGGCACGTCCACCCCTCAGATCTCCATCGAGTCCCATCAGTCCAATGCCACGGCGGAGACGAACACTCCGGCGGAGCCTGAGGGTGACGAGGATCTGGGCGATGACCGGGAGGAACACGTCGTGGAGATTCGCGAGTGCCCCATCTGCCACCAGCCGCGGCTGAACAAGCGCAGCGACTCAGACATCATCACGCACATTGCGACGTGCGCTAGCCAAGACTGGCGGCAGGTCAACACGGTGCTCATGGGCGGCTTCGTGACGGCCAGCCAGGCACAGCGGAAGTGGTATTCCAAGGTCATCACCAAGATTTCATACGGAGGGTACAAGCTCGGGGCCAACTCGGCAAATATCCTGGTCCAGGACCGAATGACTGGCCAGATCAACGAGGAAAAGATGAGCGTGTACGTACGCCTGGGCATCAGGTTACTGTACAAGGGATTGAAGTCTCGCGATATGGAGAACAAGCGTAGTAAGTCGCTACCGAGTGGTGAAAGGCCCGACTCGACATGATGCTGACCGTCGCTACAGTTCGAAAGCTGCTGAAGAATCTGAGCATCAAGCAGGGCAAGAAGTTTGACGACCCCGCGTCCAGGGACGAGATTGAAAAGTTTATTGAATTCCACGGCCTGGACATGTCAGAGGTGCTGCTGCCAGTGGAAGAGTTTAGAAACTTCAACGAGTTCTTCTATCGCGCCCTGAAGCCCGACGCGCGACCCTGCTCGGCACCAAATAACCCGAAAATCATTGTGTCGCCAGCCGACTGCCGCAGCGTCGTCTTCAACCAGATGACGCAGGCGACAAAGATCTGGGTCAAGGGGCGCGAGTTCAACATGAGGCGACTGCTGGGGAACGCCTACCCCGACGACGCTGCGCGGTACGAGAATGGCGCGCTCGGCATCTTCCGGCTGGCGCCGCAAGACTATCACCGCTTCCACATCCCGGTGGACGGCGTCATGGGGAAGCCGGTCATGATTGCAGGCGAGTACTATACGGTGAACCCCATGGCGATACGCTCCGCGCTGGACGTGTACGGCGAGAATGTGCGGGTCGTGGTGCCGATTGACAGCGAGGCCCACGGGCGCGTCATGGTGATTTGCGTGGGCGCCATGATGGTGGGAAGCACCGTCATCACACGCAACGAGGGCGACTACGTCAAGAGAGCCGAGGAGCTGGGATACTTTAAGTTTGGCGGCAGCACGATCCTGGTGCTATTTGAGCCAGGAAAGATGCGATTCGACGACGACTTGGCCGACAACTCGAGCGGTGCCCTGGAGACGCTGGTGAGTTGATAGACAGGCTTGGCGGGTGCGCTGCGAGACTGTGACAAGACTGACGAGATGGCTACAGGTGCGAGCAGGCATGTCGATTGGGCATTCGCCCGACCAGGCGCAGTGGACGCCGGATATGCGCAAAAACGACGAGGATGTCACAGAGGCGGAGAAGAAGGAGGCCAAGCGCCGGATCCAGGGCAACGTTGGCATGCAAGAATCGTCGGGCGACAGCGGCGAGGACGGCGAGGACCAAGCGCCCAGCTCGGCCCGCAAGCTGTCGACTGCGCCAACGGTCAACACGCTTGCGGCGTCGGCGATGTAGGGACTCTGACATGGATGGTCTCTCGGGGTCTTGCGCGTCTGGAGGACGATGGCCCGGGGACGGGTTGCTGGTCATGGCTAGATGGATGGGACCTGGATACGGATTACAAGGGGACGAAACATGATACAGACGGCTGGACCTTTGATTTGATGCCGAGAGCAAGAGCGAGGACGGGTCACATTGGGAAAGACGACGATGGCGGATGGCGGATGGCGGAAAAAGCAGAGTTATGATTATGGCTACCGAATACAAGGTGCGCTCTGTGCTTTTCCCGTGGTGTCGCTGCAGGATTGGTGGTTGTGGGCTGTGTGTCTCGAGGTGACGGCTCTGGCCGAGAAACGGCTGTGCATGGACAAGAGGCCCGGGCACTTGCATGGCCCGTCTCTCTGCCCGTGTTATTGCCTCTGTTTGTGTTGTGCATTGCGGCTTGTGTCAGCTTCTGTGAGGCAGCACGTGGCCTGGCGGTAAGGATGTTGGATCGAAGGGGCGCGGGCCCCGAGGCGACGGGGCGCTTTGCCCGAAGATTCAGCCCGGTGATGACGGGAATGAAGAGTTCGGCCAGTTTGGTGGGGAGGGCGTTCTTTTCTTATGGGCGACGGCTCGCTCTTCCGCGGCGACCCCTGAGCGTTGGCCATGCATGACCTGGTGTCCGGGGGTGGGTGGCGGGCGGGCGGTGTAAGTGAGCGACGGAGGAGCTGCCTACTCGCGACCGCTGCTGCTGCCGCCGCTGCTGCCGCCGCTGCTGCCGCTGCTGGAGGAGCCGCGCCTGACGCGGTCGCTGTCCATGGAGCGCTTGGGCTCGGGCGAGGGGGAGCGGGTTCGGTTGAGGGGCAGGTCGTGCTGTGCTGGTGACGACGACGACGACGACGGGCTGGGCTGGCGGGCCTGGCGCCACGAGATGTAGAACTGCTTGCAGAGGTGGGCGGACATGGTGTAGGTGGGAGCCATGGTGTCTGACGGCCCTCTTGGGGGTTTTTGTTCCGTCGGGTCTGGCTGGGGTGGTCCGATAGAGACGGGGAACGGAGTCGTCGATGATGGAGGAAGCAGATGGGCCGAGCCGCGTATATAAGTCGACGCCGGGCAGGCCGCGGTTTATGGAGACGAGCCGTGTCCGTCCCTGCCGCACGGCCTGGCTCTCTATGTTTTCCGTCGGGCCTTTGCGCGTTGTGCTTTGTTTGCGCGTTGGGGCCCCCGGGCGGTGATCTATTCTAGAGTTCCCCGACTTCTTTGTTGGTTGCGGGCGAGCCGGGGCACTGGAGGGGGGGTTCGTGGTTGATTTGAAATATATTAGTTAACTTAAGTTATATGGAGTATATGTTTGGGTACGTCTTCGCCGCGGGGAAAGGGGGGCGGCAGACGAGGCGGCGGAGGAGGAGCAGCTCCTAGGACTCTTGCTTTCTCCTTTTTGCCCGGTTTGCTGCCGGAGGCGGATGGCGAGGTGTGTTGAGGGTGGGGGGCTGTGGTTTCATTTATACGATGCTCGGTTACCGTGCTGTAGGTAAGCGTATGATGGTGGTGGTGGAGGTGGTGATGCTAAGTTACGGGGCCATCGCATTGCAGCCCTGTCTGTACAGAGTACCTGTACGGTAAATATCCAACGTACCACAACCAGGCACAATGGCGAGGGGGCGGGGCCTCCGCAGCCAGCGCAAAGCACGAACACGCACCCGCCGTAGCTAACCAACCCCGCCCCAGCCCGCGCAGCGCACAACGTGGTGCCGCCCAGAGTGGCCTGACCAGAGAAGCCCAAAGTGGCACGACAACTCAACTCCCCCCAAGCGGCGGGGCGTCTCTCGACACACGGCACACTGTCACCCCCGCCGCGCGTCAGGCATAGCGGACAGTGCGAGTGCGTTGGCTCGCGGCAGTGCTGATCGCATGAGCGCCAAGTAACAGCACCCACGGTGGTGCCTTTTTCGTCGCTCGTCCCATCGGGAAAAGACGGGCCAGACAGAAAACGCAACATGAAAGGCAGGCGGCGTGGCGAAGCGGACCGCTCGCCAAGACGCGCGCGGGCATGGAACTTGGACTTGGGCTCTGTGTGCGCCCTCCTTTTGGGCTTGTTTGTGGGTTGGCCGGCGGTGCAGCGAGGAGCCTGGTGATGATGCGTCCCGTCGCGTCTTGCCCTTGGTAATCAATGAATCATGAATCATACTGCACGCACGGCACATGGCCAGTTGCTGCGGCGTCCGTGAACCGTCAAGAACAAAAAGCCGCCTTCGTTTACTCCCGATGCACGCCAACGCGCCGTGCTACCAAAGTAACCATTCACATCATGTTATACAACACCCAAGAGCGAGCCAGTCCTCAGTCGGCAATGGCACTCTCATCCCCCGCCGGCCCGGCCTCGCCCGCCCTCTCGCTCGACGACACCCGGATGTTGGCCCGCGCCTTGTGCTGCGACTCGACAAACCGCTCCCAGTGGTCCGGGTCGCTCTCCTTCATGCTGCGGAACAGCACCTCCTTGTCCTCCTTGAACGCCCGCACCGCCCCCTTCTCCTTGACCTTGTCCAGCATCTCGCCCCCGAGGTCCTCGGCCAGCTCCTCCAGCATCTGCGCGTGCTTGGGGTGCGCCCCGATGTCGTCGATCGTGTTGAGGAGCTCCAGCTGCTCCTGCCGCACAAACCCGGACCTGAACCGGTGGCCTGCCCGTAGCACCCGGCCCTCTTCCTCGGCCTGCACCTTGGACAGCTTGGAGCTCGACTGCGACACCGCCTTGGGCGCGTGGATCTCCGACTCGTCTTCCCCGTCCGACACCGCCACCGCCGAGTCTGTCCCCGCCGCCGCCGACGTCGACGTCGGTTCCCCCTCCGCAGCAGCCGCTGCCGCCGTGCTCGCTGCCTCCCCGCCCGTCGCCGCCGGCCCGTGCTCTCGCGTGTCGGGGAATTCGTCTTCGAATCGCTTGATGATGCCTTGCAGTGTCTCGTCCAAGAAGGTGAACTTTCGTAGGTTCTGCTCGTCGCTCGGGTTCGCCCTGGCCTTGGTCAACGCCGGCTGCAGCCGGATGCGAATCTTGCGCGCCCCCGCCAACAGGTGCTTCGACATGTCCTTGGCCTTTCCGCCCGTCGCCAGGCTGGCCTGCACCGGCGCCGAGCCCTTGTCCCGCTCGCCCGACGCCTCCGCCGCTTGCCTGCTCCACTCGTCACCGCGGTTCTCGAGGCAGCACCGGAGGGCCTTGACCACGCCCGTGCCCCCGATGACATAGTCCTCGTCGGGAGCCGAGTCGTCGTCGGCCTCCTTGCCCGTCTCGTCCAGTACGTCGTGGCCCACCAGGTGCGCGAGCACGTCCGAGTACGCCGCCGCCTTGCACTCGCGCACCTCGCTCTGCGTCTCCGTCATGGCCGACGATGCCGCCGCCGCACCCATGTTTGTGTCGGGCAGCCGCTCCATGTTGCGGAGGCAGTACGCCACCACCTGCTTGGCCATGGCCTTGACGATTTCTCCCGCCTCGTCCCCGGGTACCTCGATATCCACGCATATCAGGCTCTCCGACACCCTCGACGCGGCCAGCAGCGACGCGTACAGTGCACACGCCTCTTCCTGCGCCTCTTCCGTCTGGGCGTCCGCCAGCTTCATCAGCGCCGCGTTTCCGAGCAGATTGATGTGAGCCAGCCTGTGCACCTCGGGCAGCACCTCGACAATCGCTATGGCCTGCTCCGAAGTCATGTTGACGTCTTGCAGGTGGATGCGCTTCAAGTTTTCCATGTGCGGGAGAAACCTGCGGCGAGTGTCAGCAACAAACTCCCTCCTCCTGGGACTCAGGCCTACTCACTTTCGCAACAAGCCAACGACACTGGGCTTCGACTGGAACAAGTCGTGATTGTGGGACAGATCAATGAACCGGAAGTTGTCCAGCCTGACCAGCGACGGCACAATCTTGCACAGCGACGATTGGTCGAGGTTGCAACCGGCCAAGCTCAGCGCCCAAAGGGGAGTCTTGTCGCTGATGGCGCCCGCAATCGCCTCCATGTGATCCCTCAGGTCGTTTCCGCCCAGGTCCAGCCCTTCGCATTTCCCGGCGGCGAGGTACCGGGCCACGGCAGCCACGCCCTGCCCGTCGAGGCGGTTATGGGCGAGACCCAGTCTGCCGACGCCGCATTTGATGACGCCATCCATGATGGTGCTCAGCTGGTCCATGCTGGGCTCCGTCTCGCCAATGTTGAGCATCTCGAGCGTCGATCCTCCCGGGCGGTCCGCGATGGCCTTGGAAAAGACGTCGGATATGCTCCGGGGGATTTGCCTGCCGTTTGCAAGGGGCCCGTTGTTGTTGCACGGGGCTTGCTTGGGAAACGCGGTTTGTGAAATGTCGAGATACTTCAACGACCTGCACTTGTAAAGGAACAGCGAAATGTGCTTCCAGCCGTCCGGCCCGAGCTTGTTGCTCTTGAGCACCACGCGCTCCACCACGCCCCCTTGCTCCTCGAGCTCGTGCCTCGGCTTCTTGCGCCGCGAGCTGGCCGGTCGCGTGGCGGCCAAGAGGCCCGCAAGGATGACCCGTAGCCCTTCGTCGCCCAAGCCGCAGTTCTCGAGAACGATTTCCTTGACCGGCACCACGGCGAGGTAGTCGCCCAGCGTGATGAGGTCCGGCAGCTGCAGCCAGTAGTCGGTCAAGTCCAATCGGTTGATGACGCCCGTCGAGGGGCAGGAGTTGGTAGTGTCCGTGAGCTGCTCGGTAATCTTCTTGAGAATCGGTGTCTCGCGCAGCTGGCAGCATCGGCGGTATATCCTCGTCGGGTTCGTGGTGGGCTGCGACGTCGTCTTGGTGCAGGGTGTTCCGGTGCCGCTGAGGGTTTCAGATGACGAGTCGCTGCTGTCGTAGTATATTTCCATCGGAACGGAGCCATTGTCCTCGGCGAGTCGGCGGCGCTTCTCTTTCCTGGCCTTCCGCTCCTCCTCGCTCTTCTTCTTCTTTTCCTTTTTCTTGGTCGTATCCTTGTCGTGCTCCGCAAGGGGTGAGGCGCCGTTGACGAGCGACCCGTTGGCGTGGGTTCCCGGAGCCTCGAGTTCCTCGGGGACGGGCTCGCTCTGGCTTTTGGTATTGCCGCTGGCTTCCTTTGGCGCATCGAAAGCCTTGGGGTTCTTCAGCGCCTCGCCTTCGCCCTTCTCCGTCAGCTTCTTCCTCGTGACTTTGTTGGTGGGCTTGTGCGCCACGTCGAGGTCGGCGTATTTGGGCATTGGCGCAATCTCGACGTCGACGCAAAACGCCACTCGCCTAAGCTTGGCGTCCTTGAGCTCGGCGATGGGACATCTCTCCCTGTTCTGGTCGACGTTGAGCGTCACGCGCTCGACGAGGCCATGGCCTAGTTTCCCGCTCGCGAGGCCGTTGCCCCCAGACGTCGACAGCCGCCTGAAGACACCGAGGATGCCGGCTTGACCAGACTTGGGAGGAGCCGGCGTGTAGGGGCCGTTCCCTTCGGGTTTCAGGGCATGTGGCAATACGGCATTCCTGGCCAGGTGAAACTTGGGCACTGGTGGTTCGTCTGCGGGGTTGGCGCATTGCTGCTGAGACTGGTTCTGCTGCGAGGCCTGCGACTCTTGGCTCTGGGCGGACAGGGCCTGCTCCTGAATTTGAAGGTGATTATTTGTGTGTTGGGGTGTCGGCGACTGGCTCGGGGGCGAGTTGTTGGAGCCGGTGAACTTTGCCGAGATGTTGGAGAACCACGAGTTGCGACGCTGCGGTGGACTGGGGTTGGACCCGACCAGTCGGTCTATCGAGCCGGATCGCGAAAGCCTCCTGGGCGTGGAGGAGCCGCTGGAGGGGTTGGGTTCGGGTTGGCCATTGGCCTGGACGTTGGCTGATGGATCGGCCGTGCCGGCGGGATTGCGCGGGTTCGAGACGGGAGAAGGAAGTGATCGTAGCTGCGCGGGAGCCGGCGTCTTGGGCGGCGACGAGTATGATGGCGATCTGCTGACCTTGTCTGCAGGAAGCGCCTTGTTAGCCACATTGCGCAAGAGGATCGCGCTGGAGGGAGGACATGAGGGAATCCCGGTGGAACATGCCTCTAGGAGAGCCGCGGGTCATCCAGCTGACGTCGACGCCGTGAACCTGCTCCATGGCTTGGCGCGGCAGGCGGCGCTACCCAGGAGGCGCAGAGAGCCAAGTGCGAGGCGTGAATATCGTCCGTCCGACCGTCGCCACACTGAACCGTGCGGTCGAAGGCGGGACCGGCTGCGGCGCTGGGATGAAGCCGTCGCCCGTCTCCCGAGCCGGCCGCTGATTTGAGGAAGTCAGAGGCGCTGGCGGAGAGGCGCCTGAGAGAAAGATGAAAGAGGCCGTGGGGTAAAAATGATACAGGCGGAGAAGTGGCCTAGAACGTGGGGAGGGCAAGTCGGGCGTAGGTGAGGAATCTCGGGATGCCTCTCTCCTCTCGTCTCAGCTGAACGAGCGACTGGAGAGTCCCGGGCGGAGGCGAAGTGATAATGAATGCATGTACGTACGTAGTGGCGTCGTAGGTAGCGGAGTGCGCATGTGTGTGGTGTGCACGCACCAAGAGAGAGGATTCGCAGGAGGGAGGGGACTGGCTGCTTTGGGTATGGGATGAAGGTATATTTGGTGTTCGTACTCCGTACTGTAGTCTGTACAATGAATGACATGAGGCATGATACCAAGGCTAGAGGTACGTACTGCCTCCCCGGCCAGATGAGGCACGAGTCGAGACAGTACCGCTGCCGCGGGTCCAGGCGCGCAGGTACCTTTAACTACCTGCCGTCCGAGCCGCCCCTCGGCCCATACTAATACCGTATACCTACCTTAGGCACTAGAGGTAGGTATTACTCAAGGTACTAGGTATGGATTAAAAATGGTTCCGGCCTTTAAAATATCCTTACAAACACAAGGGCTTTGAGCAGATCCCTCTCGGGAACAATGTACTGTACAGTACAGCACGGAGTTTGTAGGCAAAGGTGCTCCGTACATGCCTGATAAGCTCCCGCAAGTATCCATCCCTACCTGCAACAAAAGGCAAAGGAAATCATACGGATACTCGCCGGTATCGTATTCGTTAGGTACTGTACCCGTGGCTCTCCAGCAACGCCTGAGAGCGCCCGCACGTACCCTCACTCATCACAAACAAAAGCTTACAGCGACTTCACAAAACAAGTACTGTACGTGGACAAACTGAGAGTATAAAACAGCCCCAGAGAGTGGGCATCCATGTTAATCCTGACAACACCCCGACCGATACCACCGTAATACTACCTACCTACTGTAACCAACGTACGACCCCGCCTGCCAGAGACACGACAGAGAGCCCAGACAATCAAAAAGGAAGAACCGCGACGTCACAGCAGCCACACAGACGCACCCTTCGAACAAGGGCACCATGACCCCCCCCCCCTTTCCCCCTCCTTGAGCGCGGCTTAGCACCGCTCCCCGTCGGCCTTGTCCAAAACTCGCCTCGTCCCTCCCGCCGCACCAGTCTTCCCCTGACTCAGCTGCTTCCGTCCCCTCTCTCCACCCAGCTTGGAGTCCATCAGCCGCTTCGTCGTGGGCCGGCCCCCGTCTGCTTCCATGGCGTCAACGTTTTCCTATCATAATTATACAATAGCCAACCATCTTGGGGACGATACAGTCAGCGTTGGCGCATACAGCCGCCGCCGCCGCCGCCGCCGCCGCCTCGTGATTCCATCGCCCACGCTGCATCCGTGCATGTACATGCATCCACGATTCTGGCCTGACTCGACCAGCAGGAACCGCCCAGTGCGCTTCGAACCTCTCTACTGTCGCTTGAAACGGCCGGCCACTCCCGAGCCTCCCGTAGCTGTTGGTATCAAACCGTCGACCTCACGGCAGAGGCCCTCCGATACGTAATCATGTTGCCTTGCACTGTCTTGTACTGTGCACATGATCGGCTTTATTCCCCCCTCGGATGGCTAGGGTCGTTGGGTTTGCATGCTACTCAACACAACCATCACCACCAACACCAGCAGCCCAGAGCCATGTCACGTCATGTTCGTCATGTTCCTGGCAAATGGCACAGCGCAAATTGCCATTCGCCATGCCAACAACCAATCCAGGCCTGCTCGATACCGTAGGGTAAAGAGGCGATGCAACCATTGGCAGCCGTCGAGATGTGGTGTTTTGCATTTCATTTCATTGACATTGGAATCTGAATGCAGCAGACCCTTGCCCTTGCGTATAACTCCAGACCCAAGCCATTCCAGATCGACGTTGCCAGCAAACCAAACCCTTCTACTCCTTCTGCAAGATAGCCTGGATCCTCTCCTGGATCTTCTTCTGCTTCTCGGCCTTGCTGGTCTTGGAGGTCCGGTATTTCTTGGAAATGGCCTTCCACTCGTCCTTGCTCTTCTTGGGGGCGTCGCTCTCGGCCTTCTTCCAGGGATCCTCGCGGATCGCCTTGTGAGCCTCGGTATAGAGGTCCTCGAGGCTGTCGGCCTCGAGGTCATCCTCAATGTACTTCTGGAACTGGCTCTGGTACCGTTCCTCGTCGTCGTCGGCGAGCGTCTCCATGTACTCGGCGACATGACCGCCGTAGATGTACTTGCGGAGAACCTCGGCGTCGAGCTCCTTGGACTCCATGTCGTAGCCGGGGAATCGCTTCTCCGAGTGGGGGACCAGGATGCCGCCGTCCGAGGCGCCCTTCATGGCGCCAAAGACGCGGGCACCCGTCGAGGTGCGGGCCAGGCCGACGTCAAGGAAGGCCTTGAAGGGGCGGCGCTCGCCGTCGTCCGTCTCGGCGGCCTCGGTCAGGGTGAATTCACCATCCGCCTCCTCGACGCCGACAAAGTCCTTGTCAAGGCCAAGCTTGCTAAGGACGCGGCGGGCAATGAGCAGGCCGGTGGCGTAGGCGGCAGCCCAGTTGGACAGTCCGTGGTTGATGCCGTAGGCTCTCAGCTCGTGGGCGTAGGCAGCCACCAAGACCTTGTCGCCGGTGATCTCCGACGTGACAATTTGCATGATGATGTCCTTGTTGGTGAAGCGGACGACGAGGCGGTACTTGGGCGCATTGTACTTGTTCTTGGCCTGGGTGATGAGGCGCTTGCGGGCATAGTAGTCGGTCTTGCCTTGGCGTCTGCGCTTGTACTTGGTCTGGTACCGGCTGCGACGAATCTCTGTTAGCGACAGGGAGCCTTCCGTGTTGCGAGCGAGGGTATTCACCTGTGGTACGCGCTGTTTTTGACCAACTTGTGGAAAGGCTGTCTCGTGTCTTCGAGTCAGCAATTTGCGCTTCAGACGTGGTTTGTTCCGAAGCATCTTGCGGTGACTCTGCAGCACGAGCAATTGGAATTTCTTCCACGACAGATTCACGCCGTCCGGAGCAGGACGACGCTAGATAGGCCTCAACTTACCATTGTGACGATGTTTTGCCAACGACGGCTGAGAAAGTTGGTGGTGGTGATTGCAAGACGAAATTCTGGTGGGGGATTTTTTCGAGCCCTAATGGCCGCCGGTGGCCTGCCGAGCCCCACTCCGGGTACCTGGGTTGGGGACGACTCACGTGACGCTGCTTGTCGTTCTTCCTCTCTCCTCGCCTGTATTACGGAATCGCCCAATCAGGTGGAGCCGTCTCTGTTGCGGCATTTCTTTGGCCGTTGCTGGACAAGGCCAGGCCGAGCGGCGGACGGCATCGATGGAAGCAACGACGAACACACCGTGAGAGATCTTTGTTCATGTCGCTTTCGGGCTTTGAAGATCCCTTGGTCGACCAGATTCTCGAGGCCGTAGACGCTGAAATGGCGAGTCAAAAGAAGCCCAAAGTTCTCCTCTTCGACATTGGGGGCGTATGTGTAAGTCGATTAGAGCTCGAGACCGTCTCCGTTCTCTGCTTAACACGCCTCGCCCCAGGTCGTCTCACCATTTCAGGCAATCCTAGACTACGAGCTCAGCCTGGGCGCCCCACCAGGATGGATCAACTATTCCATCTCGAAATCAGCCCCCTCTGGTTTCTGGCACCGTCTCGAGAGAGGCGAGATCCCCTTGGATCAAGCCTTCTTTGACGGCTTCAACAAAGACCTCCACAACTCGGCTCGCTGGAAGGCCTTTAGCCAACGAGAGCAGGCCAGGAACCCCAACACCCCCCGAGAGCTGCCTCCACTACCTACCCTAGATGGAGAATGCCTGTTCAACAAGATGATGTCCAGCTCCCACGCCCCGGACCCGTGGATGTACCCGGCTTTGCAGACCCTCAAGCAAGGCGGTCAGTACATCCTCGGCGCTCTGAGCAACACTATCATCTTTCCTCCCGGCCACAAGCTCCACAGCACCAACTTCTTCAACGACTCTCTGCGGCAACTGTTTGATGTCTTCATCTCCTCTGCCCACGCAGGCATTCGCAAGCCGGACCCCAAGATGTATCGACTCGCCGTCGCCACCCTCGACCGCTTTGCCAGGGAACGCGCCGAATCTGAGCGGGGACGGCGGTTAGGGTGGGATGCTGGCATTCAAGCCCACGACATTCTCTTCCTCGACGACATTGGCGAGAATCTCAGAGAGGCCAGAGCCCAAGGCTTTGAAACCATCAAGGTGCGCCTGGGAAAAACATACGAAGCAGTCGAGAAGCTAGAGCAAGTCACAGGGCTGAAGTTGGAGGGCCAGCATCCCAAGAAACCCGACAGCCCCAGATTGGCGGGACCCAAAGCTAGGATATAACGATCTGTAACCATCTTTACGATACATGTGCCGGAAGCGACCGCTCTATCGAATCAGCAGCCTTGGCCTCGAGACTGGTCTTCATTCTTCCCAAGTCAACTCGCCACAATCCACAGCGTCACGGCAAGCTTCACTGCGAGATCAAAAGCCTTGCAACCCTTCTTCGACAACTCTGCTACTGCTACTCTAGACCCCAACCGGCTTGTGAAGTTTCCACCATGAATTTCAGTGTCAACTAGTCCTGCCTCTCCAAGGCTATAATGCGTGTGCATTGTCCTCTTTTACCCATATGAAGCTCAAAGCCAGCGACGCCAGCATACCGCGCATGCTGCCGGCACGAAACCATCCGTAACGCCATAATTCGTTGGTCATGTCATGATTTCATTATTCCTTCCTACCAGTCGCCAGCACCAAGGTTGCCCTCGCATCGAAATTCCCGTCACCGCGGCTGATGCGTTTCAGTCGTCATCTAGGATAACAACTGTTTGAGTAGTCGAATCCGCGCTTGGCACCTTCGTTTCAGGCTGACCCTGGGCTTTCGTTTCGGCTTCGTCGGCTTCCTGGATTCGGTTCCAACTTCCATCGGCCTTGATACTGATATGTTTGGTGCCGACTCCGTCGCTCTGAGCTAGTTGCCTTTGCACCTCTGCAAAGAAGTCGTCGACGCGGAGGCTGACAGGCCTCGCGTCGAGGGCGCAAATAGGGCATTTCCAACAGTCTATTACGCTCGGCTCGGCTTGGTCCTGCGACGGCTTGCACGAGCGAGTTTGCAGCCAAATGTCCAGATCGAAACATTCAATGTGCTTGCAGTCTACTCCTCGGACAGGAGTTTTAAACTGACAAGAACTGAAAGGGTCCGCCACTGCCACGCGAATATGGTCGTCTTCGACAATGATGTCGTCAGAATCTCTTGGCTTCAAGCGTCGTTGGATCTCCCGTATTGTTTCGTCGACACTGATATGCTCGTTTGCCCCAACAAGATCTCGCACTGCTTCGTAGTCGAGAGTAGTGATAACCTCGACACCCATGAAATAGGTCGAGCAGTTGTCCATGTTGGCCGTAAACTCCGGCAGACTGATTTCGATGGTGTTTTCGCCGGGGCAAACCAGGTCACTCAGCTCAATGGGGACATCGTGCTGAAAGTGCTGGCGCCGCCGAGGCCGCACGGGCTGCCCGTTGCATGCCAGAAAGATGTGTTCAGGCCAGAAGCTCGGGCAGACTGTCCATTCAGTCGCCGGCACTAGTTGGACGGCCCGATCCTGTTTGCAAAGGCGGAGGCGATATCGGAGGGATCCACTAGAATAGAGAGCTGTCGATGCTTCGCTCGTGCGAGATATTCGGACCATCTTGGAGAGTTCGACTGTGGACAGGGTAAATTTCAACTCTCGGAGGCCTTTCCGGGGCTCGAAAGCCTTGGGTTCAACGGCAAAATGAGTCATGAATTGGTAGAATCGCCGGGTGCAAGGCCTTGAAGGGGCTCTCTTGGGGCTGCGTAGAGACCAGAGGTGGAGACCATTCTGGATACACTGCAAGTCGCTCTGGGGTAACTCGTGCTCGCGTAGTGGAACAGTTCGATGCTGACTATGGTTAAGGCTCCTTGTCGACTGTATGGGACCGCCGCCCAATACAGGGGGACTCGCGACTGGGCTTTCCGAAGGGCGCTGGCTGTTGAAAGGTGGCGGACCAGCACGTGGCACGTCGAGTCGCCGACCCAGAACCGACGGCCAAGGAACTGGAGCAGCCTGTTGCCGCTGCGGGTGAGGCGCCAAGGTTTGAGAAGCCCTCGTCCGCGCCGCGTCAAACCTGGCTCGAGGGACAAGCCGGGCATCTGACGAAGGGCGCTGCATGGCCAGGCATGTAGCCACTGGGTCCTGCTGCGCAGCTGGCCAGGTCGATACGAGATGCGGTGCAGCTGCCGAAAGGACTTGGCCTGTCGGCATGGGCGCAGAGAATGCAGCAGCCGGCTGCCCAAGACCAGTGGCGTTTGGTGAGTTGAGCTGACCGGCCGCGAATGTGCCACCGGGTCCTGGGTGTGACGGGGCCCCCGACATCATGGCTTGTCTGTTGCCTTGATTCACATCGACAGCAGCCTGGGCGTCTGCATGGTAGGGCGAGAAGAATCTAGTGTCGTATGCATTGCCGTGGCTGCTGTCGTTGTTGAAACTGGGGTGCGCGGGGTACGCGAACGCGTTGGAAGACGGAGACGTGAACATGGCCGAAGGACACGTCGTCGGACGAGTCGTCGGACGGGCCCATGTGGCGGGGTACAGGACACTCCCCGTGTTCGGGGACGACTGCACAAATGCTTGCGAAGAGGGCCTGGGAGTTGGGGCAGGACCTAAAGTAGAATGCATCAGCTAACAAGCCTCGAAAAGATGGCACAGCAGGGGTGACTTGCCGCACCCCTGAGCAACCAGTGCTCTGTATCTTTCCACTATTGCAGTGCGCACTCGAACAGACTCAGCACTGCCGTTGCCGTGGCGAGACTCGTTGTTGCGATCCGTTGTGAAGAGGCGATATAGCTCGTACGCCGCCACATCTTCGATGCCAAGTCTCCTGCGACTCGAAGTGAAAAGTACCCATTGCAGCACGGGAGACGTGCACATCAAGACGCTCTGAAACTCGCAGACCAGAGGCGGATACCTCCTTTCGTCAATGTTGGCGAGGACACGCCCCCAGCCGGTGACGAAGTGCTGTAGAAAAAAGTTGATCTGGGAGAGGACGTCATGAATCTGACGACGCGGGACGAAGCCTGCAACATCCTTGAAACCGAGGGGGAATGACGCGAACCAGTGGAGGTGGATTGCCGGCAGATCTGAATTTCTTCTCAGGACCTGGAGCAGCAGACCGAAGACCGAGTCGACGACTGCTCGCTCAGGCACTAGCCATGTATAGGCAACCTCTCTGTTGGTGGACCAGAGGCAGAATAGCTGGTGGAAGATGATGTAGAAGAGATCGCCTTTGACACAGGCATCGCAGAGTAGCTTATACCGCGGCTTCTCTCGAGCCGGGTCGAGGGAGTGAAAGCCGCCAAAAGCTCGAAGGCGGTCTTGAACCATGAGAACCAACTGGTGCGAAAAGGACGATGCATCGGGCAAAATGGGGGCGCTGGCGGGTTCAAGTTGCATATCGCCACCTCGACGTCGTTTCGCGTGTTGGGTGGAAGACTCAAGGCCATCGCCGCCCCCAGGCGTCGCTTCGGCTTGAGCTGAGGATACTTGAGTCGCCGTGCGCTTAGTCGCTGTCGATGCAGCCGTGAGCTGGCCTAGATCTTGATGTCCTGGCGGCGTCGCAAGGCTGTCTGAGCCGGCGTCAAGTGCGGCTTGCGGCTGAGCAAGGTCAAGGCTTTTGTCAGTCGTGTGGCCGGCCGCTCGAGAGCTGTTCTCGGGATCTTGCGAAGGAATGAGTGCATCTCCGGCCGGTTCGCACGACAGGACGTTGTGAGAGGTTGGAGATGAAACCTGTGATTGCGGGAAACAGTCGGCCGTGTCGGAGCCTAGAGGAAGCTGGGTCGGACGGCTGGCACTCTGTGCTAAGACGGGTGTGGAAATATTTGGGCTGGATTCGCCGGAGGGAGCAGGCGAAGGAAAGACGCTGGCAGCGCTGTGATTCAAGTCAGTTACACACAGAGCCCGGTGGTCAGGGGGGGTTCCGAGGAGTGTAGGGAGGAGAGCACGGCATCCCGTGAGCAGCGACGAGGTCACGGGGGAACAGCACTTGCCTCGACTTGGCGCCGTTGTGCTTGGCGCCAGGCAGCGAAGGCGTGCGCGAATGCGCAGGCAGTGAGCCTTGTGGGGGAGAGGTTGGGTTGGCGGTGGCTGGGAGGGTTCGCGGCCGAGACTCGGTGCCAGAGGCGTTGTGACGGGCACTTGACACCGTGGCCATCCACAACGGCCGTCGCCCGCCAAGAAACGCTCGAGCGGTCTCGTTGCTCCTGTCGATGGGCTGATGCATGTCGGGGGCAGTCGCCGTCCGGGGCCGACACTTGCTGGCCGGCGGCGGCATGTAGCTGTCGCGAGTCGTCGTGGCAAGGAAGGGCGGCAGTCCATTTCGTGCACTCGAGGCGTGCACTTGTGTCGGTGTCGGCCGAGGTTCTCGTCTGCTTGAGCGGTCAGGAAGACGAGCGGTGGCAGGCCCAAAGATAATGGCTGCACACATCCACAGAGCACGCGTGCGACGGCCCGGCAAATCGACGAGAGCGTTGCAGCTCGCCTGTTGCGGCGAGGATCCGGTCGGGATATATGGTAACTTACCTGTTAGCGCGAAACCCACCAGGCCCGGCCTAGGCCGCAGCCGCGACGGAGTGGCTTGACAGGGGAACGGCCTCGCTCCTGAGCCGCTAGGCCTTCTCTCCTTCTCTCCAGCGGGAGTTCTCCAGCGGGAGATGAGAGATGGGGAGGGGAAGAACGAGGGCGCACGTAGGGAGTTTTAGAGCGTGCTGTCTCGGCCTTGACCAAGGTCGGGAGGTCGGGAGAGGAGCCCCAGAGAGGAGCCCCAGAGAGGAGCCCCAGAAAGGAGCCCCAGAAAGGACGGCAGGGCTGTTCCTGTCGCCTTGGCCAGGCGCGAGGCCGACGGCGGCTTTGACAGGTACTGCACAGTACACAGGAAGGTACGGTACGTCACTGTACAGGACTGTACTGTATGATGCAGCACGTTACCGGTACTGTACAGCAAGAAAGGGGCACAGGGGCAGATAAATTTCCAATATTACCTGTTTGCCTGCCTGGCCTTGTGGCACCAAATGCAGTCCGGATGCTGATGCCCTTCCACCAACGAGGCGGCCACGATATCGAGTACGGACCGAGTACGGACCGAGTACTTGGCGCCAACGAGAGCGTGCCTTCCCCCTCTACGAGTGCGTGGGAAAAGGGGAAGGTCCAAGCCTGTGGCGCGCTTGTACATGCAAAGTACCCCGCTGTCGGCCATGAACCACTATCTCATGCACAGCGATGCTCAAACCCCGGTTCCGCAACCAGCGCACCCCTGCCGTTTGCTCAGCCCCAGTCTTTTCTGATAAAAGCTTGCTTGCATTGCATATCGCAGGCGCCAAACGACCTGAGAGGAGGGATGTGACCTCGATGGGTTTGAGTCCTAAGCGCGGCTCGGGCTTTACCCACCAAACAGTCTGCTTGCACAGGGAGGTGTCTTTGGATTATTTATGCTGGCATATTTGGCGGAGTACGCGGCACAGACCTTGTTCCCGGTCGGTGGGCTACCTAATAAGCAAACAACGCTTGAACCCACTTCGGGTTCCCTGCCACGTGCCGCTCGCTCGCTATACGCATGTCCAGCACATGCAGATCCACAGAGCAAATTAGGTAGTCACCCACTCCGGTGGTCCGTCACCGTTGGCTCGACAATATTCACCGGGCCAGGTCAACAACGAGCCTCGCGGGGCAAGTCGACGAGATTCATAGGCCGCCCAAGTCTTTTCCACGGAGAAATCCCAACCGCTTGCCCTAACCATGACACGCACAAGCGGGCCACCCACCACACTCGATACTCTTCAATGAGTTTCTGCACAATGGCCGCAGCCGGCGAAGATCGTCTCCACGCGGGAATGCTTGGATACAATCCCTACGCGACCGCAGAGGTTGGTTTCAATATGGTGCCGGACCAAGTCAAGCCCCCCCTTGCCGGACTTGACTGATAATCTCGACACTACGGTTCGCAAGATGGAGGCGCTCGCCAAAGTCGTACAAGATGGAAAGAGCCTTGCCGCGGCCACGCGGGCTGTGTCCTGTCCCACAAACGTCTGGTTCAACTGGAAAAGGTCGACCTTGCGTCCATGACAGCGCGTGAGAAGGACCAGTATCACGTCCCCAAGCGTGGAGTGGTGACCCTGCCCCCGTTCGACTGCGTTGCGAATCGCAACCCCCTCCCCACCGGCTCTGGCACTTTGACCTACAGTGAGCGCGCCCACGCAATGGACTCGGTTTGGAAGAACAAAGGAGCCACGGCCGAGAACGCATCGTGGCTTGAGCAGAACATGAATTACATGCTGCGCTTGGTGGACGCCGAGGTCAAGGCGCGGCACGGCGGGACCTCCTTTGTGGGACCCAAGACCTTCAACACCTGCAGACGGCCGTGGCGGAAACTGTCAACATCATTGTCGTTACTGGCGCCGCTAACATGAACGGCGTCTTGTCCAGGCGCATCAACCTCGCTCAGCAGCTATGCAAGGCACGCGAAGACTTGATCAGGTCCAAGCTGCAGGGCGAACCTTTGTCGAGCAACCAAGTTTGCACTCGTTGAGGCGCAAGATATGCTGAGGACAGAGCGCATAGACGTCTGAGCTTTGGTCGAGGTCTGCGGCCGACTCACTAGATGTCGGAAAGGTGTGCCCATTGGTAGAGGATAGACATAACAATGACAGTCCACCGTCTAAACCAGTAATTAGCAGTCCCTCATTATTGGTAGTCATGTCAGGTTCCCTTGGCCGGCGAGGAAAGCGCCGTCTGAGGTCGTTCCATTATGCGTCGTCGAGCCGTTGACTGTGCCTGCGACTTGCGCCTCGAAGCCCCAAGCATTGTCGATGGTAAGGTACGGAGCATGAGAGCCGGAGGGCAAGATGACGGCCAAGTGCGGGACAAGCTAATCGCAAAGGCGAGGAAGAGTTTGCAGACCGGCGTCTGCCCGTGCATCATCACCGCTGACGAGTGCCTAATGCTTCGTCAGCAAACAGGTTGGGTCCCGCTTGGTCAGGCCAACAGGCGGGCGGTCTCTCACAAGAGCGGCGCTAGGCCCGATATGCACAGGATGCCACCATGCCAGCCTGGTGGATTCGTGGAGATTGGATGCAGAACGGTACTCCCAGAGTACCTGTAAACTACTCTAGCCGTCTGGCAGAAAGGTGGGAAAGCTGTTCTCGATCGAGTGCTTCTCGGGTCCCTTCCTTTACCACCAGCCTCCTCATGACGAAGTACCTGAAGACGTCAACAGCACAATGCTTTAGGTAATCACAAGCCTCCCCCATCCGCCCTTGCCCTGCCAAGTCTACCAGCCAACCTCCTCCATCGAGAAGCCTTCCCATTTGTGAGACCGACGCCGACGGCACACCGCCGCCGTACCGACATCTGTCCATTCGCAGCCCGAGCCCGACTCTGCACGAACCCAAACTCATCGCGACTCTGCCGCACGTTTCGGACCTGATGGCGCCGCTCGCTGTCGTCGCGCAGGAGCAACAAGTCTCGCATTAATGATCAGAAAAGCTGCTTCCGCCGCCCGCCGCTCTGTGCCTCGTCAGCATTCACGAAGCGCTTCTCGTTTTCCCGCCAGCTGAGCCCACGGCGTGAGGCAAAGCCGCCGCCATCGTCTGTTGGCACGACCCCTCCGCCGACCGCTCTTCCCATTCCGCGACACACCGAACGGCCCGATGGCTTCAAGAAGTCCCACCGAGAGTCAGGCAAGGCCCGAGATTGGGGACGCCTTGATCGTGATACGTGAGTCTTGACTGTTCCTTCGCTCTCGTCGGCACTACACTCCTGCCTTGTTCCGCTTCCGCCGAATGCACCCTTTAGCATGCGCGCGGCCAGGAGAGTCGCCACTTGCTGACCTGCCTACGCCTGCAGATGACTTCCAGGCCCGCAGCTCCGATGAGCTGAGCCTAGCCAAGGGAGACCGAGTCGAGTTGATCGAGCGGGATGACGAATTTGGCGATGGATGGTTTCTCGGCCGCCATCTCGTCAACAACAACACTGGACTCTTCCCCGAAGGTCGGCCTTTCCACATCCTTGGATGCGCCCTGCTACATCTGCTAACCCTCCCCAGTGTACACGCGGCCGGCTCCAAACTCCGCAACCACGTTTACGCCCTCAAAGCCGCTCCCTCCCGTTGCGGAGGTAAACCACGATACTGATCCCGCCTCGGTCGCCAGTGCCTCCCCGAATCTAACAAGCGATCCTTCCGCGTCTCCATCGGCAAGCAAGGCTGGGGAGATGCCAGTCTCATTGCCCCTCAACTCGTCAAAGCTCGACCCATCGATGGGTTCCAGTGTCACCAGCCCCATCACCCCGTCATCCGACCTAGGGCGGCTCAACAATCCGAGCCAGGATAGCCAAGTGCTCAACGAGACTCTCAACGTCATCAATGAGCACATCACCGACTTGAGATCTCCCTCGAGCAACGGAGCGCTTCGGGCACCAACCGATTCAGGCAGCGAGTATAGCGCCCCGCTCGACCAGAGGATGTCCTACATTCAAGGTGAGGAGACGGACGAAGAGGAAGACCAAGTTCACACTCGCGCCGAGGTGGAAGCTTGGAATCCCGAAGACGTTGCCGAGTTCCTGTTCACGGCCGGCGTCGAGAAACATCATTGTGAGGTGTTCAGGGATCAGGAGATCTCTGGAGAAGTACTTTTGGGCATGGACCAGAGCTCCTTGTTCATCAAAGCCTTTGATCTGGGGTCCGTCGGCAGGCGCCTGAAGACGTGGCACAAAATCAAGGCACTACAGGACGAGGTCAACAGCCAAGGGATCTCGACGCGGAAGACATCCCAAACATACGACGGCGAAGTGGCTTCTGATGATGCCAAGCGGACCAGGAGTCGCAACAACACGCTTACGAGCCCCATACTGAATCGGCCAATGTCGGTGCACACGCGCCGCCTCTCCACGACACAGACGCCAAGACCATCGCCGGCCGCGCTCCACAGCCCGGTTTCCTCTCAGGCGGCTCGCGACAGCCCGACCCTCGCCGTTCATACGCGGCGGCCTTCGGCTGCATCCATTAGGGAACTGAACCACTCGCGCCGCCATTCGTCAACCGACTTCCGACTTTCCGGCACCAACCTGGGCACTTTCGTGCCTGCCCTTAACACCAACAGAAGCAGCGCTGACGCCGACGGTACACACAAGAAGCAGCCATCCTTCGACCGGAACTGGACTCTCGGCAGCGCCTTCTCGCAATCGTCGCCGCGTCCCCTCTCGTCGGCGGGCCTCAATGACATGGTGGGAGGCTCAGATCCAGACATGTTGCAGGACTCGGCCGTGGACTTGGACCGCGGATACTTCTCTGGCACCGAGGTGGATGGACGGAAACGCAACGTCTTGAGGAAGCGGGACGGAGCGAGCCACTCGAAAAAGTCGAGCTACACGGAGGAACAGAGGGTGCGAAGTGCAACGGCGCTCTCCAAGCATTCCAGGTTCGGCAGCGTCGACTCGTTCCGAGACGGACCCCCGTCTTCGGCCATTCAGAAATACTACGGGGTTCAGGCGACGAGCCATAGGAGAACCGCGTCGACCAATACTGCCGAGTCTGGGCGTCCCCTTCCCCCGGCCAAGGACGGGCCGTCGCCGACCGTCACTCATCTTGAACCTGGGTCAGGCTCGGGCCGATCGCTCCCATCTCCGACAGCAGCGAGACATCCAGGGTTCCATTCTGACTGGTTCTCGAGTGTCGTCAACAAGCCGCTCGGCAAGGCGCGCCCGGGAAAACGCGCCATCTCGGATAGGCTGGTCGGCAACCGCCAAAAAGAATCTGAATTGGCCGACCCGGCGCTGAAAGAGCCGTCTCTGGACTCGCCTGCTCGGACAGGTTCCAGCACTCCATCCGTCGGTCCGAGTCTCGACTTGGAATCTCCGAACACAGGCAAGAGCTCGAGCACAGCGGCTACGTCTGCAAGCAAAGCGAACAAGAAGAAGGGCAAGAAGGAAACAAGCGCCTACACTCGCGGACTTCTGAACATCCCCCCACTGGAAGCCAAAAAAAGCGCCGACTACTACGGTTGGATGAGCAAGAAGAGCTCGAATCTGATGACGACATGGAAACCACGGCTGTTCGTTCTCAAGGGCCGACGACTAGCGTACTACTACTCAGAGGATGATGACCAGGAAAAGGGCCTCATCGACATTTCGTTTCATCGCGTGCTTCCGGCCAGCAACGAGAAGCTGACTGGCCTTCACGCAACGATAACGGGTGCTGTGGGCGGGCCGAGCATCCCTATAGCCAACATTTCGCAGAGCAGCGGCAATTCCCCCGGCTTGGACAAGGGCGACGACTCGCCATTCATCTTCAAGTTGATACCCCCGCGCGCCGGGCTTTCGAGAGCCGTCAACTTCACCAAGCCGACGGTGCACTACTTTGCCGTACCGAATCTGAACCAAGGGCGCTTATGGATGGGTGCGCTGATGAAGGCGACCATCGACCGGGACGACACGCAGCCTATCACAAGCACCTACCAACAAAAGACGATTTCCCTCGCCAAAGCAAAGCAGATGCGTCATCGGCCCCCGGCGCTGATGAACCTCGAGGAGGCCAACGAGGAGGAACACAAAGCCCGGAGTGTCAAGAAGACCAACGGCCTGGGGATATTCGGCGAGTCAGACAGCGGCGTCTCGGGCATGGACAAGCTGGCGGGCGCCAAGCCTGACTCGGCGGCCGACGCTGGGGACAAGGGCAGTGCGCTCCCGCCGCCGAGTGCTTAGGCGGCGCTCTGCCGGAGGGTGACTGGACAGACGGGAAAGGCTTACGACCCATGAATGTGATGCATGTAGTTTGGGATGCGCGTCGACCTTTATATTTTTTTTTTCGATTTCTTCGAGACTTGCCCTGTATGTATTAACGTCTTTGCTCTGTTTCCTATTCTCTTCTCTTGCAAGAGGTTTGTCTCGGCCTCTTTGGGCGGAGGCTTCGCGAGCCCTCGGATCGCACGGGATACCCAACGCCCAGGTCATGGAACGACGATTGGGTGGGATGGGAAAGACGGAAGAGGGGGGGGGGGGGGGGGGGGGTTATATACAATGGGGGGTGCCTGAGTGAAGGGTGGGGGTTTGACGAAACAAATAAGAAGAAACAGGCGTTTCGCAGCGAAAAAAGAGAGGCGTCTTTTGTTGTGCTTGCGTGTTGGGTTGGGAAAAATCGCGCCACTTGCCTGCTCGCCTGGCACGGCGGGATGATGGGTGGTCGGCGGGTTGGAGACGGCTTGCTTGCGGGGCTTGGGCGATGCTGGGAGTCGGAGAGAGAACTTGGCGCATTGAGCTCGACGTGCTACGCATGCATGGAAGTGAGTGGGATGGGAGCATGGTCGTCAGTCCGTCAAACATGTACGATAGTGAACGCAGACGAGACGCGCAGAAAAGGCGGTCATTTCGAACATCCCATGCTGCGTGCGTCTTGCTCCCCGACTGCTTGCTACTCTTCGCCCGTTACTCACTCCGGCCGGTAAAACAGAGAAACTCTGATGACGCCGCCTCAAAAATGGGCGGCTCTCTCGTCCCGCTCGGCGGCCTAGACGCATACATGTCAAGCCGACCCTTTCGTCTGCAGTGATCAATGATAAAAGGTGGTAAAAAACCATGTCAAGGACCAAACCAAAATATCGCTCCCCGTGCCCAACCCGTCATCACCCATCCTCCAACTCTTTGCTTTGCCTGGCCCTTATCAAATCCCTGCGCCAGTGCAGGCAATCGGCAGCGGGGGCCCCAATACCAACGACGAGCCAACTCCCTAAACCTGGCAGTGGGAGACATGCCCGCCCCGTCCACTTCGCCGAGCGTCTCGTATGGACCTAAATGCCTCACGGCTTGGGGTCTTGAAGCTTCTGGTTCATCCCCACCAGGAGTTGGCGAATCGACTTGATGAGGTGCTGCTCGACGCCCTCAAAGTTGCCGCCCTGCTCGCCCTCTCCGGGCGGGGGCACAATGCTCGCGTTCGCCAAGCCGAGGACGCGGTCCACGGCCGAGAGCGCCACCGCCTCGGCCTTGGCCTCGCCCAGCCGCGCCTTGAGGGCCCTGATGGACACGTCCTTGAAGCCGTTGAGCGAAACAAGCACCCTAGGCTCAAAGATGAGCGGCGCCGCGTCCGATGCCGTAAACCCTCCCGGCGTGGGGCTCTTGTTTTTGGTGAAGCCGTCGATGACCTGGCAGATCCCCTTGATGCAGATGGCCTCCATCTTGTCGTTTTCAGTCGCCTCCTTTTTGAGGCCGATGCAGCGATTCAGCGCTGACATGACAATGGCCTCGGCCTTTGGATTCCGCGCTTTCTTGAGATTTTCGACGAGGCCATTCTTGAGGCTCACCACGGCGGAGAGGAGGCGGGGATCAACTACCGGCTTGGGCGGCGCGCTCGCTGGCGGAGTCGCAGAAGGCCGCGCGGCCGGGGCAGCCGTCGGCGGAGACGCCTGTGCCGGTCCTGGCGTTGTCTTTGCCCCGGCAGGGGCCAGGGCTGTTGCCGGCGATGGTCGCGCAGGAGCGGCCACCGAGGGTGGGATCACCGGCGGTGGCACTGTGGGAGGCGGGGGAGGAAGAGCGGCCAGAGCACCGTCCTCCGTCTTGACGGGAGCCTTGACAACCGGAGGAGGCCGCGATGCGTAGGGAGAGCTATATGCGCCCGGCTGAGGGACTCCAAGCTGGGCCTGCGCAGGGGCAGGCGGTGGTCCATAACCAGGCACGTGTGGAAGAGCTGGCGGCCGGGGAGCTGCTGGCTGGCCAACCTGCCCAGTCGGGGAGGCCGAGCTTCCGTGAGGCTGCATTGGTCGGGGTATTTGTCCAGACTGTCCTGGCAGGCCGGGCACTTGATAGCCTGCCGGCGGCGAGTGACCGGGAAGATATCCGGGGGTCCCGGGGAGGTGCATGTGCTGTGCGGCATTGTATGGGTAAGAGTACGGGCCGTAACCCTGCGCCGCCAGCACGCGGTCTGGGGACGGAGCCTTGCGTTTCTTGCCGGCATCGAGCTCGACGCCGGGAACGCGAGACCATAGGTTTGTTGTCTCGTCCTTTTTGAAGGCCTCGTTGCCGATGAGGTTGTGCCGAACGCTGCTCTCCCATCCCTTTGTCTCGGTGTGGAAATAGAACCAGGGATAACGTTGGCATATCCTCTTGTAAATCTGCTTGAGCGTCAAGCCGTCCGGCCCCGCAGCCGTCAGGGTCTCGTCGATGAGCACGCCGTAATTCTTGTTGGGCTTCTGTAGCTGCTCCTCGGAATAGTCGTCGATCTTGAGCTCCAGGGGAGGCGACTTGGGGCGAGTCTTCTTCTCCTTCTTCTCCCGAGCTCGCCGTTCAGCGTCTGAGCCCTCTGCCCCGTCCTCGTTCTTGGGTTTCCGCGGCTTGTACTTGCGCTTCTCCGGCCGATCTTCCGCGTTCTCGGGCAGCGGATGCTTCCTGGGGCGGCCCACCTTTCGCTTGACCGGAGGTTCCACGGGGGGCGCCTGCGGAACTGTCTTCTTGGCCATCTCTTGCTGCTGCTTCTTGAGCAAGCGCTGTTCTCGCTTCGACATGATACCGTTCTTTGGTGGTCGGCCTGGGCCCCTCTTTTTGGGTATCTGCGGTAGTGCAGGCCCGGGCTCCGGGACTGGCCCGTCTTTGGCTTCTTCCATTTGCACGTCTCCTTCCGCTTCCTCCTCGGCGTCCGGCTCGGCTTCCTCGGCGTCGCCGCCATCGACGTCGTCTCCAAAGTCAGAAAGCTCTGGTGGACTGACCTCGAGATCTGACAGCTCGTCGCTGGTATCTTGAATTTCGCCAGCGCCATGCGACTGCTCGAAGTCGAAGCTCATTTCTTTGCCGCCGTGAGATTGCCGCTTCTTGGTAGCCTCCTCCTCGAGGAATTCCTCGGCGCCGGTGCGCCCTCTCTCCACGCCGTTGATGATGAAACGGAAATCAATGTCCTTGATTTGCAGACGATCGCCGCATTTCAAGACAACCTTGTCGCTCTTGTAGTGAACATCTTCACAGAAGAAGCCGTTCTTGTGCAAGGGGATGGCCTCAAAAACGCCATCCTGCTGGTTGTATGTGATTCGGAGGTGTTCTCGGGAGATGGCCTTGGTTTTGCTTGCCATCCTTGGGCCCGGAGAATGTATACCAATGAAGGGAATGTGATATGGCGATGGGCGCAGAGAGGTGAGGTCAACGGCGGCAGCGCCCGGGGTATGCGAGACGTACTGGCGGTTGGAAATCATGTTCTCCTGCGACTCGTCGTTGTCTTTTTGCGAGGACCCTGTCGTGCTCGTCTTGCGCCGCTTTGCCGGACGCCCGTTTTCTTCACCATCGGACTCGGGGCCCAGCATGCCGCCCTCCTCGCTGACGTAGGATTTGCTAAATTTGCTGCGGTCGTTTTGTATTGGGGAGGGAGGCGGCAGGCCCTTGCTCGCATTCTCTTCGACGCGGCGCTGGTGTTCGTCGGCACGTTTCTCGTCGCGGCGTGCCTGCTGGAGGGCGCGCTGATCGCGGCCAATGATGACGGCGTAGGTGGTCATCTGGAAGACACTATCGGCGAACTCTATGCGCGCAAAGGACTCCAGGCCCTTGCCGGCGGCGGCCTGGCGGAGGGAGGTTGCCACGCCGAGGCCGTTGAGGCTGCCATCTGCCAGGTTAGGCAGGGTGACCTGAGAGGGGGTGACGGTCGGCGGCGGAGACATGGCGGAGGGAGCAGCCGACATAGAGGCGAGGGCCATCATCATGTAGGCATGCTGGTCGAGGTTTGTCATGGGGTTGGTGGCAAAGGGCGTCGAGGGGGTAAGCTGATCTGTAGCGGCGGTCTGCGTCTGTTGCTGATCGTGTCGCGAAGTTTGCTCGTCGTGCGAGTGTGCCTGGGTGCGACCAGGCTCGGGGGCGGTCGAATAAGCGGGCAGCATAGCGGGAGCGTCAGTCATAGGCACGTCGGCCGCGGCGTTGTTAGTGCTGAGAGAGAGATGGGTCGACTGATGGGCAGCAGCGGGGTCGACGCCTTCGACGCGCTTCACCGGCGGCGGCGTCGATGGCTGGGCAGGCGGCGCGGCATTGGGAGCAGGCTCTTGCGGTGCAGAAGCGGCGGCGGCTGTGGAGGCGGCAGGGGCAGACGAGTTGGTCGCGATGGCGGGTTCGAGCGCGGAGCCTGAGGCAGAGGTTTCGGCAGGGACAGTAGCAGAGGCAGAGGCAGAGGCTGGGGCCGCGGCAGGGGAAGCCTGTTTGGCGGCGGCGCCGGCGGCATCGTCATGGTCGTCGAGGTGCGCCTGCTGGCGGTGTTGTTGCTGTTGTTGCCGCTGCTGCTGCTGTGCTTGTTCGGGGCCATTGCGGCCGTCGCTCGACGAAGTCATCGCTTGCGCCTCTCTGCGACGGCAGCACCTTCGCCTCGGCAACTGCGGCAGGATTGGCGAGGAGAAGGAGGGGGAGGAGGAGGAGGAGGAGGAGGAGGAGGAGGAGGAGGAGGCAGCGACAAGGGCCGCCGTGGACGACGCTGGCCTCCAGCCACACAGGAGAGGGGTGGATTGGGGTTGGAAGCTTTTACCTCAGTGCCGATTAGGCTTTGTCTGCCCGCACTCACTCACTCCTGCCAGCAGACGCTAACAACTCTTTCTCCGCGTCTCCCTCACTTCCTGCCGCCGCGAGCCTTCAAAGTACCCAGTACGGATGACACACCGTGATTGGCTGCAGCGCCCGCCTTCCTCCCTCACCGCGCTCCGCTCGCCTCTAATCTCCAGGGTACTTTGACCTTCACTCACCAGCCTGCAAATCACGGCTTGCTTTGTGTACCTACTGCCCACCAAAGTAGCGCAGGCCAGGGTGTCTTGTATCTCTGCGCCAGGGCAGCACGCTAATGAGACGGGTCCCAGTACCTTGCGCTAGTAAACAAGAGACTGTTGCGCTCGTCGAGGCATCGTGCAGGTTGCAAATGAATCATCCGTCTCTTCATGCCCTGATCAAAGGAGGTATTCGTGGAGGAGGAGACCTGAACAACTCAACTCACACACACATCCATCTCCCTACAACAGCCCTTTCCCCCGGCATCAATAGCCTCTACCACCCTACACAAAGGTGGGGGAAGCATACAGTAGCCGCCGTCTCCGCGTCACGGCCCTGAACTCCAGTCTGCCGCGCTCAAAGCAACCAAAGCGAAGCAACCGGCGACATCGTTATTCCGTTATGCGCTCTTCGCTGCCCGAGAATTGAATAATATCCGCCCCGTTCTCGCTCCAAGTTGAAGTATTTCGTCAGCATAATATCTCTCACGACCCCTTCCGGACTCTCATTCGCCCATGACTTCTTTGCCGCCCAGAACAGACGCTGGCCTCTGGAGCAGTCCGCTGTCGGCTTCGGCGGCTGCTGCGACGACGACGCGCCGCTCCGGGTGCTGCCATGGCTGCACCGCAGGCCTATCACTACGCGCCGCCGTCCTATCCTCCCTGTAAATCCGATTCTAAATTTGTTTCCTTCCAGGCAAACACTTGTTTGGGGCCAACGCGGCGTCTGCGTGCCTCCGTGCGATGCCGCCAGAGTCCGTGGCATATATAAATGCAACATGGACCTTTTGGCGTATGCCCACGTTCATCACCTTCGTTGATGTGATCCTCGGCCTAATTACTGTTGGCCTTCTTCATGACTTTATTCTCTACTTTGTCGCTCCCGTCCCAGCACGCTCTACCCGCAATGGTCCGTCAGTGGAATCGCCATCCCGACCACCACAGCTGCGACCCCAGAATCCCGCCGCGGCCCCTTCCAAGGTCCGACACCGCCCACTCCCGCTACGTGCAGATGCTCCTGGAGCAGGACGATATCCCCGCGGCGCACAACATCCTCGCCGCCTTCTTCGTTTGGCTGCTTCTCGCCGGCTTTCTCGTCTTCCCGGGAACTTTCACGAGCCTCCGACACTCCATCGAGGACAAGGGCGACGTCCAGTGGGGCGACAAGACGACAACCAACATCATGAAGAGCGTCAAGAACATGCCGTTGCTCGTCCTCGCGGCCATCGCCTGCGGCACCGCCGTCCTGGGCATCGCCAGCTTGGCGCTCCGGCACGTCACCAACTATGTCTGGCTGTCAAACAAATTGTTCGTTCCCGGTATGGCCAATTGCCTGGCGGGGCTGATATCCACCTTGGTCGGCGTCTATACGCAGCAGCACGGAACCTGGAGCATCACCGCCAAGGTGACGGCCATAGTCGAAGGCTCAGGCTTGGGCGTAAGTGGAGTCCTGTTCCTCATCTTTGACAGGTTCCTGCTTCAAAAAGTCAAAAAGAGCCATGGGGCACACTACGACGGCTGGCCGACCGAGAGAACTTCCAAGGAGGCTTGTGATGAGAAACGGTAGCTGGCCAGCGAGGAAAGAAATATGGAATCGTCAAGGAAGGCGTGTAATGACATGAAGAGCGGAGGAAAAAAGATCATGCATGCGCCCAACAGCGACTCCAACTAGTCGTAGGTTAATGGTGTAATGGCAGGGAGCGAAAGACTCGCTTCACTGGAGCAACGGGTTTCGCTCAGTCAGGCCTCCTAAACGACCACTTTTCCGCCTGGATAGCCACGCAGCTAACCTGTAAGCCCCGTGGCACAGCATCCCGGCCAGAAAACCAATGGCATCGTTGTGGAAGGCCAGGATGCCGGCAGTGGTCATGAGCATCACCGTCCATCTTTCTAGACGTTCCTCGTCAGTCAAGCTACGATGACTTCTCGCGATCGAGGGGCTGTCCTGGCTCGCAGACTGCTGCCACAGATCGGGAGCTCCCTGGTTGAGGGAGTGGCCGACCTTGGCCAGCTCGAGGCCGGCGGCGAGGACCATGATGCCCAGCAAGCTCTTGGGGTACTGCTTTAGCAGGTCAACGAGCGTCTCTCCGAACGCGAGGCCCAGGACGAGCTTGATGACGCCAAGAAAGATGACGCTCGCACCGCTGCGGGCGCCAAAGCGGTATTGCGCCGCGAGTCCCCCTGCACCATGGCACACGGGCATGGCTCCGAACCAGGTGCCGCTAAGATTCATCAAGGCGACGCTAATGCCAATCGAAGTGACGGAAGGGCAAGGCAGCTCGGGGAGAAGATCGCTGGCCAGGGCGCTGACGGCAATGATGGAGTTGAGTGTGGTCAAGGGCAGCTGCCCGATGGCCATCCACAGGGCCGGGGCGTCACGAACGCCAAGCCAAGTGGGCAACATAAAGCGAGGGTGCCAGACATGAAAGCCAGGCAGACTATGGTGAGACACGAGCACCTGGACTAGGGAGAATACCAAGGCCAAGGCGAAGAAGAACAAGGCATATGGGAAACGGGGCAGACGCTGCGTGGCGATGAGCGCAAGGAAGGCGAAGAGAGCCCAGAGCCGATTGTCCAGGGCCGGGTGGAGCCAGTGCAGGGGCCGCACAAGGGACGAGCCGGCTCCGATGATCAGGGACAGGCCGGCGCCGAGCTGGATGCCTTTGACGACGGGGACGGGCACAGCGGTGACGGCCCGGCGCAAAAGGCCGGTGACGCTCATGACGAGCACAGCGGCGCCAACCCACTGGCCGGCGGCGACAACGACGCCCATGGCAGGGTCCTGGCGGCCTGAAATGGCTGCCGATGCTATGGCCTGGAAGATTTGAAGCAGAAATTAGGCCTCTGCTAGAAATAGAGTCGACGAGCTACGTCTAGAGGCGCACCTTCATGGGCTGCACCGGCAACGGGATGCCAAACGCCAAGCCGGTGAGGATGTTGAAGATGCCCGAGAAGACGAGCGTCGAGCCCAGGTCAATCGAGTTCTGGACGGCAAGGGCAATCATGAGAGGCAGAAGCGTCCCGAGGTCGCCCAGAGACCCTGATATCTCGGCGAGAGGCGCGCGACGGAAGGTTGCGAGGTTGTGCCGGTTGATGCGGCGGGCGTGCGCGAGCCATGATGCCATTTTGGTTGCGCTTGTTCCGCCGAAATGAAGCGTCTAGTCTGCTGTGCGCTCGAGGGTGAATGGAAGGGGTGCAGCTGGTGATGAGGGTTGGAGATTCCCAGTTGTCGTCGGGCAAGACGTTAGCCCAGTGGTCAGATGGCTGCGCCTGTCTGTGTCACGGCACTTAGCGCCCGCACTGTACAGTACGAGTAAGGTCCCATCCACTCCTGCATGTCGAAGAATGGTCGTATTCGCAGAAGATTCAGCAAGAGGATACGATGCACTGAGCAGTAGCACAGCACAATCTAGCATGCGCAGAGAAGCGCCATTGTGCACTAGGGGAGTAGTTCAACTGCGACTGAGGCGTGGTTTGCTTCTCCGGCCGCCATGAATGTTGGCATTTCCTACCGAAGACAGATACAGAATTGCGCGCCGGGCCCTGCATCCATCGAGGAAAGGAGAGAACTCGAGAAGGAGACAACCACGTAACATGTTTCACTGTCACCAACGGCCATACTGTACCGATGTCATGGCATTTCCTCCAAAGATCACAACGCTGGGGACCATGATGCCGACGTTTGCGGGGGCTAGGCAGATTTTGACTTGTGCCTCGGCTCAGCCGTAGCACTGAGATGTCTGTCCTGCAGCATCCGAGACATGGCCGCCGGAAGCGGATGACTCGGCTTGACAACAATAAACAGAACCGTCGGGCACGTGCCTCGCGAGACACGGCGGGAATATTTTCCGAGTTGTGTAAGGAAAACGGGGCCGCCTATCTTCTGCCTCAATCCGTTCTCCGTATCCGTCTGTCTGCAGTATGGAATGCAGAGGGTCTCCGAAGCCTTACGGCTTTGTGTTCCGATGCCAGGCCAGACGTTGCTTCCAAGATAAAGAGAAACACGGCATCTTGTCCCACGTCTTGGGCTGGCTGAAGCGTGCATTCGGCCATCTCCTTTCTCTTAGCCAAGCAAAAACACGCTCATCCTTGTGCTACGTCTCGGAGTGCCCGAGCGTGGAACCAGCTTAATAAGTCAATAGGTATGATGGGAACAACAGACAATTTGTATCGGCAGCCTCCGTCAATAGTGAACACTCGAGGTTGTGAGCTCGCAGATTGGGATGGTGTGTAATTACTCCGTGGCAGTGTCGACATCCGCAGCTGAAAACCATGTGCACTGTGCACTGGCTGGTTCCATGTACATTCAGTGCCCAGCATCACCAATCGACACTGAGAGCAGCCTGAGCGGTTAAATTCATGGCAACGGCAACTATTGCGACACCAGGTGCGTCGGGGTGCACGAAATTCGCGCATCACTTGCTGCTCTCGAGCTGTCTAGTCCACACTCGGCCGAGGTAGCTCTACCGGGCGACTTGTGAGCAGAGGAGCGGCACCGCTTTGCCGGAGCAGTAAGCCAGGAGGACTCATGGTATCCATCGGTCGTTTGCCGCCGCGTGTCCGAGCTATCCCCGCGAAGCGCCAAAACAAACACACGCACAGTCCCAGCGGCAGGTAGCTGTACTTGCGGCCGCAGTTGCTTTTCTTTCCTTGGCTTGGCTGTCGTGCGTTCCCAGACGACGGCTTGGCCGCTTTCTGCTCATGGGGTGTCTCACCCTTCCTTCCCTCTTGCCAGGTCCCCGGAGCCTCTGAAGCAACCTCTTCCCAGTTCTTTGTTGGCTTGGGCCCGCCGCAAACGGTTGAGTAGTGTGCGGCGGCGGTCAAAACGGACGCCTTCTCGGTCCTTATGCCGCCGGTAGTCACCTGTAGTCACCTGCCTTATTATTGCCATGTCGTCGGGCGGTCAGTAAGTGACGTTAGCGACTCCACCTTTTCTCGGCCCCTCGCTCGACGCAGCTGCCCCACCGATTAAGTACCCGCGCAGGGTACCTCTTCACTCTTCTGGCTGCGGCGGCAACCTAGCAGTGTTTTAGTGGCCGAGTACTGTGACTTCCGGTCTTGCCTTGTGTTATGGTGAGCTTCGGCACTCACTCCCAAAGCTGCCTAGAAGCTGGAAGCCAAAGGCAGGAAGAGCTTAGCAGAGAGCAGGTAAGCAACAAAATCGGCCCCCAGCCCGCCTTCCCGTCCGTCCGTCGAGCGAATTCTTGCTCCTCCTCCATCTTGATCCCTCATCGCGCCTCTTTTCTGCTTCGCTTTACTCGCAGGCCATTCGAAAGGTAGGTTGCTCCTTCATCTCTCGCCCCCTTCGCCTGAGCTCCGGCGACTGTTTTCAACTGCCGCTGCTTCTGAGGCCGCCTTCGGCATGTTCGGGGTCCCTCGCCCAGTCCGCCAGCGCCGAATCGGGACCCAGCATTCCTCTGGAACTTTGCGCAGTGCCATTCATTGCCCATTGTCCCCCCTCGCGATGCAGTCACGCCCGTCTACTTTACTCATCCTTTGCTCTCCAGCTGCCGAGTGAAAAGCCTCGCCGTGTGCTAACTGGAGCCTTTCAAGCGAACCCGTCCTCCTCCCGCCTCTCCGCTTCGCCACAAACCACCGCAATGCCTGCCATCCACACTTCTCTGCTCGCTCGCGCAGAGCGGAAGAACTGGGCCTATCGCAATCCCGGTGTCACACTTGTCTTTGCCATCGTCGGCGTTGGTACGACTCCCTTTCACTTCTCAATAACACGGACCCCGCCCATGGAGTAAAGGCAGGGGAAAATGGCGACTGACTGTTTGGCAATAGTTGGCATTGGCCTGATTTCTCTGTGGGTTTACAAGATCATGCAGAAGCGCAAGTCCAAGAAGTCCGGGTACTAGATGGTACCCGCGAGTGAACCTGGATCATCGAGGGGCAAGGGACAGACTCGGCCAAGGCGAAAGGAACTGGAATGAGAGCGAAATCGGCAGTCTGGAGCTCGAGGCCAGACCAAAGGTGTTATCTCACCACTGTCATTTACCCTCAGCGACTGCGCGAAGTCTTCCGACCCTCCCGACAACCAGACATTTACCGTCCACGCAGGGCGGAGCAGCAACACCAAGCAGCATCTCATCAGCGGCAACAAGCTTCATCGTGGAACGTTGTGTATTGGGGAATTCGGACGTGGATTCGTGTGTACATATTGCATCTGGCGGCCATCATGGGCTTAGTCGACTGGAGTAGTTGGGGACGGCGCGCCTGTACTCGCGCTCGAGTATATATGCTCGGGCCCGTTGCCGGGCTCTTGTATTTTCTATCGCCTCATCTAATAACCATACTGATACCTCTATTTGCAGCCGGTCCCGGCTCCGAGACCTCCTCTTCCCACCGCCGGCTTTTGAACATGTCCTCGTTATACATTCGTGTCATGGTTACTGGCCTTACAGGCCTTCTCTTGCCAGCATGTCGGTGATTGCGAGGTAAAAGGCAATGGCGTTGAAAGTTTTCTTGTAGCCCATCCACTCACGCACCGTCCAGCGCACCTTGTTTGTCCAATTGATGAGGTCGAGGTGGCTGACGCCCACCAAGGTGCCCTCGTATATGCCCCAGCGGCTGCTGTCGACACTGACCAGCCCATCGTTGGGACCCTCGGCCTCATCAATCACCTTGTAGGACAGCCTGAAGGGACTCAGAAGTGGCGGCTTGTCGATGACGGCGCCGTACGAATAGTATCGGACCAAAGGGTCGTCTGGCGTTTGTGGGTTGAACTCTTGAGCCATGTACCGCGTCGTGAGCTGCGCAAAAGCCTTTGTTCCAAGCCCGGCCTTCTCCAGCAGCCGGTAGAGCTTGGGCAGGTAGATGGGCCCGGCGCCCTTGTCGAACAGGTAATCCGCAAACATGCTTCCCCGGTGCGGCGTCGCGATGGTGGTCAGCGACGCCACCGTGACCTGGCGGCCCTGCGGCTGCAAATGCGAAATCAGGTACCGCGCGTCCAGGCCGCCCATGCTGTGGGCGATGATGTTGACGGGGACTGTGCCCTCTCCCGTGCGAGGCGCGGGCGACGAGGGGGGGAAGGCGGCGGCGATGTCGGCGGCGAGCTTGGCGGCGCGCTCCTCGATGGAGCCCGAGGGCGGGACGGAGGCGGTGGTGACGTTGGAACAGCCTTGGGCAGCGAGGGCTTGCTTTATGCCGTGCCAGTACTGGAGGGGAGGGAAAGCGGAGGAGATGGAGAGCTCGGAGAAGCCGAGGAGGCCGTGGGCGAGGACGATGGGGTGCTTTGGGGTGGCTGCAAGGAGACGGTTAGAGTAGACAACGGCCATGCATATTTGGACGGACGCACCGTAGCTCTCACGGATTGTGGCATAGTCGTGGGCGATTTCGCGGCCGAGTTCTCGAATGCGGGCATCGCTGTCGTCGCGGCGCAGGGCTCTGCCGGCCGTCAAGGCCCTCGTCGTCATGGGCTGTCGACATGGCGATGAGGAGATGCCATAACGACGGGGTGTCGTGGTCCATTTACGCATTTCGCGCGACGCGCATGTTCAAGGCTGTGCGGTCAATGTGGTGTCGGCGGCGTTGGGCATGGTTGATTGGGTGGCTGGCGCCTCTTGCGCCGAAGAGAGTGCCGAGGAGAGAGCGATGAAGTAAGTGGTGAGGGTGGGGGAGCGATTGACGTCATGCGTGCTGCAGCGCGGTGGGAAAAGCTCCGGTTGGCAGGCAAGGGGCAGACAAAAGTTCCGGGGCACCGGGTGGGAACTGATTGATGGTATGTACTGTAATACTTTGACGTTTACTCGGTGGGATGCTGATGTCCATGTACGAAATATGCTTTCAAATCTCGGACGAGCCGTGCATAATAAGGCTTGATGCCGCACATCATGTCGCAAGGATGGGCGGATGCGTGAAACAAAACATGGGCTCTGAGTCAGCGAAAATGGCGATCAAGAGTTGAGATTGAGAAAAAGAGAGACAGTAGGAGGGCATCAAAGCTGCAGAGAGGATAGTGTAGCTCTTTGACAGCCTCATTGGACGTTTATACGGATAGTGACATGACTAACTTCTTTGAGTCGGGGTATAATTAACTTATCCCGTCACAAAAGTGACGCCACCCCGGGGAGCTTGAAGTTGTATATATGTTGATAAGCTGGCGCAAACCCGCAGCGCGAGCTTGCCCGTTACAGACGACCTGTCCCGTTCGCCTGTCAGTACAACCCCTTTCTCGTGCGCTGGTAAGCGTTCCAATGATGAGTTGCCCCAAACCGTCTGATATCATGATTTCTTTATGAAGACAAGGCAAACTGGCATCTTAACGGCCCGGGCGGGTCCAGCCATCTCGTCTCAGCGTTCTCCCGTTCAGAGCACATTCAGAGCACACTGATACGTGAAGACGACTCCGAGGATACCGAGTTGGACTGCACGCCTCCCACCACATCGCAAGCCAAGCAGGGCCGTGTGCCAAAGTCCCAATATTGTCCCAAACGGGAGCCCCTCGATATTAATATTGCCCCCCGTTGGTTGCCCTCGACCTGCATGACGGGCGGGCGGTGTGCTGCAGAACAGTCAGGATATGCACCAAAGTCTCAGCACTCTGTGCCGCGGCTGCATCTCTTTGCCCGCACCCATTCAACGCAGACCCGTGCCGCCCCGGCTTGCGGCATTGTGACGGTGGAGAAGGTGGTGGGAGGCGTGTCTCCCGGCATGCTGCGACTGTGTGGATTGACCATCAACCGAGGGAATGACGTGACTCTACACGTGCAACAATGCGACGCAGCCTTTGCAAAGGACGACGATCCAGTGCAAAGGAACGAGCTCCTCGCTGCGGGCACAGACGGGGTGAAGGTGGTTGAGAGTGGGGGAGCTGCAAAGATATGTTACATCTCGTATATGCCATCACGGCGAAGGGGGTTGTTCGTGCTCGAGCAAGAGCATTAGTGCCAGCATGGAAGCGTGGTCTAGAACATGGCTTTGAGGGGATAAAGATGGTCTCCCTCACCCTCTGGCAAGGGGAGGCAAGGTCCTTGCTCGATTCTTCAACGGCCGAGCTTGCTTGCGATTCGGACTGGGGGTCTGACACATAGACTGAGAATCGCCTCTGCGGTCAAGACTCACTCCCAGGATACCACGTCTCGAGTACGCACGTCGTGATATTCAAACTTGGACTCCGTCAACAGTGTCATCGAGCCACGCACCATGCTGGCCAAGTTGTCGACTGCTGCGCTGGCGCTCGGCGCGTTACTGGGCCACGTCGGGGCCTCTCCGACCCCCCCTGAGAGCGAGGGGCGCTCGTTGCGTGCCACCAACGCAACCGCCTTTGCCCTAACGGTAAGCCTGCTAGACCCGTCGTTTCGCGAGTGCCGGCTAAAGCTCATCAACACTCCAGTACGGCTATCCGCTGATCCAGTACGCCTCGACCGTGAGCTCAGTCCTGGCCTTCACCGGCAGCAATGCGATCCAGCACAACAGGGACTTGGCTACTCCCGACGACGTGAGCCTCGTGCGGCCCAGCGTCGACACGCTGTATTCAAGGGTCGTGGTAGACTTGTCGCACAACGACGTTTCCATCACGATACCGAAAGTGGACGATGATCGCTACTACGTCGTTGCTTTCCACGACCTGTGAGTGCACGCCTTTTGTCCCCCGAGCTTGTACGCGGGTGCTGGAGCCTTCTAATTGCTGCGACAGCTGGTCAAACAACTTTGCCAACTTGGGCAGCCTCAACAAAGCCGCTCCCGGCAAGTACCTGCTGAGGATCGCGGACAAGCCGTGGGAGATTGGCTTCTGGCCCGTAGACGAGGAAGAGCCCTCGAATTATATCGGCTACATCGGCTTCCCCACCATCTACGGCCTGGTCGCGCCTCGCATCTTGGTCCGGGACGGCGCGGCGGACCTCGCGGCTGTGCGCAAGCTGCAAGATAAAATCAAAGTCGACGTCGTTCCCCGGCCCGGCCCGCGGCTGGGACCCAGGCTCACGTCGCAGCTGCTCGGAGACGGCGCCCTCGAGCCCCTGGCTCCGCAATCGCCTGCGTCGCTCGACAGAGATGCCGCCGAAACTCTTCTCGAGATTGTCGCCAAGGTCGACCCGTTCAACAGGCCGGCCAACCCAGCCGACGGGTCTGCCGTGACCAAGATCCTCGGAGAAGCCGGCCTGGCCAACGACGAATACGACCCGCCGCGCGGCGTCGACTTCGCGCTGGCAAACCGCCTCGTCGACGACGCCTTGTCGGAGACTGACAGGCTACTGCAGCCCTTCAACAACGGCTGGTTCGATTTCCCGCCCCAGTACAGCGGCGACTTTGGCAACAACTACGCCGTCAGGGCCAGAGTTGCCTTTCACGGGTACGGGCAGCTGGTCCAGTCCGAAGCCATCTACCCGGAGTGGAAGGACGGCACCCTCCGAGGCCTGTACCTGGAAGAGAACGAGGCGTATCTCGTCACCTTTGCTTCGGGGAAGCCCCCCGTCCGCGGATTCTGGAGCTTGACTGCCTACGACGACGCGAGCCGCCTCATCGCCAACCCGCAGAAGCGGTACGCGCTCGGAGACCGAAGTCCCCTGGCCTACAGCAACGGCGAGCTGGTCTACGGCAAGACGAACCGCACCGACGCCTTTTCCATCCTGGTTCAGCCGGGGGACGTGGCGCCGCCGTCCAACTGGACGAGCAACTGGCTCCCTGCGCCTGCCGGGGGCGGAGATTTCTCCCTTACCTGTAAGTTTGGCCGTGGCTTATGCTTTGGCTTTGAAGGGCAGTACTGATACATGCTTTCAACTCGGTAGTGCGTCTCTTTGGCCCGACCAGGGCAGCGACCCATGGCGGAGAGTATGTGTATCCGGTAGTTACCAAGCAAAGAGCTATTGTTGGATGATTGGCTTGCGAACCTGGCTGTATCTGGAGAGCCGCGTTCACGAGGAAAATACACCGAGATATAGTAGATACAGAGACGCCAAAACGTCTCCAATCATCGCCTGCCAGTCACGCCTTGTTCGTAGCGACCAAGAAGGGCCTTCAGTTACATATAGTAACTTTTCATGCCCAAGCACTTGGTTAGTCTGCCGCGAGCTCACGAAACACCGCCAGCACCGGATCTAGTCAGCCCCCCTGCGGCTTGAGCCCTACCTACAGTTAGGATGGCTGGCGTTGCCGACCATAGCTGCTCGAACATTATATTCCACACGTCCCATGAGCACAGCAAAATATTTATTATCTTCAAGTAAACACTGGTAGAGGGTATCAAGGGAGCCAACAGGTGCGGCTCGTTGCCGCTCCCCCGACAGGCAATGAATGCTGTTTCTATACAAGTCGCCCAGGCACGCACAGGGCCAACGCATCGCTCCCGGTCTCACCACTTCTTCGAGCCATCCATGGCATCTTCGGTCCCAATGAGTTCTGGAATCAACACATTGGCCTCCCCGGGTGGCCTCATCATCGTAGTCTCGTGCAGTCGTCAAGCCGCACCACTTTGCAGCACCGAATCTTCCCCCTATCCGCTCTTCTCGGGCATCTGACTCGGGCCATTCTCGTTTGTCACCCCGCTGTATGCCGGCCTGGCCTGGGCCCCATCGAATGGCCCAGACAGGTTTTCGGCCATGGCTTCGTCATAGCTCGGCGGTGCGTCGTCTTGAGGTGCCGCTGTTTGTCCAGGGGCCAGCTGAGGTGGATACAATGGGTCGGTCGGAGGGCGCGGGGGCTGTGGCGGGGCTTGGTGTTGGGACTGTGGCCGAGCGGCCGAGTTCAGGTCAGAGACCGAGGTCCGGGGAGGCAGACGTGGCGGGATGTTCAGGATGGTGCTTCCCGGCCGTCCATTTGCAGCGGCTTGAACCAGCTCCGGCGGCGGAGTGATGCCCGAGTAAACGTCTACGTGAGCGAACTGGAGGGGAAGAAATATGGTTTGGGCGTTGGTGAAGGGGTCCTTTCCCAGGAAGCCCGTCTTTGGCTTCCCACAAGACAAACCAAGCCTAATCTCAAGCTCGTATCGGCGCGACAGGTTACAGGCGACAAAAGACGGCGCAATGGTGTTGGGCAGAGGCCGATTCGTCCACAAGTCGTCGGGAATGACAAGCTCGTGGCCCACCTCGTCGTGCGGCGACGAGGTGAGGGGGATGGTGAGGTTTGAGCTTGAGGTCACGACCCAGCGGTTCGTTCTGTTGTGGTAGATGCTGTGTGATCGGACCTCGGTGATGCCGATGAGGTCCATCTGGAAGGAAGAGAGGTAGACCTGTTCGGGGCAGTCAACGAGTTTCTTGGCGATGAGCCGCAGAGGTATGGGCTGGTTGCAGGTGAAGACGGGAGGGTGTGGTAGCCGAGCCGACATTTCGATCGACGGCGTGGATGCATCGCCGCCTCCACCACCGGGCGACTCTTTCTCTGGCTTGGGCGCGAAGAAGGTGTGTTTCGTCTCAGCCAAGGCCGGGGACTTGGCGCGAAAGGTGAATGGGCGCCGGGCAAAGGTCTCCTGGCCGGTCCTCGCGGGCCTGGGTGGTTCGATGGGGAGGAACTTGAAGCCCGTCTGCAAGCGCCAGTTTTCCTTGAGGAGGCCCGGCCGCTGGACGGTGACCTTGATGTAGTAGCGGATCTCGGCCTCCATGGGAAAGCCGGTGAGGGAGGGCGGCAGGGTGCGGGTGACGTGCTTGAGGAAGAGCTGCTTGCTGCCATCCATGACGCGGACGCCACCCATGCCGAAGAGGCCGCCGCCGGAGCCCAAGCCGCCGATGCGCGACATGGCCATGGGGTCGCTGCAAGCGTTGTTGATGGGCAGCTTGAAGTCGAAGGCGAACTCGTGCTCGCCGGGCAGGAGGGGAAAGGCGCCGTAGGGGCTGCTGGTGCTGGAGTGGTAGTCGTCGGGGAAGACCTGCTGGACGCGGTAGAGGATCTTGTGGTTCTCGGCGACGACGCTGCCGGGCGGGCCGGGCATCGGGGCGGGCGGGCGTCCGGCGGCGTCGGGGACGCTGGGGACCTGCAGAGCGGTGGTGGCCTCGCCCTCGAGCTTGACGACTATGCTGCCGACCTGCTCGGGGCGGTTGAGGCCGAGGACGACGCGGCCCGAGACATGGTCGAGGTTTGTGTAGAACTCGGGCTGGTTGTTGAGGGCGATGCGGATGGCCATGGTCGGCGAGTGGTTGCTCGTGGCATGCGGCAGGAGACGATGATGGGGAGACGATGGTGGCGAGCGAGTGCGGCTTTCGAGGCAGGCCCTTGTCGGTCGTCGCTTTAGGGGCTGCTCTGTTATAGCTCTGATGATGATGCTATTTCCCCCCTCTTTTGGTTATTGCCCCCCGGCTCCAGCTGCTCGTGGTTGGGGGGAGGCGGGTAGGCAGATTGGGTGGCAGGGCCAGCAACCGAATCGACGAGCGTTCTCGACGATGAAACGGCGAGGCAGGCGGACTCGATGATGCTGTTCTTTGTTTTGGCGGTGCTCAGCCTCAATCCAAGCCTCCCGAGCTTTGCAGCAAGCGGTATCGTTGGGGTGGGGAGTACATGAAGTGGACACGGTGAGTACTCGGAGGGCCGATTCGGAACCACCGACCACCAGGTCTCCTGGGAGTCCGACTCGGTACCGGGAAACGCAAGCATCCATGCAGCAAGGGGTACGTCATGGCGCCCGCAGCAGAATTTTCGTAAGCCGCTGGTGAAGATAACGGTGGGAGTCCTTGCTATTTACATAGAGTGCTATCAGGAGCTGTAACTGGCCTCTTCAATCGCTAAACAAGAAAGGTACTGAGCCGGCCTGTACTCCGTACGGATACTCCGTAATTAATTACCTTGATGTAAACTACCTGCAGCCGGGCACGGAGAGTCAGCTGCTGGGAGGCCTGGGCATCGATTGCTGACATAAGCTGATTCATGAACGCGTTCCGCCAAGCAAGACCACTTTGCGCAATCGACGGCTATCTCTGCTCAGAACTTTTTCAACACACTGCTGACTCCTGAACCAGATGGCCGTTGACAACTTGGTGGAGCCGTGTCTTGCATTGCACACGCCGAAAACGCCACTCCCGAAACGGGCTACAAGAGAGACAAGCGAGGCGCAAAGCAATAGAAAGATAAAAGAAAAACAACTCTAAAATATTAGAAAATTTGAATAATATTAGCAAAATTCCATAAGAGCTTGCGCCTGAATATATTTATATTACAGTGACAATCTTCCTGAGAGTTTGCGCTGGAGACGACTGGTTTACTTACCACGAGGAGGTTAGCGAAATCTATTGCAGATCAACGTGTTTCGTGATATGCGTGCCAAGTGGTGGTAAATATGCAGCCTGCTGAACGGCCAACAATCACGACGCCTACACGGCACGGCGGCTGGTGGTTTTCCGATAGGGTTTGTGCGCGTCTTTGGGGCAATGCCTGCTATTAGCCTCGACAGGATGGACGATGGAGTCCTCAAAACCCCCTTCGAGAATGCCAAGTGTTGCCAAGACAGAAAATAAGTACCTACTAAAATGTATAGTACGAATACAGTTATACGACGCGACCCAAGCCGAGCTTCGTCAAGTAGCTGCTACACCCGAATCAAGTAAAACCAATGTATCTCCCCGTTTTTCTTCAAAGTATCCAGAGTCGAAACTCGCTGTGTTTGCAGAATGGAATCTCGTCCCTTCTTCCGTGCATGTAGCGATAAAACGAAGCAACCCGGATGCCAATCTCAAAGAGTCTGCTAACTACGGATAGAATCATACGGGAAGGTATACCATTCGAAATCGTACTAATACGACCACAAAAAGGATATACCTAACAACTAAAAAAAAGTAGTGATTGTAGACGTTTGGGCGATTAAGTCTGCATCGAAAGCATTCTCACTTGATACCGGAGCCCAGCTAGTCTACGTTTGCTCTCTCTTATGTAGCCAGCTCTGCTGCGACTTGGCTGGAGCCCTTCAACGCTCCCAGTTCAGCAAACTCCCCATTATCCAAGCGGAACGGCTCCAGATCACACAGTTCTGGCAATCGCCACTATTTTGCCTCAAATGCAACACATGAACGGGCCGCCAATTGCGGCGCGGTGATCTTGGGGGCGTGGTCCCCAGGTGGGTTATATGTTGGCACAATTCCGCGCCTATGTTAGCCACAGGTTTGGATAGACAGCCAGTGTTGCTAATAATATAAACAATACGTATATTGGCAATATGGACCCCTCGCAATATTATTGTACTGTCAAGAGGTGCGTATTGTATTGCGCAATATGGCATTGGTCCATATTGTATTGTATTGCCAGTGACCCAATATATTGCCAGTAAAACAATATATCCCGTATATCCCACGTGACCCTCATTATTCAACCGTCGTTGCTGAAATATCGTCACCCTGAAAATCCTGTATCCCAAACCATGACTTCAAGCACTCCAATGCCTGAATTACATCACTCCCAAGTCGATTTCGACGGTCTGTGATGGTTATTTTTGCCCCAGAGAAGAGTCTTTCGGGCTCAGCAGACATTGCGGGAATTGACAGTATATCCACCGCCATTTTGCTCAGGTATGGGTAGTTCTTTTGCTGTGTTTCCTCCAGCCACCATGCGAGGGCGCTTGTGAACCCATAAACCCGTTCAGACTTACAATATCGCTCGTACTCGTCTGTGATAAGTGCTGGTTGTAGGTGCTTGTTTCTCCAATTCAAGAACTCGTTCGTGGTCGTCAACGGAACCTCAGATAGAGAAGGCGGCTCCACAGGTTTATAATCATCCCACAGTGTCTCCATCAGCTTCTTTGACGAGTCAGCCCACTCCTTCTTCCAGTTTTCGTGTATGTAGTGCCATTTATGCGAAGGGTGAAGCACAATCGCAGCGACGTAGGCAGGCGATTCGTCAGTAAGACAATAGTACTTATCCATCTTCGCCCAGCCCGAGTTATACATTGGTGCCATAATCGGATCGTCGATATGTGCCTCTTTTCCTGCTTCAAATTGCGCCAATACGAAGTCCATAGCCAAGAGAACATTGTCAAGAGTTGCAAACGATGACTCAAGGGCCTTTGTCGTCATTTAAGCTTCTCCAAGAAAGACTTGATCTTCTCGAGGATGACCCCACTCGGGAGAGAGCTCGTCTCCGGCACAATCTCCTTCCACCCATTTGTTGAATATCCCTCGACTGCGCCTCTAAGATGCAAGGCCGCTCGTAGCATGGTGTACCACGAACTCCACCTCGTGTCATTATCTCGCGCAAGCTTGCGATTATGGCTGATGGCCAGAAACTTTTGGCGACGCTGAACACTACTTTGGACGAAAACCACGAAGTTGTGGAGCTTGCCAAGGGACCTTTTTCCGCCACGCCTCGATCTCTTTTAGTGTCACATTATGCCCATCACGTTCGTCGTCTTTGAGCTTCTCATTATCGGTAACGAAGAGAAAGCTTTGGCGGCAAGGTTGATAATGTGACCTTGGCAGCGGAGTCGGTGAGATTTGGGATCGTATCGAATGTCATATCGACGTAGAAGGCCTGTAGATGTTAGGGCCAGTCAGAAAAAACAGTGCGCCGTACTTACCAAGGGAAAGAGATCTCATCATTGTATCGTTATTGCCTGCATTGTCCATCACAAAATATCCAAGGTTGGAAGCAAACCCCCAGTCATCAACCACTTCCAAAATTGCCCTTGCCAGGTGATATCCGTCGTGCTCACTGTCGATGTCTTTCAAAGCCAAGACATGGTGTTCCAACTGACTGTCTTCTGCAACGTAATGAGCAACTACGCCTAAGATGGCCAAAGAGTTGGGGGAAGTCCATAGGTCGCAGCTGATATGAATTTTTGACTTTGCTGACTGGATGCGCTGCTTGACCTTCTCCTTCTGACCTTCGTACTGCCGCATAATCCATTTCTTGATGGTCTCGTGTATCTGGAAGCCAAGTATCGATATCGGCGTTGAGGTAGGCTAAGAATGCTCGGAATTCTGGGCATTCCACAAGCCTAAATGGGAGAGAACAGGACGTAATAAACCTTACGTATAAAGCTTCGAGCTGGTCTGGGTCGATCGAGTCTCCGGATTGATCGTTGAGCCGACGGCGTTTTCGGGGATGTTCTTTGGCCATAACACGAGCTATCTCGAGAATAGTTCGTATATTCGTGACTTTGGCTGTTCGTGGCGCGCCTTTTGGGAGGCCGTGACCGTCAGGAGGAGGATCCGTAAGGTGCTTGGCTGGGGCCGCAGTTCCACCGGAACAGCAATACGTTTTGTCACAGTGTTTGCAGCGCCATTCTTCTTTTCCGGTCCGCTGATTGTAGTATTTCGTCTCTATGTCCTCGTCTGGCATATGAGAAAAGACCCATGATGTTCTTGGCTTGGCCGAAGGGTTTATGGAGGCCGTGCGAGGTTGCGACGATTGGCATTCAGTGGTTTGGGTCTCATCTGGATCATGCAACCGTGGGCTGGAAATCTCCGAGTATTCGTCTGATATTGACGAATCCGTCGCGGCGATGTTTGAACAAAAGGCAGGCGTTGTTGAGGCATCGAGATTGCTTGTAAGTCCTGGGGTGGGAAAGCGGGGTTGAGGAGGAAAACAGTGTTTGGACGGCGAGCCGCTACCCTGTAGGTCTGGATTTATACATACATTTACGCGTTTCCGTGCGCCAATAGGAAGATTTTACGTCCTGGAGGTCCGCCAGACGAAAAACAATACATAGAACATGCTTATATTTACGCGTGTATTTTGACGCGTCATCATATTGGCGCGAATTGGGAACGGAAAGGCGAATGACCACCAACCAATACAAACAATACAAGCCATATATTGCCAGTATGGAAGGCGCCATATTGTATCGTCACAATATGACGGCGAGCATATTGTATTGGTACAATATGAGAAATCGCGTATTGTATTGTATATACTGCAGTATACTACTTTATTGTCATATTATTAGCAACACTGTAGACAGCATACACTGAAGTATATAATATCTATTATTATGCATTTATTATACTTATTTCTTTTTAATTTAAGTTTTACCTTGACTCTAGACTTAGCCTAAGACCTATGGTCTAGCTAGCATCTTAAATAAGCTTAACAGGTCTTTTCTAGAATTAATTAAAAGATTTCTTTAGCTAAAGTACTTTTACTAGGAATTTCTTAGAGATGATACTTTAGTATACGCTGTCTATCCAAACCTGTATGCTGGCTAACATAGGCGCATTTCCGGCCTGAGAGGCGGTGCGGATCCCAGGACCGGAGAAAACAGACCTCGCGACTTTCCAAATAATCTCATCGCAGGGTTTGTCGAGCGGCAGAATTAAAGCCGGGGCCGGTAAAAAGACGGCGAACACATATACGCTGCGGCGTCGTCTTGACTAATAGAGCACGAGGTAATGGGCAGCAACAGGAATGCCAAATGCCTCTTTATGCTGCACAAAGCCTTCTGTGGAAGTGTCGAATTGTTGAAGCCGCAGATATAGACGTCTCAAACTGTGAGAAACCATGGTGCGATATGCTCCGAGGGTAGACTACACAGATTTATATTAAGAATTAGTCAAAATAATATAATATATCTTAGCAGAAAACGAACAGAGGGTAGCTTGAGTCTCTATCTCAGGCCATCGCCGTGCCCCTTGACTTCGGCTTCCTCCACGCCCTCGGCGTGACTGACGCTGTTCCGGTCCCTCTTCAGTGACCCTCCTATCCATAGTATTGATGTTACTCCGGTAAATAGGGTCAGAGCCGCAAGAGTCGGGCCCACGGCTCCCCAACCCGCCGATTTCCGGAGGTATCCCGCCAGGAGCGGCCCGAGGATCGTGCCGGCGCTGAAGGCGACGCTGTACAAAGCATATGCGAGTGCAATCGGCTCCGGCTCGTCGTCTGACATTTCCTTGTCTACTTTGATAGACCACGTAATCTCCGCCATCAGAGGTCCCATGGTAGAAGAAAAGCCGAGGCCGGCACCAGCGAGCAGCCCGCAAAGAAGCGCCTTGTGCGCCCAGGTGTCCTCGGTGACGAGGCGCAGGCACGCGAGGAAGGGCGTCGCGACGAAGAAGCCAACCGCGGTGAACCACTTGGGCCCGTGTCGATCGGCCAGCCATCCAAAAATGGGAGCAAAGAAAATGGGTATCACAAATGGGGCGAAGATGAAGCCCGCTTCAAAAGAGCCCCAACCGAACAGCTTCTCGACTTCAAGTGGAAGAACGGCGTCAAAAGCCGTCGGGACGGTGGACTCAATGATGCACCCCCAGAGTGCTGCGAGAAGCCGAGGATTCTTGAATAAACGCTTTATGTTCTTGGTCCCCACCTTCTTGGTCCTTGTCGGCTCCGGCGGTTGGTCGTGGTGTTCTGTTGCCGGGAGCCTCTTTTCGTCGTCGGTCCTGTTGCCTTCCGAAGTATCGATGCTGGTGACATCGTTGGTTGTGGATGCCTGCTCAACGTCCGTCGTCTCCCACTTCTTGGCGTCTTTCTTCTCGATAATCACCGCCCGCAGCAAAATATCTACCAAGATGAGGCCAAGGCACATGCCCCACACCGAATACCATCCGCCCCGGCTGAACGTGACGCCGCCTAGCAGTGGCGCCGAGAGCTCGGCCCAGGTTGTAACAACGCCGACCCAGCCCATGACCTGTCCAAGGATGCCGGGGCTCACCGTATCGACGATGAGAGCCAGGCCGACGGACCAAGTCAAGGCGGCGGTCATACCCTGAAACACGCGGCCGGCCACCATCATGGCGAAGTTGTGCATGAATGTGAGAAGCAGGGTGGATGCCCCGAGGAGGAGGAGGCCTGCCATCATCGGCGTTCGTCGGTTTTGAGTCCGATCGGCAAGATAACCCCAAACCGCTGCGACTCTGTCAGCCTGAACGGAAACATAGGCTTACAAGATAAGATGGGACATACGTGAAAAGACGAGGATCGAGGCACCAAAGGTCGCCAGCGAAATGGCTATCCAGGACTGCACTATACTCGAGCGTATCAGCACAACATTGGCGTACTGCAGGCAGAGCTTCTCACCGTCCTCATGTGGCACGCCAGCGCGCTCTTTGAGGGCAAAGGGCATGACAGGCACGACGATGGCGTACGGAAAGAGATCCTATCGGGATGTTGTTAAGCCATGGGTTTTTTTTTGAGATTTCAAATGCACATACAGTATAGAGGGCCATTAGAACGGTCACCAGAATAAGCACTGTCGATGACCGCCATCGTAAGAGCAAAGGCCGCTCGCCATGTCTCCTGATCCTGGCCCAAAGACTGCGATTCGTACTGCAATTCATACTGCGATCCATGGTGTCTGCTTCTCTTTATTTCTTGCTAAGCTTGAAGAGGGTGTTGTTCGACTGCAGAGAGGGCTCGAGTCTCAAATGTTGGGTGGTTGGACAGCGCAGAGAGATGGTCGTCTACAGAAACGGTTGCGCGTTGTTCACCCCATCCGGCCGTATAGGAGAAGGCCAACTTATAATCAGGGACGCGAGAGCTATTGCTTCGTCCCTTGCGTCGGTTCATGCTGTTACACTTTTGCAAATGGCGGGGATAAAGTTTATACCTAGAGGCCCAGCGCGGGGATGAAGGCACGGGTTTCGAACGACCACTTGATTGGCAGTTTATGAGAAGCTTCCGCGGGGAAGAACGTGGAGTTGAGACGAGGCTGGGAGCCATCGCAAGAATGAGCATGACTTCGGGCATGATGAGGTGCTAGGGAGGCGTGCTGAGAGTTTGGATGCACGCCAGCTGGGGCACATGTTCCCACTAGGCAACACCAAGACACATATTCGTTGTGCATGTGATGGTTGGCGTACGTGGAACATGCGCAGTGCATCTAAACGACTTACCTCTTTTCCTTGAACTCTATTTGAGCTGCCTTTGACGGCAAAGGCATCAACATGCCTTGCATCACCGGCCAGCCGGCCAGCCACAAAAAGGCAAAGTGCTTCGGGCCTGTCACAGCTGGCTCTGCAGAAGCACGGCAAGCTTCAGGCTGAGTTGTATCGTCATCCATCTCCTTGTCTACGGTATCATTTCATGCATGATAGAGTTTGATGAGTGGATGGAGTAGAAGGTGGTCATAGAATACGTAGTCGAGCCGTAATGTACAGTACGGGGCACAGATTGCACACTGCACTCCGTAGGCAATGTCTACTGTCTAATGTCTATCTCGGAATATCGCCGGATCCCCCCTTGTCCAAAGGACCGGTGACTTGACTGTTGCTGCCGTCCCAATGCCTCATCTTCCCGCCCGGGGTTGAATGCGCCAGATTACGCTGTGGATCCGATGATGTTCACTATCTAGGCGAAAATGGCTGACTGGTAGCTGTTTCACCGCCGAGACAAGCGAAACTCAAAGCGGTAGCAGTCGCTTGCACTCAGGAGCTGCATGCCTCCGGGACTGGCTCGTTCGCGGGCCGCGACTGCACACCACTTTAGCAGAATGTTCCTAATGGCACGTGTGGTTGGGAAGTGCCTTGATCAAAGATTACAAGTGCCAAGCCTTCTCGCCGTGTCGCACGACATGTCGAGTCCCCATGTCGAGACTTAGATCCCAGGCTCTCCCAGGGCAAGGTGTTGGCCTTCTGCTCGCAAAGCAAGGGTTGTCCTTGCCTGTCTCACTTTCCCCCGCCGAAGTTTGGAGACGGGGTCGCAGCTAGCTGTCAGGGTCCCATTTTGGTCATTGATGTTTGCTTTGCGTTCGGCATGGGCTGAGGCGTCGGACTGTGTGCTTTTGTGCTTCGTATCCATGCTGGAGTATGCATTGAAGGGAACGGCGACATTGACTATACAGTAGCGGCAATGAAAGCAGAAAGGACTTGTCATTAATTCTCGCCAGCGTCATACGAACATGTACTGATACCTTGATGTGCGCCATTGCGTTATACAGCGTCGTGAAACGTAGCCGACCAAGCACTCAATAATCGACTGTATACGAGACGTACGGTCTCCAGCACTGTCTCTGCTATGCGGTAACCCGAGCTTCGAGAGACTCCCGCACGGGTCCTGTAGGTCAACCAACAGGATGATACCTCCCTTGGCCAAAGTTGACATGGCGATCCTTTGAATTCACATGCGACTCTTAATCGTGTATGTACCAAACGACAAGATACATGCAAGCCAGGGATACTGCTCACGCAACACGAGAGGCAAAACTCGGCCCAGAGCTTGTGCCGTGGGTGGCCCGGGCCGATCACGGCCGTAGAGAGAACTGGGAATGGCTTCAAATGCAGCCGGCAGCTGAGCTCAAACCATCAATGCAACCCCCCCTGCGGAGCTTTGAGAAGCGTGTCGTACTGCAGGTTTTAGACACAACCAGAAGCAAACACGAAAGTTTCTGAGACATGGCTGTAGCGAGCGGGATTGATTGGCATCGTCGGGGAATCACGGTGCCACACGAATGAATGAACCGACTGGGAAGAGACGGGAGAGAGCGCGCGATGGCGCTGCGGCCCATCGGGATGAACATTCATTGGGCTCTGCCCTCTCGGATTGTCACCTCAGCTTCCCGAAGCACCAAACAGGCCTCATCAAAGCAATGGAAACTGTGGCGGGGGGTCTTCTTGACTTGGGTCGCCGATGACCCGATTACGCAGGGATGGCCAACGGCCAGGGGGGTTATGTACATTCCGCCTGCATGCCGGTCTTTAATAAGGGCAACCAATCCCCCTGCGCGGCCGTACGAGACGGTTCTTGGAGCCCTTGGAACCTTTCTCGACACCGCAGTCCCTGTAGTCCGCCTGCGGGAGCCGCCCGGAAGCGAGCAAGGCCACAATGGCGCGTGATGAAGCCGGAGGCTTGCACAGCACCGACGAGGAGAATGCTGTCTGTACGGAGACGACGCCGCTGCTGCTGAAGCCCGACTCCGAGATCGGAGCTCCTGCGGCGAACGATTGCCCCAATGGCCTGGACAATGAACAGACAATCATTGTTAAGGAGTTGTCCTTGACAAAACTGGCGCTCATCATGGGCACGGCCTGGTTTGGGGTCTTCCTGGGAGCCCTCGACTCGACTGTCATTGCGACACTTTCCGCCCCGATCTCGAGCGAGTTTCACTCAATGAGTCTGCTTCCGTGGCTCGCCACAGCATACCTCATTTCCAACGCGGCCTGCCAGCCGATTTCTGGCCGGCTCACCGACATCTTTGGGCGCGGTCCCGGCCTGGTTTTTTGCAACCTCTTTTTCGCCGCTGGCAACCTCATCTGCGGCCTGGCCACGAGCCAATACGTTCTCATCTTCGGCCGGGTCATCGCAGGCATCGGAGGCGGTGGCCTGATGAGTATTCCGACCTTCCTGGGCTCCGACCTGATCCCTCTACGGAAAAGGGGACTCGTGGGCGGTATTGCCTGTATCTGGCTCGGGTCTGGCTCTATGGTCGGCGGCGTCTTTGGCGGACTGCTCAACGATTATACGACCCTTGGCTGGAGACTTGCTTTCTTAGTTCAAGTCCCACCCGCCTTGCTGTCTGCTGTGGCCGTGCTCATCCTTGTCAAGGTGCCGCCCAAGCAGTCCGATAGGTCCTATCTTGCACGGATCGATTTCCTCGGCGTTATCCTGACGTCTTCGTTCTTGATGCTATTGGTCTTGGGGCTAAACTCGGGGGGAAACTTGGTACCCTGGTGGCATCCCCTCCCAGTTTCGGCCATTTCCATCTCTCTCGCCCTCTTTATCGCTTTTATATGGTGGGAAAGCAGAGCACTCCAACCTGTGATCCCCGTGAAGCTGCTGCTCGATCGAACGGTCCTCGCTGCCTGTCTCACCAGCCTTCTCGTCGCCATGCTCGCCATGACCTGCATATTCTACGTACCCCTATACTTGCAGGTGCTCGGCGAGTCTGCGACCGGCGCTGGTTTAAAGACCCTCTCCTCGCCTATCGGAATATCAATTGGGGCTCTCGTCGCAGGATATATCATGAAGAGGACCGGCAAGTTTGTCGGGCTTGGAATTGCGAGCGTCATGCTCTTGATGCTAGGCACGCTGTTGTTTTCGTTTCAGACCAAGAATACCCCGACTGCCTTGACAACGGTGGCCTTCTTCTTCGTCGGAGGCGGTTATAGTGCTGTGTTGGCGACAACACAGATTGCTTGTCTCGCGGCCGTTGATCACTCGCAACAGGCGGTTGTCACATCGAGTACATGTGAGTGTACAACGTCTCATCTTCCCCCTTTTGTCAATATCAATATGACTTCGGATACGTAAGAGAGGGCCGAAACTAACGATGAATGGCGGTAGACTTGGCTCGAAGTCTAGGAGGCACAGTAGGAATCACTGTCGCCTCGGCGGTGTACCATAACACCCTCAACGCCCGGCTGTGGGAACGTTTCGGGGACGAGCCAGGTGCTGCAGACAGAATCAGTCGCATCCGGGATGACATTGGCGAGCTGAGGAACCTACCGGAAGGATGGTACGATGGAGTGGTTGACTCTTTTATCGAGGCGTTCCGAGGCGTCTGGCTGACAATGCTCGGCTGGGCGGTGCTCGCTCTCGCCTGCGTCTCCCCAATGAAGCAACACAAACTTCACTCGACACTTGATAGGCGGGGAGGTTAGGGGGAAAGTATTGGGCATGAACTCAGCGCGATTTACGACGCACACTCCAAAGAGGTCCGGACTTGTGAAACCTGATGAGGATACTTGGGGTGGATTCGATTCACGAACACAGCCCGTAACCGCACACACAGAGCGCGTGCAGAATCGAGGGTCCAGATGATCAATGGCGGTGTCAAATATCAAGGACTCTGCAGCATGTGTTGACATTGACCATGACCAACGGAGACTTTCGGACAGACTAAGATAATGTGGATAGGTTTCTGCAGAGCCATTAAGGGGCTGCCTCCCCCAGCTGCTCGAATGTTGCCGCCTTTGTGTTGGAACTTTAGTGACAAAGAGAGGTTTTTTACTCACCTATGACAAGTGAAATATGGCGAGATAATGCGGATTCCAGGCCATGCAATGATGCTCGTGTGTTCCTTGATCCATATGGGTATTTTCAACGCTGCCAAAGCACGGACCATTCTTTCTATGTCGAGAATTCCCGAGATTTTGTCATGAATAGGCCCTAAGCTGCGCGATCTTCGCCCGCCGGACTTGCGGACCGCAACCCATTGTTCTTTCGCAGAAGGCGAGGAAGGCAGTGTTTAACCTTGGTAGCTCGTCTGCCTATCGATAAATTAGGGCAACGAGAGCTTGAGAGAAAGACAAGATCGGGGGATCACCTGTCAAAAGAGCCCCTGTCAAAAGAGCCGAGACCTAGCTGCGCCGGACACATAACGCTTGGCTTCGGCCAGGGTTTCCAATTTACGTACAGATAGCGGCATTTCCCCTTCAAGTTGTTAACCACAAGCTGGGAAAATAGCTGCAATCATGGACTCGTTTTGCTCTCCAAAGTTCTCTGGACGCTAGAGAAAGTCACAGAACAACACGTGTCCCTGGCCTTGCGATTTCAATTGTCATGAATAAGACCGCCGCATTAGCAGATTAAAGCAAAGCCTCGCAAGACCCGCCAAAGAAAAGCACTGCTAACATACTGCTCGACATCGCGTTTGCCTATATATCTCTCATGGCTACAGCTGCCGGCTTACTGGTAGGTGACAGTGAGAAGCACCTCACACAAGTCCAATACGAAGCGAGAATGTCGCGTCTACGATAGCCTCCGCACCAGCCGCCGTATAGGCCGGCCCGATAGAGCTTAGCCGAGGCCTAGCATAGACGATGGGAAGCCGGCTAAGAGCTAATCTCCCACGCCTACAGAACCCTCTACATGGCGGATAGCCGGCCAACTTAGCTATGAAGGCGGCGCTCAAGCGCCACCGCAACCTTCTAAAGTTTCTCAGCAGACTTGTCATCTAGATACAGATGGGAAAATCGGCCTTAACGCGTTCCTTTGCCTCCAAGGTGTTCCCAGGGTGACCTCGCCCCTCTGCCGGTGTGGCCCCGGGAGGGATCTGGCTCATCACGCCGTCCTATACTGCTCCCTTGACTTGGAGCTCCGCTCGCCTTCCCCCTCGAGGATAACCGCGACGTCACACTCGCCCTAAGCCGCCCGCGTCTCGCCCGCGACCTCGCGAGATGGTTTGCCGCCTGCGCCGGCTTCCCTAGCTCTTTCTCATCAACGCCCTCCACGACAGCCCCCTCTCCCCGATCATGGGCGGGGCCCATCTAAGCTCGTACGAGCAACCCCTTTAGCTGTGCTAAGGGAACCCTCTGTACGAATGCGGTGTTGAAGCCTCCATGGAGGAAAGTTAGAGTTGATTGCATGCCAAGTTGGCCGTAGAGCGTTTTCTTGACTTTGCGCTTGGCTAAACGCGTAACATACCTATCTGCCAGGCTAGTAACCACAGCTAAAGGGAGGTGGTCCAAAATCCTTTACGATGGAACAGATACCATCTTTTCTGAAAGGATCACCTCTTGTCTTCAAGAACAGACCTGCGTCGGCGACGGATCCTTGGTTTCATGCACTTTTGGCAATATTTTGCATCACAACAACGACTGATGGCCAGATCGCCGGATAGCGCCATGACAGATGGCCAGTATCTCGACAATGACGAGATTAACGAGTTTCTCGACCAAATCGATCATGACAACAAAGGATACATTGAATACAAGGACATCCAGATGAAGTTGGATCACGTTCACGGCGCACTCTTTCGCGAGCATCATCATAGGGCCAAGGATCACACCCCGTGCCCTCATTGCGCCCGTCTAGCAAAGGACGACGACGCTCGCCACCAGTTCTTATCCAGCATGATGGGCTCCTCCGACGCGGAGCGAATCACTCGTCAAGACTTCGCCGAACTGCTATGCAGCTGGAAGATACCGTCGCTTGCGCAGAACAAGAAACAAGAGGACGAGGAAAAGAGTTACGTGCGTCGTCTTCCAGGCTGGCGCAAGATCCGCGCCTATTGGGCTGTCCGTGGCCCCGAGGTGTGCTTCATTGGACTGGTCATCGGCCTGCAACTGGCGTTTGGCATCTGGCAGCTCGTCAAGTACGACGCGACACCCGAGTACCGGGCCGCACTTGGCTGGCGCATCGTCATGGCCAAGACGTGTGCGGGTGCCTTGTACCCGACCTTCTTCTTCCTCATCCTCAGCATGTCGAGATATACTTCGACATGGCTGCGCACGTCATACCACGTCTCTCGTTTCATCAATTGGGATCTATCGCAAGAGTTCCACATTTACATCGCCTGTGTTGCTATTCTCCTGGCGACATTGCACTCTGTCGCGCACTTGACGGGCACTTTCGTCCGCGGTGTCGATCCTGCGCATAGAGATGCAGTAGGCAAAATCCTGGATCCAGATTCCATCCCACGCTCCTATGCTGGCTTTGTTCGCTCAATCGCCGGATTCACCGGCGTTACTGGGCTTGGTCTCATTTATATCCTCTCGTTGCTCAGCATTCCTCAAGTTCGTAGGTGGAATTACGAAGTCTTTCAGCTGGCGCACCTGCTCATGTTCCCAATTATCGGCCTTATGATGGCCCACGGAACAGCTTCTCTCCTTCAATGGCCCATGTTTGGCTATTTTCTTGCTTTCCCCACCCTTATGGTTCTGGTCGAGCGCCTGATACGCGTTGCCCTGGGCTTTCATCACATCAGAGCCACCATGGCTATTCTGGACGACGAAACGATGGAGATCATAGCTGACCTCCCTAGCCATCGCCTCTCTAAATATAAGGCTGGTCAGTACATCTTTCTGCGGGTGCCAAAAATCAGCTTCTTCCAATGGCACCCCTTCACTGTGTCCTTCTGCCGCGACCAGAAAGTCATGGTCCATATCAAGGCGGATGGCAACTGGACTCGAAAACTGCACGAATTGGGCGGCCAGTCGGACATAACCGAAATCGAAGTCAGCATCAATGGACCCTTTGGGGCTCCTGCTCAGCGCTTCTTTGATTTTCAACAGTCCGTTATTATCGGCACTGGGATTGGTGTAACACCCTTTTCGGGCATTCTCGCCGATCTGCAACACAACTATGATCTCGATCATGGGGGCTTTCAGGAGTGGCAGGACACATCTGAGGACGATTCTGCTGCAATTCTCAGGCAGATTCGCTCAAAGAGCATCTCAGGAGAGATGTCACAGGATCTTGGCCGGCTATTGAAACCCTCTCAAGACAATCCTAGATTCGATCACAAGGAGGAGATCTTCCAGCTAAGCGGTAGACCAGACTTCACTTTGACGGATGACTACCGCCGAGTTGATTTCCACTGGACAGTTCGCGACCGAAACCACCTGCTGTGGTTTTCTGATCTCCTAAACCAGGTCTCGCTTGGGCAGAAGTGGGAGCGCGAGCATGAACAAAATCCGCAGCTCGATATTCGCATAAACACCCACGTTACGGCGGAACGAAAGGACATCGTCATTCATGTATTCCGCTGGCTACTCGAGATGCATCGCACCGAGGAACATCCTACCTCCCCACTTACAGGCCTTCTCAACCCAACACATTTCGGTCGTCCAGATTTTGATAGGATCCTAGACGACCACTACAACGATATGTATAAACTCCACGCCAGAAAACTAGAGCAGACTGATAGCGAGAAGGATAGTCGTGCGAGTAGCGCTCAAGACTCGGACATCAAAGTGGGTGTCTTTTACTGCGGTTCACCCGTCGTGGGCGAGATTTTGGCCGACAAGTGTAAAGAACTTTCTGTAAGGGGCCGTCACGATGGAAGTAAAACCATCTACCACTTTATAACTGAGGTTTTTGGTTGAGCGAGCACGGATACCAGTAGTTACTACTATCCCCGGCCCCTCTTGCCCTAGCACCCCCCCTTTGGTAGCGTACTTGAAAAAATACCTACTGAAGTCTATTTTAGACTATACAAGATATAACCTAGACTTCAGATTATAAATATAAAACTATACGATTTTATTAAGTGTGAGGCCACTACTAGGAGGTATAGGCTGACAAAGCGGAGGAGTACCTGGGACCAAGGTGTCGCTACGTTATCGGCACCGTTTCGGGTATCCCGCTCGCAAGTCAAGGGAGACTCGCCATGCCCGACGGAAGGAGAGAATTCCTTCCTCTGGCAAGCTTTAATCTTACTATAGAGGCTAACAAGGCTGACAAGGCTAACAAGTTATAATATCAACCTGTTAACCTTATATAAGACGAAATCGTTATTGCAATGCTCTTATAGTAACTCTGGCAAGAGCCCTTATACGAGTCCTTATAAGAATTATAGGATGAGGCAAAGGAGGAAGTCTAAAAGGAAGGACAAGCACACCTAATTGTGCAGTATCGGCGTTGCGCCCTGACCAGCCACACCAACCCACTTTTAGTTGATCCGATGAGCAAACTAACTTAGGTTGCCGGTTGAAAGGGGCCTGCGGCAATTCTAGAGGGGTCAATCAAGTCAGCGGCAGGCGGGAAGTGTCATGTCATCGTCCATAGACACGTACAGGGGTTGGTACAATGAAACTCGCGCTGCACATCCCAAATGCATCCGCCACCTGCCGGAAGACAATGGTACTTAGGCTTCGTGATCCAAATGCACCCACTGGTGGTGGGTGCTGCCTGGACAAGGGCGAAGCCGGCCACGAGAGTGAAGAGGGTGCTGAGAACCTTCATTTTGGAATGAGAACCGATGGATTACGCTGAGCCGTCAAGAAAGATTATTGCAGAGATGATAAATGGACCAGCAGACCGTTGAAGAGAGCCCGTCGGCTTCTTATACTGTACCCTTGGTATTACAACGACGGCGGACCAAAATCAAGTACCGGGTTAAGGTAGGGTTCGGCTTAGCCTCGGGGAGCTAATCCTCGAGATACATAGTTTTGCGCATTCTTAACATTCCTTAACTCTTAGGCTCACCCTTAGTCCCTAGATATTCTCCCTATTTTACTCAGTTACGCTTAGGATTTCTTAGATTCTTTAGCCTGGGCTTAGTTTGTAGACTAGATTTATATCCTCCATGAGGGGCACTAAAGTCTTGCAACATTTTGGATAGAATTCTATAGTCGTCCGCTGTAGAGGATCGCACCTGACTTCCCGATTGATCTATTCGCTTAGGGCTTGCCGCCGGCATTAGATGTCTCCTCTTTAGACCGGCAAGTTTTGGATCTATCGAATTTCGAGTGGAATCTAGCAAACCTAGCTGTTTGTTCATGAACACGAAACACAGTATATGTCATTTTGTGAGATCCTCTCGCCTGGTAGAGGCCGCACTAAAGTCCTCCATCACACAACTTACAAGGTGTGTTACGCGTTCCAGAGCACACTCGAAAGTTCAAAGGGGTAATAGCGAGGTTGACAAGATCATGCCTCCAGAGTCCATCTTCCAATGAATGTCCAGATCAGGCGCGGGAAATAACCAGTCCGTGTCCCAGGAGCCTATCCAAGCTGTTGACCTCGCAGGTGGAAGGCAAACTTGCACTTTCAATATGAGGCTTTAACCCCACGCTGGTCCTAGAAGTTGATGCCAAAGCGCATGAGGAGTCAAAATGCTAGATCAAGTCGGCCTCCTATGGATTGATTGAGGGGATTGGGAATTCCGGCGTGGGCGTAAGACTCGGATCGCACGCGAAGTGGTGCTGCTACATGGCCTACATACCTATACACACTCCGTGGCGTCTTTGGCCACGCACTTCGACGCACATAAGGCGCAGGAGATTGGCTGGCCACGGTTGAATAGGCCGGCATTCCTTCGTCACTGTATGTATTTCGAGCCTCAGTGAGACTTGTCACCTTTATCCCGCTTCCAGTTTGACACCGAAACTTGGTGGGTAAACGTCCGCTATGTTTCACCCGATCCATTAGCTTTCTCCAATGTGTGAATGCCCTACTGGTTAGGGATTTTATGGCCAGTTATAACCCCTCTCACTGTGTCCTATACTAATAAGACCGAGCTGCGCGTTGGCAAGTTGTTCTTCCGCGGCGTAACTGAATCGGATGCCTGTAAGATGGCCGAAGGCCGTTGCGCGAACAAGAATGAAGGCACCGTCAAAGTCTCCTTTGTCAAGCTTGCCCTGAGCCACGCCCACCTGGGCCTCGGTAGTTGATGGAACCATGGTCCATTTCTCACCGGCAGCATCCTCCTGAGCTTGAGGAATCTCGTTCGGGAAGTCTCCGCGGGGGAAATGTAGATGTAGCTGTTACTGGCGATGTGAGGAGATTTCAGGGTCAAAACTACCGCCTGTCCGAGAGTTTGGGGGGTAAGGCTCCCTCGCCTGTGTGCCAAACTCCATCCCGTCGACTTGTACTCAAGACAAAAGTGGATAAGTCAACGACGGCAGGCCGGAAAACTTAGGACTCCGAAACACCAGCAACAGCCGAGAAGCGCAGTGCAAGAGTGCCTATAACTGCGCACCGGTGTACGTTCATCTGGAGCCTTAGTGGCTTCTCGGTGAATTTATTCTCCACGTCCAAGATGATATGTTTACGAGCCGCGCACTTAACGCGTCACTAGTTCTTCTTCCATTGGCTATTTTCTCTACTAAATAAACCTACTTCTACTTTCGTAATATATGCTAAGCTAGCTCTACGATACACGGTATCCAGGATGGTCCCACCAAAACACATTACAAGCTGGCTTTTGGCTAAGTGCAAGCGCGACACTAAAGCTGATGCAGAGGTTTAAGAGCTCCAATAAAGAAAACCACCAACCCCTGTTGTCTTACGAAGGTCTAGGATAAAAGCGACGAAGACAGCTAATTCCGCTGAACTCAAAAATGCCGCCGCTGTAGGCACCACCTGGGGTGTGAAAAAAAAAGTACGCCGACACCCTTAAGGCTCTCGACAAACGCGTCGACGAACTTGACAAGAAAGTCACGGTTAAGACGAGGTGTAGTCGGATCGACTAGGGAAACGAAGGGACGCTATCTATCGAAGTCGTTCAGGTGAGGCCAACTGCATGCTTTACCGATACATGTATCTCTGTATCACAATATCACCTCGTTACTCGTTGGCCGGCTCTTGCGAGTTCTGCTCCCAAACTGGGACTCTTAAACCCATCCCTCGAGGTGGACCAGGTAACTTCATGTCGCATTTACTGGTGCCCATTCGAGTAAAACCGTCGTATAAGCAATATTTTGGGCAATTGAGTTCCCTTGTTCTAGGGCTAGAAGCGGCGTATTCGAGACTTGAGATGCACAATGTTTCATGATTTGTTGACAGAACACATTTGTTGTCTATACATGCGCAGCAGATCAATTTCATTCCATAATCGAATGAAAAATTCATTCATATGTCAGGGCGTCTATCACGTTGAGCTCGTGTTCCTTGCTCACGTCCGTTGCAGAAGAATGTTGTACGTTGTGGGAGAGCCGGACTCGACTTGGTAGCAGGATAATACTAACCCGCATGGGAGGATAACGCCGTTCGACAAGTGATTCTGGCCGCATTCCTTCTTCACCTAATAATGACCGCTGCCGCCATCCTCTCAAATCTTAGGAAGATAAGTGGTCTATCAAGCAACTTACAGTCAAATGTCAACACCTGCATGCTATTCAATTTGCGTTCAAGGCTCAAGGTGAAGGACCGGAGGCCTGCTTCCGGTGCCAACAGGCCTGCCTACTCTGTTTGAACGTTGCATCAATTGTATTTGCACTATTGGACCCGCAGTTGCCGTTACAGAAGTAAGAGAACACGAGGATTCAATGCCGAACAAAATGTTCACCCTCAGGCACTTGGTCGTCAAGATTCCATACGATGTGGTTGATCTTCCCATCCGAATCTCTCATGAAGTGTAACAGCCACGCATTTGTCGCGTAATGGAATAAGCCGCGTCGAGTCCTTTCCTCAGCAGAGGGCAGGAAGATGAATGTGTCCTTGTGGTAGTGCGACAAGACATGGATTTGCTCTCCACTTCCATTGATGTTGAATTTGAGGGCACCGCCCTCCTCGAAAACCCGGAGAAAGACTGCCCCAGTCGTATGCCGGAACTGTCCGACCAACTCCTGATTTGGAGGTTGCTTCGTGCCTGGCGAGCGGTGCTTGTCAAGAGTCTCGGCCATCCTCTGGTAGGTTGTACTCCAGGTCTTTGCCGCCTCTTTCGCGACTGGTGCCAAGTCCACCGGATTCGTGAAGCCCGCCACAGCCTGGAGGAGCGTCTGGGCTGCCCAGTCGGCGGTATCCCCTCGGGAGATGGAGTTTGTGAGAACGATGATGACGGCCTGCTGAGCAGGGAGGAGCATGATGCAGTGGTTGTAGCCTGGTAATCCTCCGTTATGATAGAAGACGCGCTGAGGCTCTGAGCCGACGCCGAGGACGGGCATGCCGCCCTTGACGAGCCCCGGGTTGAAGCCTATCTTGCCGAATTGCGCTGGTGTCATGACCTTGCCCCAGCCCAGCGCGTATAGCTCATCCGAGACAGCGGACTTGTTCATAAAACTCTGCCCGGAGAGCATGGTGCCTATCTGCTCGACGGGAGGCTCGCCCTGTCGAAAGGCTGAAAGGAGTGCGTTGCCCCAGGCGAGCATGTCGTGGACTGTGCTTCGAACCCCGCCAGCAGAGGACATCAGGTGTCCCTGGAGAAGGCCCAGGTCTCCAATGCGCAGCGGAGCGGCGTCGTCGGCGATGATGTAGGGCAGTGCCGTGGAGTCGGGAGGAATGCGGGAGCCGAGGACGGATGTTTGAGAGAGGCCGACTCTCTGGAGTACGCGCTCCTCCAGCACTTGACCCCATGGCTTTCGTACTACACGTTCTATCACCTCGCCGGCAAGCGCGTACATCCAGTTGTTGTACAGCCACTTGGAACGGAGTGGGTATACCGAGGATAAGTGGTTGCAGACAGCGATGGTGGAATTGTTGGTTATCACGACTTCATTGTTAGCGCCCAGCCACAGGGCGTCAAGGCGCGCGAGGCCGGTGTGGTGAGAAAGCAGATCGATCAAGGTTAACCGTCCCGCCAGTGCCGGATCGGACTGGAACGAGAGCTCCGGCAGGTATTCGGACAGGGGCCTTTCCCAGCTCAGGACGCCGTCGTGGACGAGCTGCGCGACGGTGGCCGACACGAAGGCCTTTGTTAGGGAACCCAATGGATAGCGCGTCGTTTCGTTGGCCACGGCGCGCGTCTCGACGTCTGCAAACCCGTAGCTGTGCTGGAGAAGCACTTGGCCGTGGCTCATGACGCCGACGGACATGCCAGCAGTGCCCCCAATGTGCTGGATTCCCTCGACGCGGGCGAGGGCGTTGTCCAGGCGTTGACGCACTGTCGGGCAGCGTGACGGAGCGCCTTCGTTGGAACCCAGGAGTGGCACCTGGGCGTGGAGGTCGAAGGCATTCAGCCCGAGCGGGAGCAGCATGGCCACAACGTGGGATCGCATGGCCGCTGAAGCCCGAGAGGTCGAACGAGGCCAGGTTAGTTTGTATGGACGACTCCCAACTCGGGGCGCGCATGGCGGAGGATCACTGACGAGCGTTGCGTGAGAATGGCCGGTAGTACGGGCGACTATAAGAGAGTTCCTAGTAAAACGAAAATACACTATTTATAGTAGCTTTCTTTTTATACGCTTACTCTTTATATAGAATATAGAAAACGAGAAAAATATAAGGTTAAGTATATCTTTATAAAGGAATATTTCTACTTATCTCGGGGCTAACCCTTACTTAGTTATTTAGTTGCTCGACTAAACGTTCTTATATATAGCTAACTAATAAGCCGTCGCTAGTAATATATATTATTATATCTTCTCGGCTAACTTTTTAAAACTAAGCCTAAAATACGAAAATAGCATACGCCTAGAATCCTCACGAATAGTATATTACGCCCCCCTAAGTATAGCATTGCATAGCTACTAGTAGGTACGTAATATACTACCGAAGTTTATAAATAAGTAAGTCAGCTCACCCACTTAGGGGCACACCCACTTAAGGGCACGTCTTATATAACTAAGACAGTATATTCTAATAGCAATTAAAGCCGCGTTTTTATATCGCGATACTTAATTATGGTATTTTCCTACTATTCTAGCTGCTAGCTTCTATATAGAGCTTTAAAATCCGCCTTCTAATTAGCTATTGCGATGGCAGACGGCTTAAGGGCGCGTTAAAGCTATTTCCTTATCTTAATAACTTATTTAATCCGTATAAACCGGCTATTTAGATCTTGCGATTTTCGTGCTTTAAGGCCGTAGACGATATAATTAATGCTTAAGCTATTATATATATAGCTATGCCGTTGTAAGCTATATATTCTAACGATTAAGGCTGCGGCTAACTTTGCTAAAAAGCATACGGATCGTACGGTTAACTTAACCGCGATTTTCGAGCCCCCTAATAAGCCTACGGACTTCCTACGATCGTCTCGGTATTTTACGCATCGCTATTATCTATTGCTTAAATTCTTCTTCCTCTTTAGTAGTAACGGCGTTAATAGCGCGGGTAAGACGAAGCGGCTTATTAATAGCTTTACTATATTAACTAGCTAAAGTCCTATCCTCGCTACCCCTTTAATATTTTTCTCGTTAGGCGGCCACTGGCCTAATAATAGTAGCGAAGGAAAAGTACCTTGCTAATTAGTGCTATATCGTCGAGAGAAGCGATTTTTTAGAGTTAACGTTAGTAGGTAGCTTTAATCGGCGAAAAAATCGAGATATCGAGAGGTTAAAGAACGTACGAGGCGTATAGAGGTAGGAAAAGGAGATATATACTATATAGGAAGTATTTATATATAAAATCGTTAGTCTAATAGCTTTTATAGCTATCTATAATTAAGAGGACGTTACCTTATAGCTAGCTTCTTATTTATAGGATAAAGACCTACTTAAGCTATTAAATTGCGATAAAGTCGCTTATCTAGCCCTTTAAAGAGGCTATAAAGTCCTAATCCTTTAAAAAGTCGAGTTCTTTAGGGAACTATTAGTATTAAAGGTCCTAACCTTTAAAGATTATAAGAGGAGTTAAGGCCCGGCTAATAGTAAAGACGTATTCTACTATTATAGTCTAATAACGCGACCTAAGCCGCCTAAGCGTCTCTTCTCTCTAAGCTCCCAGCACGAGGCCGTTATAGCTAAGGCCTCTGAGGATACCTATCTGTCTATATTAAAGCGTATTCTAGGGAATAGCCTATAAAGCTAGGAGCTAAGTAACTAGAACTACCTTAATCCGGGCCATGAAGCGCAGTTAATATAAGCAAAATCGAGCTTTACCTTTAATCGTGCTAACCTCTAGATTTCGCCAAAAGCCTACTACCTAGTATTTTCTAAGTAGGCGGGTATTGCTTATAGCCGTGAATACGGCGGAATTCTTAGCTAGAGATACGTTAAGGGAGCTCGGCTTAGGTAAGAACCTAATCCCGGAGGTATTTCTCTACTCGGCTGTTCTTTAATGGCATTCGTATGCCTCTCTTTAGTTAGGCACCTTTAAGGCGTTTCTAAAGTATCGTCCTTAGAATACCCTACTTCCGACTAGCCTATACCTAACCTACGCGAATTTAATATTAGCTAGAGCGTTCTAAAGCTAATCTTCGGTATATTTAGAAAGCTAAGATATTGCTAATTCGAATAATGTTTTTTTAATAATAATTAAGTATAAGATATACGAGAATTCGCGGTTATAATATACGAGTTAGTCGGCGCGTTAGTGTTATAGAGACGTGCCCTTAAGTAGGTGTGCCCCCAAGTGGGTGAGCTGACTTATTGCTATTTACACAATAGCATATTGCTGTTTGCACACTCGACCCATTTTTAAGATACGTACTAAAGCCAGCCCGCCCCGCCTATTTGTACCGCGCGCGCCTGGCAAGTACCCGTACCGCCTAAATGCCCGCACCCGCGCCTGCGCCCGCCCGCACACACACACACACAACCCGCACACACATAAGAGGCAATAAAGGCCACATAACGCATGCCTCTCAATTCGCTCAAATAACGCATTTCCGGACCTTGAGCTCGAAGTTGCAACAATCGGCCCGTCAATTGACCCGGCTCCTCCTTGGCCCTTACGGCTGTGTAGGCGGCGGCGGCGTCGCCGCCTCAATTGCATCCCACTCAACGATCCCTCCAACGCCTGACGAAGCCGGCTGCCCTGACGAAGCCGGCGGCGCGCCCCTCCTGCCGCGTCCTCCTATTGATCCCATTCCCCTTGTATTTCCTCGAGCTAATGATCCTTGTTGTGACGCTGCGAGAGACCGCGGGCTATAGCTAAGTTTATTAATCTCGTCGCGCCCCCGGCGCCTTCGAACGCTTGCGTTAAGCCGCCTTGAGCTAGCCTAACTCGAATTAGGTAGCTGGGATGCCCTTATAGCCGGCTATGACTGTGATGCCGTCTGTGATGCTGTCTGTGATACCCTCGCTATGAGGGAGCTTGGTATAGGTAGCTTATTATTACGGGGCCGGCCGCGTGTAATAGTAACAACGTCGGGGTCGCGGATTCGTAGTAATAGCTCCTCGAGGTCCTAATAGTAGTAATTAGTATTAAATTTACTAAAAAGGGGGTCTTTACTAACGGCTTCTTACTACTATCATGAGAGAACATTATGCTTTTAAGCGTTAACCTAGCTTAAAGGCGTTAAAGGATCGTGTATATAAGGCAGCCTAAGGTATATAAATCGCCGCTATAAGGCCGTAATAGCTATAGCTCCCATGTTAGTAAAGGCATCGCGGCGAGGCAAGCCTATATTATATAGTAAGTAGGTTAACTACTTCGTAGGTGATTTTTATACTAAGATCCCTAATCTAAGTCTGCCTAAGGAACTAACGCCTTTATCGTATCTCTTACCGGGCAGCCGTTTATATATATATTATCTCTTTATTCTTAATTATCTATATAAGGGCATCGTAAAGATATAAGAGGTTAGAGGTACCTATAACTAAATAAGACTTTATATCCTTATAAGCGGTCTTAACTAAGCTATTTACCCGCTGCCTAAAGTTACGATATTAGCTAATAAAGTAGCCTGCCTACTACTTACGCTACGGTATATATTCGTTTAAGATATATATTACGATATGCCCTTAGTATTAACTAAAGGTCTTATTAAGCTGCCGCTACGCCTTATAGAAATCCGCTTTAGTTTTCGAGTAAATAACGCGCTTCTAAGCTAGGAATATTCCTTATAGCTAAACGAAGTTAGCTAGGGACTTTTAGTTAGTAACTCTAGTAACCTAAAAAAGGAAGAGACTAAAGCGGTTAGTTTTATATATATTATTAAGGCTAAGAACCTTAGGGAAACGTTTCTATATCTTTTAATACTATAGATAGGTCTATAATACGCCTTAAATCTTATTTTTATTGTATAGGTCGAATTTAACGTAATAGGGAAGATCGCTTACTTAAAGATACCGTAAAAACGCTTATATTGCCGTTATACCGCCAAGAGCTTTAAAACGGATCTTTTAGCGGTTATTATAGATATCTTTAATATAAAAGAACGCTATTAAAGGTTTAGCTTTACGTAAGATAGTTAATATCTCTTAAGCCGGTAGTGCTTTATATTAAGAGAGGTTCTACTCGAGAGCTTACTAGATATCGGTCCGCCAGCGATAAATATTATATATAGAGGGATTAAGGGAAGGCCTATAGTTATAGCGATCCTTAGTAACACGAAAATCCTACTTTTAAGCTTCCTTATTATATAACTCTTAAGTAAGGGCTTAAGAGTATAGTAGAAGAAATAAGGGTATAGAAAGGTAAATTTAGTAATATATATCTTTATCTATTTATTAGGATAAAGGAGGGGCTTATATAGGTATAGTAACTATATATAGCTAGCTAAAAGAGGGTATTAGGACATTCCTATACCTAAGTTAAGCCTATATAATATCCTTAGGCTAAGGGAGTTATATTAGTTAGGCAGGCTTCCTTATATATAACGATTAGGTCTACTAAGTATAACTATAGCCTCTTATACCTACTCTCCTTAATATACCCCCTTACTACCCTAGCTTCTAGATAGTAAGGTAATAGGTAGAGGAGGGTTCGGTCTAATAAATATAAGGCTATTTTAATATTAAATTTAGCTACTTTATTATCTATTTAAGGAGGTTATCTAAAAATAAGGGAGGCTCCTAATTATATCCTATAAAAAAGGGAAGGTAAATATAGTAAAAGGCAAAAGCCGGGACCTAGGGGAGAGGATATAAGGAGAAGCCCCCTATTTCCTCTCCCCTTAGGTCCCTAAGTTTATTGCCCGCGCCCCTCCTAGGGCGTAGTTATATAACTTACTCTTCCGCCCTAAGGAGAGTCGAACTTACGATTAATAGGGTTATATAACCTACTCTTACCGTTTAACTAGTAGTTATAAGTTATATTTATAACCTTCCTTATAAGGAGGGGCATAGCGGGGCATCCCTTTAGGTAGCCTAGGTACCGTAGTACCTTTACC